TTCGTACTCATCCATTTCAGGCAACACCAGGTCAGCGTACCGCTGGAACTCGCGCAAAAACTCAACAGTGTCCATGAGCATCAAGTACGTGCCGACCAGCTGCCTACCAAACGACACAGTATGGTTGCCGTCAGAGCTTGGCTCATCTGCACAACGCGCGGGCTGGGTCGTTCCAAACATCATTTCATGGACTAGGGCGCTCTTGCTGCCGCCAATGACTACCACATCCTTGACACTGTCAATGTCATCAACAGTCTCCAAAGCGTCCCGCGGCGCGACTACCAGCTCGGGGTGCCTCTGCGTACCCCAGTACAGCCGCGCACGCGTGTCCTTGGCGGATTTAAGTTTGTCATCGTAGTTGACAATGTCAGCGCTGGGGTCCTTGCCGCCCGAAGCTGTCGGCCGCCGGGCAGTATCGCCGGCGGGGTTGTAGCGGCGGCCAGGACCAGTGTTCTCGCGCGGCCGCTGCCGAAGCTTACGCGCGTAGCTGGCCTTTGCCGCAGCATAGCGCGACAGCCAGTTGTTTTTGGCGTCCGACGTGGTAGCCACAAACATGCGCGCGACGCGCTCCTTGCCACCGACAAAAATCTGGAATCCCGGGATGAGGCCCGACGACAAGGCGCCCGAGTAGTCCTTGGACACCGTCGATGTGCGTGTCATGATCGAGGACACAGAGCTGTTGCCGATCGAGTACAAACTGATGCGGCCCGACCCCGCTTGGCTCTCGCGACCAAGGTGGCCGAGCATCCCAGGCGCATGGCTGACGCTGAACCGCGAGCTGGCTGCCTCGATGGCCTCGACATTGGCTAGTGGGTACTGCGAGTGGAACTTCCACTTTGTGAAGTACCCCTTGCCCTGGATGCCCAGCTCGGCACTGACTAAGGACGAATTGTCTGGCGCTTGAGTGGTCTTGGCACGCGCACCCTTTCCGAACCGCATCTTATTGCTGACGGCACCAAAGAAGCTGCTGGCCAGGCCCTGCCGCACCCAGCGCCGCTTGAGCACCACGATAGTATCATCAAAAATCAGTGCGCAAACGTAGCGCTTAAACTTTAGCGAGCGCAGATCAACCTCGGTGAAGCACTCCCCAAAGACAAAGCGCTCGCACAGTGGCGCCGTAATCTCTCCGTCATGAACACCGGCCTCAAACAGAATGCTGCGCGACCCAGCCTCGACCTCACCGGGTGCCATCGGGAAGCCCGAGCCGTTGTTGTAGCTGTCCTCGTGCATCACGATCGACCTCGATGTCCTAAAGTACCCGCCCGCGGTCTCGTTTGTCGCGGCCGCAATCTCTTCGGGAAACATCGCGCGCATCTCGCTCTCTGACGGTGGCTTGTAAAAGAAAATCTTGGCACCCTTCAACACCACACGGTACACCTTCCAGCCGCGGGACAGCGCTGACGCCAGAGATGTGCTGGGGTTGATGTCGGTCTTCTTGCTCAGATACCCTTCCTTTGTCGGCGTCACCGAGGCGCCGTTGCTGCTTCGCGCCGACTGCGCGTTGACTGTGGCTGATGTCGCATTGGCTGCAATGGCAAAGCTGTAGTCGCGGTTGGCTGTAGCTGGTCCTCCACTTCCTGAGCTCGCTGGCGGCGGGCCCTTGCGCACCACCAAAGGGGAAGACTCATTGACAATGGCCAGGGCTGAGTGCACGCCAGGCGCAGAGCCCGCATGCGACGCGACGAGCGACGGGCTGCTGTTATTGAGCCCGCTTTTAACCATGCCATTCAGGCCTACGCCGCCATAGATCGTCTTTCTGTACGGGCCGCTTCCCGATGCACCGGTCAATGCAGCAGACGCGCCCGAGGCAGACGACGATCCCGGGTGGGCGTTCGATGCGGAAGAGACTCTCTGGGTGCGAATGTTGCCATAAATTCCGGAGGAGTCCGACGTACCCAGACCGATTTGAGCAGTTGACCCTGTTGCCAAGCCACCGTTGCTGCTGTTACCGCCGCCAGCACCGCCGCTGTTGATTCCTGACGTGGAGCCGCCGGCAACACCACCTCGTGACAGCGGGGACGGTGTGTACCCACTGGTTTTGGCATAGGATGCGTGCAAAATGTTGCTGCTGTTCGACGGGAGGCTGGCGTGCGGACGGTCGTTGGTGCGCAAATTAGTCGTAGAGTCAGATTCGGGCTGGGCGTCCGAAGCGGGTTCGACAGTCTTGGCCGAGCGCCTGGTGGTCAGACCGCGGCGCAGACTCTGGCCGAGCGCTGTGAGAGACCTCGACTTTGACTTTGCCGAGTCATCCCGTGGTCGCTCATTTCCCAAGGCCATCTTTAGGAAGATGGTGAATTTGTGAGTGGGGTGGTTTCTACTGTCGTTGCTGTCTTGCAGTGCAGGTGTCTAAAGTTTAAAAGTGTAGAAAAACGTAAAGGACGCAAAATTATAAATAAAAAGGGGGGACTGGTTTTGATTAGTGTGTGGTAAATAAATTGCAACAGCAATAACAACAAAAAAATAATTTTGGATAGCCTTTATCCTTTCTATTTCCCACAGAGTTTTCCCTCTTCCTTATTTTTTCCAAACCGGCGGAAAAGGGCATATAAAATTGCAGTCTGTTTTGACAATCCCTTCCGATTTTGGCGCCCTAAAACCGGGATGACAAGGAAAGCAAGGCCGGCTCCCAACTTTAAGCGCTTAGGCTTATTAGTGGCAGCATGCACGCGCGCATTAATGGTCGGTTCAAATGGTCTTTGAACTTAACATTTTTTTACTGGCCAGCGAGTAAGCCAGAGGTGCTTGGTCTGGCGACAGCGAAATAAATAGTAGACCGCAATGTTATTTTCATGTGCTTCTCAGGCCGCTACTGTTGCCTCTGCCAAAAAAAACATAGCAGCGGAATTAACAGCTCATAGAAACAAAGACAATAAACAATAACTATTATTAAAACAAATTAGGAGGGATATAGGGCTTTTTGAAATAATGGGGGGGGGGGGGAGGAGTGTAAAAAAGGAGGTATTCGATATTAAACATTATAAAGGATCAAATAAATAACAGATGAATAAGTTGATGGGCAGGACGGGACAGGAAAAAGGAGCAGTATGCTGTTGTGTTTCTGAAACACCAGATATTTGGAACGCTTTTTAAACCCAAAACCCTGGGCTGCCCGTCTAAGCATCAGCAATAGACATTGGACAAATAGGAGTGCTACTATGTACGTACGATATGTTTAACGGAAAAGCAAATGCGCAATTAGCAGTGGCGAGCTCCGTTTTATATGGCTGAAGGTATTTCTGCGGCTCGTATGTTTGAACTGCTATTGCAATCTGAAAAGCTCTGTTCAAAATGGGGTGGTGTGCGCTGTCTGTGACTTTGCTTTTTCTGCTTGGTGGCGAATAGGATAGAGAGACTGGAAATTTAATAAAAGAAAAGAATAGAAATATTATAACGAAAAAAACGGTTTGGCTGAAAATACAAAACATTAAGCGTCTGGAAATAAGAATAATAAAAATTAATAAAAAGAAGTGCGAAAGCCCAATTAAAAAGTTGAAAAAGAAAAGAAAAAGGAGGGAAAGGGGGAGGATGCCGTTGCTGTTGCTCTTGCTGCTGCTGTCGCCGTTGACAGGACCAGCAGGGGAAATTGGAACAAGCCAATAGTGACAAGGTATTGACAGGGAAGAAAAACTAACTAAAATATGCCTGCCAGATTCGTGCATTCACCCAATTGCCTTTTAAGCGGGGTTTGGCTTTTTTTAGTACATCGGGGCTACATCACTTAGAATAGAAAAAGGGATGTGAAGGGATCTGCGCTGAGAACTTTCCCTTCGCAGCCCCGCTGTACCAGCGCATTGCTTTGGGAAGCACGGGGTACCTAATTTGGGCCAGCTGCTGCGCTATAAAAGAGGAAAATGAATAATGAAAAATGGAGCCAAGTTGCACCTGCTGGGAAAGAACGCGCATCATCGGCAGACAGAAAAATCACACGGCGATTGCACACAGGCAGGTCTGTTCTAATTGATGCATCTTGCATATATTATTGTTTTTGTGTTTGTAGACTCTGGTCTCGCATCATGTGAGCAGCGGTTCCGAGAATCACGCAGACAGTGCAGCCAAAAACAAAAGTCAATCATGAGGTCATACCTTGGCAATTTCTATTTAATTTGATTCCTATTGGTGGATCTGGACGGTCCACATGCGGTCCTTCTTTCCCTAGCTTCCACTTGCATACAAGCAGGCACAATATAAACCCCCAAAAATACACGCCAAAGAGATGCCTGGCACGCTCAGTGCAGTATCTGCAATTTCAAATAACCAAAGCAAATAATAATATTTAAACTTTGTCCATAAATAAACTGCGTATTTTCATCGCGTGGGTAAATTGGCTGTTGATTGGCGTTGGTGTCGTTGAGATTGTGGCGCATCGGAACATTGTCACATAGCTTCAAGTCGTGTGTCCGGGATTAGGGGTGGGAGCGGGAAAGGGCTTTGCTTGTTTGCTTGAGTAGCTGGGGGCGATTGTGTGTGTTTTTAAATCTATTCAACATAAATGTACTCAGCCACAAGAGAAACCAAGTGACATTCTGTAGCAGTAGTATACTCGTTGTTGTTTTTTCTCCCTCAAGCGAGTGGTGGCAGTAAATAAAAAGGAACAAGGCCAGTGGAGATTGCAGGTGAGGATAGTAAAATATGGGTGTGGGTGGGGGTGGGATAGGCATGTGTACTTTTAAACCCACACTTGAATTGAAAAGATGGATTTGGGCAGAGGAAATCCATGGTATGTTTTTTGCTTTAAATCTATCGCGTGCCGGGTTGTTTTTCTAGTCCGAGTAACCAAAAGTGCGTCAATTTCTCCGGTTTGTCGAAAAGGCGAGAATAGGCGAATGAGCAAGTATTTGTTAATCAAGGTTGCGATCTTCATTCTGCCTTGCCATCAACTCTGTGGCTGTTTAAAGATCCCCCCGCCCCCAAAAAAAAACATTACATTTTTAATAGAAATATAGATGCGCATTGTTGATGAAACAATTTTTTTTTTTCCAAAAATGGACAAGGCCGTAATTCATTGCTTGTGGTATCTGCACCTTCCTCTCCTTTGCTAACAACCCCCGTTTCCCTTTGCTAAGCTTTTAAACACGTTCTTCTGACTTTTAAACTTTAAACTCAGCCATTGATTTATTGATAAATAAAAAAACACATATTTTGCTTCTTGTTGTTTGTTTCTCAATCTTCATACCATTATCACTAATGACCGAGTCTATACGAACCACAGCCTACAGCAGGACTGGCTTTGTCCTTATTATTACTTTTCTGATACTTTTGCAAAGCGTCAATGGCAGTCCGCTAGAGCAACTGGGCGCGCCATTGCCGAGCGGCGCCCACACGCCAAAACACCAACCACTGACTCCCGGCACAAGGGAGTACTACCTGCGCCTATTACTATGCGCTGTACTCGTACTCGTCGGCGGCCTGCTTGCAGGCCTAACCCTGGGTCTAATGTCGCTGGACGAGATGAACCTGCAGATACTGGCAACGTCCGGTACGCCCAAGCAGCAGCAGTATGCCAAGCGCATCCAGCCGATTCGTAAGAATGGCCATTGGCTCCTGGTGACCCTTCTGTTGGGCAACACAGTGGTCAACGAGACGCTGCCGATTATCATGGACTCTGTGTTTGGCGGCGGCGTCATGGCTGTGGTGGTGTCGACAGCGTCGATTGTGCTGTTCGGCGAGATTATCCCACAGTCGTTGTGCGCGCGCTTCGGGCTGACTATTGGCGCCTTTTTTGCCTACCCTGTGCGCTTTCTGCAGTATCTACTGGCGCCTCTCGGCTATCCCATTGCCCTTCTGCTGGATGCCATCTTGGGGGCTGACCATGGCGTGACGTACAAAAAGGCGCAGCTAAAAGAGTTGGTTTCTCTGAGCGACACCGCGCACGGAGGCAATCTGTCAGCCGATGAAATAACCATTATTAGGGGGGCGCTGGATCTCAGCGAGAAGATGGTCGCCGATGTCATGACGGATCTGAAAAATGTCTTCATGGTCGACATCAATGCCCGGCTGGACCGTAGGCTGCTGACTGAGATGCTGAGGCGTGGGCACAGCCGGGTCCCCGTTTATGAGGGCGAGCGGGCCAACGTTGTCGGCGTGCTTTTGGTCAAATCCTTGATCCTGCTTGATCCGGATGAGGCTGTGCCTGTGCGCGACGCGCATATTGCGTCCATACCGCTGGTCACCACGACGACATCACTGTACGACATTCTCAACGCCTTTCAGGAGGGCGGCAGCCACATGGCTGTGGTCATTGGGCAGCCGACCATTGTTTCCGACTCGTACGCCAGCCTGGCCCTATTCGACTACGTCGATTCCGGAGAGTCCACGCTCGCCGACACCACGCCCTTGCTCTCGCCGGACAATACCAGCAGGCCCAACTACCTGCTGCCGAGCGCCAATCATGACGCCCTCTGCTCGCATGTGCCCATTGGCATCATTACGCTGGAGGACGTCATTGAGGAGCTTATCCAGGAGGAAATTATCGACGAAACCGACGAGTTTATCGACATGAGGAGGCGGATTAGGGTTGTGCGCGCTGCCACTGCGCATATGATTCAGCCGGGGTCGGCGCGTCGGCATTTGAGCCGCGGCCTGGCGTTCAGCTCGCGCAGACGACAGAAGCTTCAGAACCACGACGGAGTGCGCCCACAGTCGGTGCCTGAAAGCCACATATCGGACCACGTCTCAGCACATGGCCAGCAGCATAGGTGGACTGTCAACACGACGCATTCGTATGTCTCGGACTCGCCGTCGTTTGGTAACGGGTTTTAATGGCATTTGTCGATGGTGAAAGCTACGACGATGAGGAAATCATCGGTTTATGCGCATTTACAGCCAGCAAATCCATTTTTTTCTTTGTTCTTCCACACTTCAATTCCGTTCTTTTCTGTTCAGCTTTTAATTATTAAATTTTGCACTTTTCTCAATTCACTTCACTTCACTTCAATTCTCAATTCGATTCGATTCGGTTCAATTCAATTTAACAAAATGGCATCTTACTACACGGAGCTCGGTATTAAAGACAAGGATGACAGTTCCTATGATACATCCACTCGCCGTCCGCGCAACCAGTGGGTCAGCAGCGCTGTTGACGACTTTATGTCTATTGGCAACTCCAACCGCCAGACGCCTGTGAACGCACAGGCCTCGCCCGAAAGCTATCTCAGCGTCGCGCGGCTCTTTGGCGAGTTTATAGATGGAAACCAGCAATCGGAGCACCAGCGGTTCCTGGAAAACCTTGTCATGCAGCTTCACGATGAAGCCAACACTGGTCCTGTGGGTCCGCCGCCAGCTTCACTCAACTTTATCCGCGCCCTGCCTACCATGCCCAAGGACGAGTGCAAAAGTAAGTATTTACACGATACGATTTCACCCTTGTGTAACTCAGTTCTATGGGGGGCTTTATTATATTGTTACTAAAAGGGTCCGAGCGCTTTTTTGGCTTGTTTTGATAGACGTCACATGTACCATTTGCAACGAAGAGGCTTTTGCGTCATCGTCATCGTCATCGTCATCATCCCTGCAAGCTAATTCTGAGGACGACGCGGTCACCAGGCTGCCATGCAAACACTATTACCACCATGCTTGTGTCAAGCCGTGGCTGGAGCTTCATAACACCTGTCCCATGTGCCGCTATGAGGTGCCGTCGGACGACCCCCAGTGGCTGGAGAAGAAGCGCGAGGAGGACCGGCAAAGCGCCGCCGAATTCAAGGAAATGATGATGTACGGCTGATCAATTAATACTATATTATACTAAATTAAATTAAATAATAATTGAAACCAATTCACTTTTGTATGTTTTGGTAAACGACAGATAAAAAAAACGGCCGAAACATGTTTTATTTTTATTTCTGCTTGCGTGGATACAGCAAGTTGGATATGCAAATTGTTCTGGTGGCGTCAAAGCTGCTACAAGTTGTACATTTTTATTTTTAGGAGATAATGCGCGGTCGTACCATTCTCCCTCCCATCCCCTCAAGCGCTTATCTTACAAAATTGAAAAGGGTTTTTTTCAATAATAAATTATCCCCCAAATTGTTTTCATGTTGTTTGTCCGTGTGCTTGAATTTTCTCAACTTGTTTTCTTTTTAAATATTTGAGTGTTGTGGCAGTCCAACTACGCCTTCCTAAAAAAAATGACAATCCACTCTCCCATCTAAAAAAAACGTGAGATCCAACAACAAATTGTGCTTTGTAATTTGTAATTTATAATTTGTTGAGTGGCCGCTTTTCGCATTCTTTTACTTTGTTGCGATCGAGCTCATGTATCCACTCACATTTTAATTTCTTTTCATTTTCATTTTCATTTTCATTTTTATTTTCATTTTTATTTTTATTTTTATTTTTATTTTTATTTTCTTTGTATCCAAGCAAACATGAAAAAAAAGAAAAAGAAAAATTATAATAGAAAAGGGGCTTTCTTTCTATCAACATCTCATGATGTTTCTCTATTGCCAATGCAGCTTGGCTACATCCTTTGTTTTTCTCGCTAAAAAAGCATGCATTTGTTTTTATTTCCTTACTCTATACTTTTTTATTTTGTTATTTTGCTATTTTCTCTTGTAAAATTTTCATCCATTTATTTTTTATCCATTTTGTATATATATATATATATCTATCTATCAGCATACATAGCATCTGCTTTCTTATATTAAAGTGACGCACTACGCCAGAACAATGACACAAGTACATCCCGATAAAAAAATCGTATTAAAGTCGCAAATACAGAAATCCGTTTTAAGAACGTTCACTTGCTTAACCATGGCCTACCTAATATGCGGCATAGCTGCACTATCAATCGGCACATACTACGCCAAAGCGACAGACGAGGGGAAACGCATATACATAGTCACAGCGTATGCCTTGAAAGCATACGCTCCGTTGGGAATATACTTTATAGTATGCTCGCTCTTGGGATTTTTAGTGGCTCTGGCCCCACTGAGGCGCAAACGATTACTCCACGGGTTTGTTTTTGCGCTCGGTCTGATAACCTTAATCATGTTTTGCATCAGCATCTGGATATGGACAAGGACGCTTAACATCAATGGATTATATGCGCTTTCTTGGCGCAACGAGTGGTCGGACGTTATTAAGGATGCGTTTCAGCGCGACGGGTCATGCTGTGGCTTTTTGAGTCCAGCGGATAGTCCCTTTATGGCGTCGGCGTCCTGTCAGAATACAAGTATTGACTACGGATGCATGTATACGGTTATCTTTTATGCTCAGAAATATCACCGGTTGATATACGCCGGGCTTATTATATTCAAACTTATTGGCGTTGGTGCTATGGTCTCGGGTATTATTCTTCTGGGCCAGTGTCGCAAAGAGGAGCGCTTAAAGCGGGCGTATGTGCATTATTGGGCTAGAAAGGCCAGAAGATATAATAATTCTCTGGAAGATACAGCCGTTCACGAGATGCACGAGATGCAGACTATGGATACTCAAGGTCGGCTCCGGAACTAACATTTTTTGGGGTGGTCAATGTACCTCTGTCTCACAAAGCATCGTATATCCACTCGATGGAGATTTTGCGCAAGCATTTTGAAAATCACAATTTATAATCCAGTTTTCTTTATCAAAAACAGCTCATTTACTTTGTTTTTTTGCTCAAATTGCCACAAATTCTGCAGTTTCTCGTTTTTCTTTTTCCGCAGCGGCCGCATTTCGGACCTTGGCTATATAAACTGAAGTAAAAAAATACATCGACAAACATTTCTTTTTTTTTTTCGTTCCAACATTTTCTATATGAATGTTTATTTTTCTCTGCTGCTTTTTTCATATTCTGTTACTTTAATATTTTTCTATGGACAAGCTTGCAATTTTTGTGCCCGAACACGTCGATCTTGGCGACATTGACAAGTGCCTGTGTGACCGTTTCGCAGAGTTTATCCAAGTGGACTCAAAGACCTTTGAGGCCAAAGCCGAGCTGCACGAGCGCAATAAGTTTATTGTTCTTGAGCGCAACCGTTTCCTTGTTTACGAGCAGGAAGCAGATGGACCCGTGGCCTTTCACTACCAGTCGCGAAATCTGGTTATGTCGCTTATGCATTACCGCAAAATATCGACCAAATACTATAATGTCATGTCGGTTCTTCGACAGAAAAACGGTCTGTGGAGTGTAGACGAGCTTCCTGTGCTTTACTTTGTGTTCAAGAGCGACGCCGATTGCCTGAAGCCAAACCGTTGTGCTGATCACAACACGGTTGTCGAGTACTACGAGACAGAGGACGAGGAGGACTTTTCCAAATTTGCCAGTATTGCCAAGTCAAAGCGGGCCTGCGTTCCTCACTTTTTTGTTGTTAACCGCGGAAACGTTTACCATGTCGTTGACACTAACGACACCAGCATCAACTACTCTTTTAGCAATTCGCTGAAATGCAAGATTGTGGAAGATCTGGCTAAGAGAACTGCCACCATTCAGACATTCATCGATGAGGAAAAACATTTGCACAAGCGCAGGCCTAAAACACAGCGTCTTCCCAACTTTCAGCTGCGCGATTATTTGGGAAACCTAGTGTCCGAGAACGAGACATTCAGCTTGGAGATAATCAATAAATGGAGGGAAAACAAAGTAGGCAGCGATTCTGATGCAGACAATGGTTCCGACGAAGAAGATGATATGGAATTTTTGAGCTATTTTGATTACCATTCGGATGAAACTCCCCATATTTTTGGCTGCAACAGTTATCCTTACAAATTTGGATTCAAGGTTGTCGACGGAATAACTTATTTGACCTACGAATCCAAGTACCTGTGCGCCAGCGGCGACGATGGCTACAAGATAGAGGTTGTTCCTACCATTCCACCCAAGAACCTGCGCATCCAAATGCACTATGCTGAAGACGGCGGCATTATGCTCACCATGTGGGGAGGCAATGCCTATGCTAGTTGTGACTGGGTCAAGAGTGCATATGGCGCAATTAGATTCGACTCAAGCGAGAAAAATTTGCGCTGGGGTTCACCGATGAAACTGCGTCTGAGAAAGATTCAAAAGTAGATTTATTTTTTATTGTTAGATGTGGAAAACAAGTTTTATTTAATATAAATATATATACCAAATTTTACATACACAAAACATTTGCTTTCAAAAGGTAAAGTATGCATTATCCTTAAAAAGCAATGGTTTTGCCCTAAAGGAATTTGTGTTGTTAGACGCCCCAAATTACCAATGCCAGTCCAGCGTTTCAAATATGCTTCCTGACGACGGTGACTTGGCATTATGAATTTCAATTGCTTCCTTCAAATTGATATAGTCCTGGTAAAAATCACCACGGTCTTGCACTCCGGCCTTCCTGCCTTATACTGTGCATATAAATCTCCAACTCCTTAAAGGCTTTGGCATTCAGTCTTTTTTAAAATAGCAATATGCATGAAACATCTCAGCCTTCTCTGAAAAATTAGTCAGAAGATCGACCATTTCCATGTAGTCCTTATTGCTCGACCCAAAGCTCCGACCAGAATCCACAAATGCAGATCTTTCATTGGAATACAAGGACGGAGTGGCGGGTGCCGAGTCAGATGCAGATGCAGATGCAAAAATGGGCGCAGGCGCAAACAATGTGGTTGATTAAATAATGCGTAAGGCTTTCATAATGTAAAAAATATTAAGAATATAATAGTGCTAACAGAGAAGCAAACTCGTTTTCTAACTATTTTTAAAGGCTTATATGTCGCTATTTTTCTAGTCCATAAAACGTATTTTTGCGTATTTCATTTCTACAAATGGGCACATTGAGCAATGCAGTTTGATAATTAATGCCAATAAAGGCGTCTCCATTTATAAATTGCACATGGTTTGGCAATTGCATTACCAACGATGCTCGTATATTCAACAAAAAGCAAATGACAGTGTTTCCAGTCATTGCTTAAAGCAAACAAAAAAGAGTTTATTACAGCACAATCCAACACCTGATTTAAATGCAGAAGCGAAATAAAATAAGAAAAGTATTACAAGCTGTGCCACCCTGCTCATTGTGACCTTGTTTTTCAATGCAGAACGCCAAGTACAGTCGCATTAGCCATAACAACTAGAAAACAATGATTATCATCCAGCCCCTTAGACTTTGTTTTGGATCTTTGGATTACTTTAGCCGATCTCATTGTTGGCTCTTCGGTTGGCCGCTTCTCGTCATTTGTACTATTATTTTGCATGTATTTGTACTGTATATTTGAATTGTTTCTTGTATTTTGTTTTTGTGCACCATCACAATTCTAGCACCCTTACACGCTCGCACATTATCTTATTGTTCTTTTTTCTCATTCTCTAGTTTGTCTTTCCATTGCCATCCGTAAACATGCCTGTGCGCCCGAAAGCGCAGAGTACCACTGAACCCGCTTTAACGCTTAGCGACACAAACACCCTGGAGCTGGATATAGCTAAACACGTTTATTCGGACTACGCGTACGACATCCACAACCCCAAGCACAAAATTGCTCACAGCAGCCGGACAGTGCGGATTTATGGCACGTTTATTGCGGCCAGAGCAGACAGAAGAAAGGCAATTTCGACGCTGCTAGATAAAAACGATAAGGGCCAGCCCAGCCAAAAACAACATTCAGCCGACATATTGAAGCGCGAGCTCGCACGGACGACGTTCGAGATAATCCGCCAGGCGCATGGCTTGCGGCAAGAGAGCAAGTATGCACACCGCAAGTGGCGAGACATGTATTGGCAGATCCACTCCCAGCAAGCCAAAAACTGGTATGCGTTGCAGGCAAGCGCTCTACTGGTCCAAATGGCCCCCGTTTTGGAGCAAGCAATGCCAATGATGCTCAAGGTATGCCCAGAGGCCGCAGTGCTGTCCAGGCTGCCGTCAATGGCAAAGCGAGCGTTGGATTGGACAAGCGGGTGCCATGTCGAGCTGGTACAAGCAAAGGCAGATACGGGCATTGCAATGGACTTTTATGGCGAAGTAATGGATCTTTCAGATCAGTTTCTTGCCGACGAAAAGAAAACAGCTGCCTTTTGTGAGATCGACCTGAAAATTGACATTGTAGCCAAGGATCGAAAAACTCGTTCTGACAAGCAGGCATCGGTCAACGCAAATGGGCGACGTACCAATCATCCCAACCATTGCAATGGCGTTAGCGACCATATTCAACCGAGCAAGGATATAATGCAGTTGCAGGTGATTGGCCATGTATTTGTCTCCGACATGCGAGAGCTGCTCGGGGTAACTCGCAATTCAATATATAATGTTGCACATTCTGTTGTTATGAACGAGCATACCGCCATACTGAAGGCGATAGATGCCCTGGAGGATGCAATGCGCCAGAGAGACTGCAACGCGCTCTTAAACCACATGGGGGGCACAAGCTACGCGTTTGAGCCCGCGCTCGACCACGTCGACAGCTCAATAGCTGGTGTGCGCACACAACTGAACGACCTGCGTGTTGCCTTTGCCAAGTCCGTTGATACGTGCAGCCCAGAGTTCACCAGCAGCGCGTGGGTCTCAGAGTTCGACATGGGCGCGGCACTTGCAAGCATGGCGTTGAGCGAGCATGTTTTAAGCAAAGGGCAAGCGACTTTGGGAGCAGAGCAGAGGCATAACAAGGCTCGCGAATAGAACAAATGTGCTTGAAATGTCCTGTTTTCCATGCCTAAATTCACAGCCGTTCATATACATTTTTTTTGAAAATAGCGACAATCATGTTCAGTGTTTTTTTTAGCTGCATTTCAATATTCACAACATGCCTGTATTTAAATGTTCTTTGTTGCTAGCAATTGAGCAGTCGCAGTAATATCATTGGGCTTGGCCGCACAAACACACACATAAATAGCTGAGAAATAAAGGCATCAATACTACACAGCGCACTCCTTGGTAAGCGCCTCTGCGACCAGCGCCACTTCTGCTTTCTCCTTCAGCTCCTTCTTGGCCTGCCGCTCTCTCTGCTTGATCGCCATCGTGCTAAAGTAGTTGGGCGTCCATGGGCCCAGCGACTCGAACGCATAAAAGTCCATCGGGTACACGTCCTGCCACTCGGTCGCATCCAAAGCCACGTTGGCCTCGTACGGCGTCAGCAGCGGCTTGGGGAACGCGTATCCCCAGTCGATCGACAACCGAGGGCAGGCAATCTGCACCCAGCAGTCGACGTCGGGAAACTGCGCCAACTTTTGCGGGAAAATCTCGGACAGCAGCACGATTTCAAAGGCAATGCCGCGCTTGACTAGCCGCTCCTGCAGCTCCTCCAGCACCTTCGGGTTGCCCTGCCGGCCCAGCGTGCCCAGGATCAGCCCGAACTTGCGCGCCTTCCTGGCACTCGCAATGGCACCCTGCCTGAGCGAGTGCATCTCGTCGTGGCTGTAGCGCTCGCGCGTGAACTTCTTGCTGTACGGGTCGTACGCGTACGCCGGGATGCTCGGGTTGTGGATCATGATCGACTCAAGATGGAAGCGGCCGTCGCCCAGGTACACAATCACGTCAATGTCATTCAGCCGCGGCGATGTGCAGCCCAGCAGCTCGCCTGGCGACAGGGGCTTTGCCTGCGGGATGGTCACCACGTACTTCTCGCTCAACACGTGCCTGCATGTCTGCAGCGCAGTGACAAACTGGATCACGCCCACCAGCGCAATGCGCGTGCCGGGCTCAAAGTTCTTCTCGACCGTGCGCACAAAGTGCTCGGTGTCAATGCCAATGTCGACAAACACATACATGGTCTTGATCGTCGTCACGTTGACCGGCACCAGGCAGCTGTGGCCGTAGTGCACCATAAAGTCGCAGCCGAGGGCCACAGCGGTAAAGTCGTCGACGCAGCAGGCGCCATACGTCACGTCGCCCATGATCACTACCTCGACGCCGCCAAATGTTTCGAGGATATCCGAGATTGTGCACGCAAAGATCATCAGGCCCTCGGGGAACTGCAGCGCCACGCGGGTGGCCGACAGCCGTCTGATCTGCCAGATCGTCTTGTGCAGCTCAAAGTTGTAGTTGTTGGGCAGCAGGCTGACGGCCTGATTCAGCAGCGCGTTGTCGAGAATGTCTGCCGGCACCTGGTTGGCACTCTCGTGGTACCTGGGTCCGCTGCCAGCGTTCTGGCCGTTGCCGCCATCCTTGCGCTCGGCAACTGCAAGTGAGTCCTCGATGGATATTTCTGTCGGGGTGTCCTGCGGATGGGCCTTTCTCCCCCGGCCAACAAAGCGCCGGCGAGGCCTGCTCGACTTGCTCTCTTCGCTGTCGCCAGGCTGTCCGGCAGTGTTGGTGGTGGCCGTTGCTGAGTCCGCCTGTGCCTGTGCCTGTGCCTGTGCCTGTGCCTGTGCCTGTGCCTGTGCCTGTGCCTGTGCCTGTGCCTGTGCCTGTATCTGTGTCTGTGCCTCGTGGTCTGACATTGTAATTTGGTTGGCGCGCAATTGAAAAGGTGTAAATTGACTTTATAGTACAAGGAAAATAATCCGAAAACAGAGTACCAAGAGGCAGCAAAAAACATTTTTTCACTGTTCATCACAACCAACAAGATTTTAGATCTGACCACAAAATCATGAAATACTTTGAGCGCTCGGCTAGGTCAACTCGCCGCTCCAAGCAGCCTGATCGCGATCGGCTCGATATTATATAGTCTAAGGGAATCGACTCGTCTCCGCGTATCCAGCGCAAACACCAAATCTGCCATGTATATTATACAGAAAGTGGCTGCGAGCATCATTCAATAGCAGAGTTAGTTTAAGTTAAAAGTATTTCCTATGTCCAAACATATCATTATCCAATACGATAAGCGGGTTATACTCTGTATCATCATAATTATTTGGTGACTACTTTACACACTTTACATTGTATGTTTGACAAAGGTGCTAGAATAAATAATAAAAAGAAATGGACATACTTCTGTCTTGAAGCCGTGCGTTCTAATCGTCAAAAAAAGCAAAAAGATGAACCTGAAGTTGAAGGCAAATTCGCAGAGCATGCTGGAGGTGGGCATTGGCCGAGTAACACCATTCGATACTTCGCACAGAAATATCTTTTTTTTGCTGATTACGACCTTCCTCAAATTTACAACGTCAACAAACTTAGCGGTAACTTCAGCGCACCAGCTTCAAGAAGAGTGCAACTAGATGTATTGGCATCAGCATTTAGCTATAGCATATTAAACATAATTTAATTAATTAAAAATTAGGAAGTATCTAATTTTAACGATTTTGCGGGTATTAACTCGGATTGACGATTTAGCAGCAATGTTCGCTGGATATTAATTGTGGTGCCCAATACACATTTCAAGCCATTATCTTCCCTTTTCAAGAATCAAGATCGCCCTCATGGTCGCTATACACATTTCTGTTATTGCTGGATAACATCAAAGAATACCATGCTGTTTACAGTGCTGCCCACACAGCGCTACCCACACAGCGCTGCCCACACAGCGCTGCCCCCTTTTTCAGTTCCAAAAGTATTTTTTGAGACTTAAAATATATTAATTTAGACCTACATTTCTATAGAGCACGATATTAATAAATTGCCAAGATTTGTATGTTATTTTCGACTTAAAATAATATTGTTAAAGGTAAATAGGCCAATGCAGACTAAACAATGTGTGGCTGCATGTGTATGCGTTCTGAACACCATTGCTGTTCATTTAGTTTGCCATAACAAAAAAATTGTGCAGGTCATCTGCACATCTCAGCACTCCACGTTTTTGGTAAATAAAGCCATTTTAACGTTGTATGCATTATAACACACAAGTGAAATTGCTGATATATCCGTATTTGAGACTTAATTTTTCTCCCCGGATATATAGATATTTTATTTTGCAGCCCTAAAGAATATATATATAATATTTTAAATGTATATAAAAAAGGTAGTATGTCGCCTGAGCAAAAATAATTTTGTTTTGTACCTGCAGTTTGCATATTACATTTGTCATTATTTTCCAAGCTTTTGAAATTACACCTTGTTTTTCTCATCTCTTGTCTTTGATATGCTGGTATTAAACCTATCCGCGATGTTTTTGCTGCTGGTCAGCCAAGTGTTTGCACATATGGCGCTCAAAGTCCCCTGCCCTCGCTACAATGCCAATGGAGTCAAGTGTCCCCAGATTCCTGACGGCGAGTCATGGGATTGGACTCAAGTCGCTCCCATCGGAAGCGCTGACGAAGTATTCCAGCCATTATGCAAGTACACTAAGCCATTCAAAACCCCCAGCGCCAGATGGAAGGCAGGTGAGACCGTCACTGTTGGATTTCAAGGAGCTGCCGCACACAGCGGCGGCCATGGAGAATTCTCCATCTCTTATGACAACGGAAAGACATTTATGGTTCTGCAGCAAGAGTTGAGGTACATGTTCTTTGGCACGCCGACTAAATTGACCAATACACCGAGGAAACTAAAGTATTCAATTAAGCTCCCTGAGAACTTACCGGGGTCAGACAATGCCGTGTTTGCATGGACGTGGGTTAATGCTTCGGGCAACCGCGAGTTTTACATGAACTGCGTGGATGTTCAGATAATTGGTAAAGCTGGCAAGATTACGGGCAAGGAAATAACTGTGGTAAACTATGGTCCTTATACACAAATGCTACCAGAGTTCTATGGAGACTACGACACTGGTATTGATATTTACTCTAATGCGCGTAACATCACAGTGACAGGTCCTGGAAATGAAAGTGCTTTTGTTATTATGCTTAACCCGGATGGAGCTCAGAGTGAGGATGGAAAAATTGATGAACAGGGAAACAGGGACAGCGACAATGATGACACTGATGATGAAGGTAGAGATGGCGAGGATAACAACTAGTTTATTGTGTGAGGTATTTAAGTTACCATGCATGCGGAAGATTACCGTATTTCTTTTTTATTTCTTTATTTCTTTTATTTCAATATCTTCCAAGTTAAGTATTAAACACCGGCTAAAGCTTGTACACTAAGAAAAGACGAGGCTATTGAATTTCGACAATATCAAATGACGGAGCACAATGGACAGTTGAAGCTAAAGCATACACGTATTTGCCTCCGCTAAGAGTCCCGAGTGCGAATTTCAAAGCGCATTGGTTACCATTTACAGCGACATTTACAAAATTTCCATCTAGAGACAAAGATACGCTGATCGTTGCCAATTCCATTGAGCCAGCAATTCCAATCCCAAACGCCTTCAAGTACGCCTCCTTAATAGTCCATATGCGATAAAAGTCTTCCAGCGGCTGTCTGCTATGTTTGGCAAGAAAATCTTGCTCTTGCGGGGATAACTAAACGATATCAAGCAAAAAATGGCGAGTAGTAGTTATTAGCGTACAAAACTATCAAGTGACTATGCTCATGTGGTGTTTCGTATAAAAAAAACGCATTAAATGTACTTACTTGATAGGTAAATTCGGCGATATAGTTTTTGACGCTCATATTTTCGGGACAATGCACTCGAGCGACATCGATTCCAAGTACCCCTTGCGCAGTTACTCCGGCCATAATCCAATCACCGTCATGAGATATGTTAAAATCACATACATTTGGAAAAAGCGCTTTTGAAGCATTAGTGAGCGACGGCTTGGATCCACCTGTGCTTTCATTAATTATGATCATATTGGTTTCAAAAACCAATGCCTTGAAGCTGACACTAGCTTCCAGTAGGCGACGCACCAATGTGCGTCCTGCTGCAAAACGCAATGTGTCGGCGGGTTTGCGGTATTTGTTTGCCCGTTGAAGTTCAATTTCACTGAGACCAGATTTTAGTTTATTGAGAACGGAGCTGGCCTATAAAATAAAAAGAACGGTATATTTGATTTTGGGAATATTCAATATCAATAAAATGTAGGGTGTTTTTTTTATAATTTAACCTGTTCGAATTTCCTTTAAAAATAAATATTATTTCTTTTTATTTTACCTCTTGATTTCCACTATCAAGCCCATCAATTAATGCCTTGCACGATGTGGCCAAAATCTTGATTGAACCAGCAGTAATATCGCCAGTATTATTGGCATTAGACTTGCAGTTGTCCATGATTAAAAAAAGGGATAGTATAAAGATAATATAGGTGTATTGGTAATTTTTTCTGGCGAATGGTGTGGATGGTTGCATTTGCAGCATTGAAATGCAACCCGCAATCATCCACTTGCTCGGGCAATATCGTGGTGATCTACTATGGTTTTAAAGTTATAAAATGTTAAAAAAAAGTTTTTTTTGTTATGGATAAAGAGAAAAAATGAGAACATAGAAAAGAAAAACGGTACAATGTAATTTTTGCTCACATTGTCGACAATGTTACCCTGGTGTAAAGGCAGAACGCAGTCCAGGAAAAAAATATACAGCAGGCATTTTAGTTGTAGCACCCGGACTCATTGGGCGTCTCATCAGGAGCAAAAATGGGCAATATAACCTTGTACATCTCGAACCTCTTCTTGGCCTTATCCTGCGCACCACCCTTGCACTCCAACGCACCGTTAATCATATTGATAGAGGCGCCAAATTCACCCTTCAACACACCGGGATCCGAGCGCACCCTATCCTTCCAGAACCAGAAGCTAACAGCCCAGGCCAAATCCTCATCCTTCGCAACCTGATCCGGGTCCTTAGCCAATCGATCATCTCCAAAAAGCCCCTCTGACGCAGCAAGGTAGTTATAATGCCAGGAGAGTTGAATATATCCGCGACCCCAATAAGTCTTGCCCTGGACGTCTTCGGGGGTGGCGTAGTTTTGGGCACACCAGTCGGGGAGATCCGCGCAGGCGTACTCTTCCTTGGCTCGCAGGCCGTCGGATTCCCAGATAATATTGGAGAGGAACATGGCGGCTTCGCGGGCAGATGCGATTGAGCCACGGGAAACCATGCCATTGAGGAATGACTGGCATTGGGAGTCGGTGGGTGCAGGGTAATCGAGGCTGATTGCCTTGCCACCTTCGGTTACGGCTTTGCTGAACTTGTCGCAGGTGATGCCAAAGTGCTCTCCGCTATCGCCACTGCTGGTGTCGCCGCTCCCGCTGCCGCCATCAGTGCTGCTGCTATCGCCTTCGGCGGACTCTGGGGTGGACTCGGCTTCGGCCGGGGATGATGCACTTTGATCCGCGGTAGCCGCACCATCAGTAGCCTCTCCCCCTCCAGTTTGGGCGTCGCTAGGCGACTGCTGGGATGGATTCGAAGAAGTGGCATCGGTATTTTCAGCCCCACCAACCTCAGAATTATCAGCTTGGCTTTCAGCAGTGCTTTCAGTACCTTCAGTGCTTTCGGTACCGGGGTGCACGCACATACCATCCTTACAGACAGTGCCAGGACTACAGGCGGAGAATTCCATCCATTGATTGTTGCTACAGAAAAGAAGTGAGGATTCGTTGGCGCATGCTGTGCGGTCTTTGGTTTCGTCGCACTCTTCGCCGGGTGTGTGCGCTGCTTGCTGGGACTGCAGCTGTGCATTAGGGTCCTCGGCGGCAGTGGAGGCAGGGGCGACGGAATCGGCAGATGGGTTTTGGGGATGGGGACTGGCGTGTGCAACTTGAGATTTGGCTGCGATCGTGACCATGATCAAGGCAGCAACGTTTACAAACAAGACCATAATAGTAGATAATAATAATAGTTTTTTCTTTTCGAAATGAATACTAGATTGTGGTGTTTTATAAGTTGATCTTTTTTAAACGACAAAGTTTTATTTTTTAAAGTCTACGTTTTTGGCAGCCGTATTTATATGGTTTTGAGAGGGAAAAAACTTGGTAATAAAATTTACTTTATTGATATTTTTTCTCTATTTTTCAATATATGACAAAACATTCTCATTCTTATTTAATTTCATGCATTGACGCATGTGTACGACTGTTAAATAAATAACACTAGCTTCTTTTTATTTGTATATATATACTAGGTGATACAAAAAAAGAGCATTAACTTCTAGATCTAAATATTTGTCAATGCATAAAAAAAGGAAAACGAAAGTGTAATGTTTATTATTTTTATTTATTTATTTATTTTGCCTCAAATGTGCTTTCCAAATTCTCGGTTAATTACGATTCCCTGAATAGGTCATATTTCCCAAAAAACAACAGAAAAAAAGGGAGTGCAATCCATGAGGGATTCTCCTCCATATGGTGTAACCGCAGATCACGCCCCCAAAAGTCTATTATTAATGCAATAAATTGAAAATATGATAATTGAGTTTTTAAGATATTCACGCGTACAAGAAAAAAAATTCATGCATAGAGAAGCGTTGTGAAAATTTTTTGTATGAGCGCAAACAAGGAAGTGCACGTGTTTTGATTATTATTTTCTTCAAGTGATGACGTTTACTACCCTTTAATTTTTTTTGGTGGCACGAGGACGAGGGGGTCTGTAAAGAAAAGCAAGAAAAAACATATTTTCACTTTCTTTCTTTTATAGTCAATTTATTAAAATAAAAATAAAAAATCTATAGCATCAAGTATTGAAAAACACCTTTTTATTAAACAATTCAATAGTTCAATAGTTCAAGTTTTTTTTAAAAAAAGATTAAAAAGTATGCCTCCTCGGTTCAAAGAATTGTACAAGCAGACACGGTCGTCAAAGGACAGTCGACAGAACCGACTTTTGCAGGAGGCGCAGCTAAGACGGTTGCAGAGGGAGCAAGTGTTTATGGGCAAGCGACTGCGGCTGCGTAATCCTCAAGACTCAGAGACGGAGTCTGAGTACGAGTTTACAGCATCCGACATGACGGGTATTATCAAGGGACTCGAGGCAAGTTGCAAAGCTTATTTGGCTATTAACGCTTCCCCCTTTTCCTTCTGCCTCTGATATTGTAAACACATTCCGACATACCATTTTTTATTGTGCACTCACCTCAAACAAAAAAAGCATCTTTTATTTTATTTGACTAGTGTAGAGTAGCAAGCATGATGAGCGTATGGATGCGCTGCAGAACCTCAGTGGTAAGCTAGAGCAGCCATCGGAGGAACTACGTGAGTTTGTCCTAGAGGGCAAGTGCATTGAGCTTCTCATTGGGTTTCTGACGCAAGCAGACGGCGACGAGAAGCTGCAGAGCCTCTGGTGTCTGACGAACATTGCAGCGTCCGAGGGCCGGCTGGCAGAGCGAGTGCTGCCGGCAACGCCGCACCTCCTTCCGCTGCTGTCCAGCGACATTGCGGAGCTAACGAACCAGGCGGCATGGGCGCTGGGCAATCTGGCAGCAGAGGGCGAGCAAATGCGCGAGCAGCTATATGCCCTAGGCGCACTTGCGCCCTTGGTCAGCCTTCTGGGCACTCAGGACCCGGTTGTGCTGCAGACAGCGTGCTTTGCAGTATCCAATATGGCGCGCAAGCCCTGCTCGTACTTCAGCAGGTTGTTTGAGTTGGACGTTCCACAGGTGGCGGCCAAGCAGCTGAAGCGGTTTGCGAATGACCCGGAGTGCGTGGCAGAGCTCGCCTGGGTATTTGCGTACTTGACGGCCGCCAGCAGCGCGCAACAAGTCGACTGCGTCCTGGCATCTGGCGCTGTTGATGTTCTTTTGCAGTGCGCGGTGGATGCAGCGGATGGTGCGCCCGGCGCCCTGCTTATTCCGATCATTCGCACCCTGGGAAACGTGGCTGCAGGCACTGACGCGCAGACGCACGCGCTAGTGACCAAGCCTGGGTTTGTTGCGCTGTTGGTCAAGTACATCGAGTCGCGGGCGTCGCGCGCAGTGGAAAAAGAGACCCTTTGGGTGCTGTCCAGTGTAACTGCCGGGCGCAAAGAGGACGTCCACGCAATGGTCAATGCTAGCGTAGTGCCCGATCTCGTGCGTATCATCGAGACGCAGGACTATGATATTAAGAAGGAGGCGGCATTCAGCTTGCTGAATATTGCGCTTGTCGGGGAGTGCCTTGAGGACTTGCCTAATGAGCGATTGGTGAGGGAGTTTGTGGGCTTTTTGCGCAGTCAGGATCCCCAGCTCGTGCGCATGGGGGTGCAGTTTATTGCGCTGGTGGCGGATGATTTGGACGGCGGTTTGGGTGTGCTGAGGCGCGTCGAGGGCGCGATTGATGCGCTGGAAAACCTAGTTGCGGTCACGGAGGATGACGACACCCGCGCGATGGTGTCGGCGCTGATCGACCGGTACTACGGCGAAGACGCAGAGGCGGCGATCGTGCAGTGATTGAAAAGCGAAGGGAAGGGGGAGAGATAAAGGGGGTAAGGGCGTGTGACTTTGTGATTATCTTATGCAAGATAACAGAACCGTGGGGAAGAAATGGCTGGAGGCAATGAAGCCAGTGCTTGATAAATAATTTCAGGATAGGTTTCTCGGTCCCCTTTTCCATTCCTTTTCAATTTTTTTATTAAATATTTTCACTCTTTCATTTCAAAAATGCACTCTTTGTCGCTCATCCGCCGCAGCATCACCATGAGCTCTTCGGCCCGGCACATCCGTGTGCTCAGCTCCAAGATGGGCTCCAAGGACCCAATGATCAAATCCCCTGATGAGATCAAAAGCTACCCGGCAACAATCAAAGTGTACACACGTACCGGCGACAAGGGCACCTCTGCGCTCTTCACAGGCGAGCGTCGCAGCAAAAGCGACTCCGTATTCACCGCTCTCGGGACCACCGACGAGCTCTCCTCAACCATCGGCCTCGCCATCGCGCACATAGAGGGTACTGATGCATCCTCGTTGATCACCCAGCTTGAGATCATCCAGTGCCTGCTGCAAGACGTCGGATCAAATGTGGCCACTCCCCTGGGGAGCGCAAGGGCGTCCAAGATGAAGCTGAGCCGTACGAGGTTTGATCCCGACGGATACCATTGTACAAGAATGGAGCAGTGGATTGATGATATGTCCGTGGGACTGCCAGTGCATCGCTCGTTCATATTGCCGTCGGGCGGGCTGGCCGCCTCCACCCTGCATATTGCCCGCACAGTGTGTCGCAGAGCTGAGCGCACATTGGTGCCGCTGCAGGAGGACATTGACAAGGAGACCATGATGTTCGTTAACCGGCTGAGCGACTACCTCTTTGTTGCCGCCCGTTGGGTCGCTATGCAACAGGGCATTACGGAGAAAATCTACGTGCACCACAAGGGCCGCGTCACCGAGTTTGACAAATAAATTTTTTTTAAGTGTATGTGAATGAATCAGCAGTAACCGAGATGGTTTTTTTGTTAGCCACGGAGCTGCCTTGTCTAGAAACCAGCATATTGAGATACACAGTCTCCGGCGACTCCCTCGAAGCCACCCCCAGGGTTGCCGAGCCAGTGACGCAGAGTGATCCGCGCAGCGCCACGAGAATCGCATGCCAGGCATTGGGCAAAAACACGCCGCACATATCCAAACGCCAAACCCTCCTCTGCACACCTGCCTCATACGCCATAGCCTCCGATGCACTAACGCGGCACCTGCGCATTGTTCCGTTAATGAATGCTCCAGGCGCATACACGCTTGCATCTTTCATTTCCGTGCCCAACAGGTACTGGAACAACCCCTGGACGCTACTCTTGTCGGTGATCAGCAGTGCGGATCTCCATGTACGATCAACGGTGATATCGCGCAGGTGTCCGGTATCTGCCTGTCCTTGGCTGGAGAGCTCGTCCCAGGTGCGTAGCTTGGGGGCTAGCGGCAGGGTGAAGGCCACTTGGGCTTGGTCTAGGGCCCGGCGCAGACCTAGGACTGATTGACTCACAACGCAGACTGATCGGTATCCTGCATTATCTCCCTCCTTTCCGTTAGGGTCGTCGGGTGCTGATGGTGGCTGCGGAACCATTTTGAATATCACTGTGTAGTCGCGCACACACACGTACACGAACGGGTATTGCGCAGGAAACTGCCGTTGCAGGCAAATCAGCGAATGAAGAGCCTCATGCAGCTCTCCCGTTGTCTTTTCTTTCTGCCCAGCTGCTGCTGCTGTTGCTGCTGCTGAGGAGTGTGGTGCAGTGGTGGTAGGGAGAAGATACTCCCAATAATAAAGACTCTGCGCGATAGCTGATGCCGGGCTACTGTTGTCAGAATAGTGTTGGTGCGGGTGTTGCAGTGGGATGAGTGTAGTGAGTGGGTGCGCGGATGTTATGGAGATTTGCGTACGCAGGGAGAGCGATTCCGGCGGAACAGCGAATACTAGTGCATTTGGAGCCGCCAGCGGCTTGCTGCTGCTGCCGCCGCCGCTTTTGCTGGAAGAAATAAAGCCAGGGGAAGTGGAGGACGCGGAGACGCTCAGTTTGAGTCTCTTCACATCCACTGAATCCACCGAATCTCCCTCATCATCCGTCACCACATTTAAGCCCATGGCCTGGGATACTGAACCAGCCGGTGTCGACTCTCTTCTTTCCGCAACGTCGTCCATTATCTGATCTTCTGTGTCTTCTTTGTCTTTGCTATTGTCCTTGTTGCGGTGGTCCGGCGTAAATGTAATGCGGTACATACTGGGATCATCACCATTGATGTCGTCGTCGTCCATATCTGAATCACTAATATACCCGTTGGATATCGCCGCCGCCATCACTAACTCCTGTACGGCCTCCCCCTTTTGTCCTTCTCCTTCTTCTACTACTACTACTTTCTTTTGGTCTTGAGAAGCTATCGCACTGATGATATCAAACGGGTTCTGACACAATGCGCGCGGTGAAGCAGCAAACAAACTACTATGTAGGGAAACCGACCGAGCAATAGGTTTTGTTTTCGAAACAACATCCGTGATAACAGCTGTGGTACTGCTGGTGGTTGGGAAAAAAGAAAGCGTTGTTTGCTTAATCCCATCACCAATACATCCACCCCGTACAGCTGCTGCTGCTACTGCTGCTGGTGGTTTGTTGGTTTGGTTGTTGGATTTTGAAATTACATTGTTTGTCGATGGGAGTAAGCTGGTTGTAGTATGGTTGCGTTTGAGTGTGTGTTTTTCTTTTTCTTTTTGTTGCCGTTTTTGCAACTGCCGCTTCTACAGGTAAAGCCAAAAGAAAAAAGTGACAGTATTAGTATGTTTTTACATATTTATTTAATTATATGTAGTTAGGACTATTTAAACAGTCTCGTGCATGCGTGTGTGTGTGTGTGTGTGTGGGTGTGTGGGTGTGTGGGTGCGTACTTTGAGGTCTGCCAGGCTGGTTCCAGTCATTCTTTATGTAATGCAGGGTCAAAAGGCAACAGTTGGATTACAGTAAACTAAAATTCAAAATTCAAAATTCAAAACTAAAAGGAAAATAAAATAAACAGAAACAGAAAGAAAAAACAATCTTAGGCAACATTCCAAAAGGATCAAATGCAAGATCACCCAAAAAATAAAACAAAATAAAAAACAAGTCAAAGTTTGGGCGTCTCCATCGTCATCCGACTCTCCTCATTCTCCTCATTCTCCTCACAACAACCAGGCTGCCTGATCTGATCAGGCGGCGGCAAAATGTGTCTCCTTATATACTCGTTGACAAAAATGCCCCTGGGATCGCACCTCTCGCGCATATTAACAAAGTCCTTGAATCTTGGATACGACTCGAGCAAATCGAAATAAAACATCTTATGGGCTTTGGCCCAATGCGGTCTCCCGCCCAATGTGCGCATGATATCCTCGTATGCCTTCCAATAGCGCTTATAAGGCACGCTCTTGTGGTAGGGCCGGTACATGATGACGCCGATATAGCAGACAGTCCGGTTATACGTGGGGCTCAGCCACACGGAGGACTCCTTGACAAACCGCACTTCCACTGGGAAATGCACACGCACTCCATGCGGGTCCTGCGCCTGCGCATTCACCCAGTGGCGGATCTGGCGCAGCGCCTCAGCGGTGTTCTCCCACGGGACCGCCCACTCGTTGACGTACTGTGGGAAAAGGCAGTCCATATTGAACACTTTGAAGCCGTCATCGACCCACTCGGTGCGCCGATCAAAGCGGTTGCGGAAATGCTCCTCGGTCAGTCTCGGGATGTCCCCTGGGCTGCACCTCGCCTTGAACAGCTGCAGCTGGTAGTAATGGAACCCATAGACCTGGTCGCGCCAGAACGATCCCGGATCCGGCCGCTGCGCCATCGATGACCGGTTGGCGCGCCACACCACTGTGTGGTCGGTATGCGGGAACCACCAGAACCGCACGTGCTCCGCCGACTGCAGCACCGCCGGAAGATCATCCAGCACGCGATCCAGCGTATCCGGCACCTGCACGGCGTGCAGCGTGAACATCGGCTCGCACTGCAACGTCACCTGCGTGATCACCCCGAGGGCGCCCAGACTGCACCTCGCGGCATCAAACAAGTCGCCCTCGACAGCCTTGCTGCACTGATGACGCACGCCCAATCCGTCGATAATGACCAGGTGGGTGATCATCGAGCTCAAGTCGCCAAACTGCATTCCAGTACCATGCGTCGCTGTGGCTATGGCGCCGGCAATGCTTTGGTCGGAGATCGCGCCCACAGAGCTCAGCGCCATTTGCCGCTGCTTCAGCACCTGGTGGAGCTCGTGCAGCCGGATTCCAGACTCGACGGTTATTGTGCAGGCGTAGGGGTCATGCGAGAGAATCCGCTTCATCTTGGACATGTCCAGCATCATCGAGTTGGTGCATGCAAGGTCCGATGGCGAGTGGCCGGAGCCAATGGGCTTGATTGTCAGCTGGTGGCGGTTGGCCAGGTGGATCAGCTGGATTATCTCTGTTTCTGTTTCTGGCGAGAGGAAGAAGCGCGGCCGGCTGCGGAATGTCTTGGCCCAGTTGGTGAACTCAAAGTTAGCCGGGCCGCAGCGCAGCCGATCAATGAGCGCGCTCTCGCTGGGAGAAAAGTCCATGTCGAGTATCCAAATAAATGTGTGTAGAGTATGGTTATTAATCGCAAAATAAAGCGGAGAAAAAAGAAAAGAAAAGAAAAGAAAAGAAAAGAAGGGAATAGGAGCAGAGGAGCAAAAGCATATTAGTGCTGTATCGTGTGTAATGCGGTAGACCCCGTTGACACTGCAACCTTTTTTACATTGAGTGGCGCTGGACTTATCTTGGCGGCCGAGCGCATATATTAAAATCAAATTAATCAAGTCAAATCAAACTCATGTAAGAGCAGCCCCCACGCATGCACTCAAGGCGAAGCAAAGCAAAGCAAAGCAAAGCAGATGGGGTTCTTTTCTAAAAAAGATCCTGTTTTTGTTTTTATTTTACATTCTTTGTCTCTTCTTACTCAGCCCTTTGTTTTTCCTTTCCATTTTCCTTCTTCTTCTTCTTCTTCTTCTTCTTCTTCTTCTTCTCTTTATTACTTCTCGTTAAAGATGTACATTGCGTCTATTCTAGTTGTTATTATTTCACTTCTCGGAGCATACAACCTTGATCTCTTCAACAGCGCTCCACGAACCACCACCCCAACCGCCTACAGCACGCTCTCACCAGACTTTCCTTCAATGCCCACAGACGCCTCGAAGCTGCGCATTCTGACGCAAAACATGTTCATGCGTCCGCCTCTGATCAAAAACAACAGGAGCGACTGGAAGGACGCCCGGCTGGACTACTTCATCGAGCACATACTGCCCAACTACGACATCGTCTGTCTGCAGGAGATGTTCGAGTATGCGTCCAGCAGGCGCGCGCGGCTTATGGCAGCGGCGCAGAAGCTCGGGTACCGGTATTCAGTGACCAGCGAGCGGCAGTTCCTGTGGAACGTGGGCATTGACGGCGGGCTGGTTATCCTGAGCAGGCTGCCGGTGGTGCAGACGGAGAGGATGACTTTTCAGCGCGGAATGGGCCCTGACTGGTTGGCCATGAAGGGCGTTCTGTACGCCAAGGTCGCGGTGGAGGGCGGCACGCATGCACATGTGTTTACTACGCATACGCAGGCGTCCTACGGCGAGGTTGTTATTACGCAGCCGGATGTCAAGCGCAGGCTGGCGCAGCTGTACGAGTTCCATGGGTTTATAGAGGCTGTTCTGCCCAGGCACAGGGCTGCGGGGGAGCCGGTTATTCTGTCGGGCGACTTTAATGTCGATTCGAGAGACCATGCACGCGTGGACGCCTCGGTCGGGTATGAGCGCGAGGTGGAGGACGGCGTGGCAACGTCGGATGAGGGCCAGGCGATGATGGCGATCCTCCGCGGGCATGGAATTGACCCGCGCGTCCTGGGCCCGGACAACACGGATACGTTCAAGGGCAAGGCTGTTTACGAGTTCCACGACTCGCTGAAGGAGCGGCTCGGGTACCACCCGGTGACGTTTGGCAACATCGTCGTGGACCAGCAGGGCAAAGCGCAGCCGCGCGAAACAGTCCTGACCACAGAGCACGATAACATGGTCATGCACTCTATCGACTACATACTGTGGTACAACCCTGACGAGCACCCGGGGGGCATGTCAGCGCAGCTGGAGGACGTCGGCGTGGCCCCCAATTTCACACCCGGGCAGGAGTTTTCCCAGATCTCCGACCATTACGGGGTATCGGCGGAGATTAAATTTGTTAAGAATTAATTTGATTGATTTTTCAGTGTAGTTTGGGGATCTTGTACGCGACAAAGCCGTTGGCGTTTGGCGTGAAGTCGGAGACATTCGCCAGGACACCCATGCGCGTGCGGCGGTCGGCGTGGATGACCAGGCGGCTGATGCACCGGTGGTGCGAGCCGGACGCAGGCAGTAGGCTCCGTGAGCTGTCGCCCGACCTCACGCTGGCCGCGGCTTGCTGCCTGCTGTGGCGGCCTTGGCTTCGGTGCTGGTGGTCGGCGTATTTCCAATACTCGGGCGAGGTAAATTCGCCGCCCAGGCTCCTTCGCTTGCCGTAGACGGACTCGACCTTCTTCGGCGTGCGCCTCCCAAGGGCGGTGTTCGGCCGCTGCGGATGTGCAAGCGTATTCTTGGTGGACAGCGCGTAGGAGCCCAGTGGCTGCTTGGTACGCGACACCGAGGAGTCGATGATCCAGGAGGAGTCGTAGACGACGGTGTCTTGACTGCGCAGCAGCTCCAGTGTCGTGCGGTCTTCGATTCCCGAAGTAGTGTTGTCCGTAAAGTAGTATTGGATGACACTGCTTTTGTTGACGTCTTTTATTTGGAGTCCACCATCAGCGACTAGCACAGGCAATAATTCAAAAGGTTTTTTTTTAGGAATTTACAAAAAAAGGGTTTGCCTTGTCGAAATGTATGCGTGTTTTTTTATTTACTTACGCCAGGTGTGGATGTGCGAGGGCGGGACGTTGGGTGAGAACCACGCGCGGTTGCCATCGAATAGCATCATTTGAATAGAATACAGGTGCGAATTTAAATTGATGGATAAAATAGGAAATAAATATAAATAAATAAATAAATATAAGGAAAGGGCAGGTGTATGACGTTCTTTGAATTTTCCTGTTCTTTTTCGCTCGCTCTTTTTTCTCTCTCAATTTTTGTTTAAACTTTTTATTTATTTTTAATTCAACTAATTCAACTAATTTCAATTTTTTCTTTTGTCCTTTTTTATCGAGATGGCTTCGACTCCGCCGCCCGCCTCTTCCTCTGCTTCCTCCTTAGGCGACCGCAGCCGCGCGCGCGACAAACTACGTGCATTCTACAAAATGCAAACCGCACCTCCGCTCCCCACCACCACCACGAGAAACACCAACCCGCCGTCAACCACAGCAGTGGCGGCACCAGCGGCACCAGCGCCAACCACTTCCGCACAGCTCAACCTCGACAGTGCCCATTTTGATTCGAAAAAATACACCAAGCAATTGCTTCTAACCTCAGGCACCCAAAGCCTCCTCCAGTCCTCGACGACCCTGGTCAGCTCAATCCGGCAGATCGACAATGATATGAAGACAATGGTATATGAGAACTACAGCAAGTTTATCAGCGCCACGGAGACCATCGGGCGGATGAAAGGAGACGCGGACTTTATGGACAGCGAAATGGGCAAACTCACCCGCCGCGTCACCTCGATTTCCCATAAGACCGCCGACCTACACCGGGCGCTGGACGCGCGCCGGGAGCGTATCTGGCGACTAGCAGCGGAGATCCGCACCTTGCGGGCGCTGCAGATGATCGCCGAGCTGCCAAAGCGGCTGAGCGTGATGATTGGCGCTGGCAGGTTTGTCGAGGCGGCAGGCGAGTGGTCGCGGGCGACGCCGCTGCTCGAGCACTATCGCCGGCTGGGCGCCCGGTTTGAGGGCGTGGAGAGCGACGGAAGGCAGATTATGCAGGAGGTGGAGGCGACGGTTTGGCGCCGGTGGAGGAGCGAAGACACGGGCGTAAGGGAGGGCGCCGAATGCGCATCGTTGCTCGTGCTTTTGCGCCCTGAGTGTGCGCCGAAGCTGTGGAGGGACTACTTGGTCATTCAGGCGCGCAAAAACCACAGGTGTAGGGCGGATGCCCTGGACCGCGCCATGAATGAGCAGGGCAGAGCCGCAGAGTTCCCGGCTCTCGAGGGTGCGCCGACGGGTGGCCGCGGACAACGCCCGAATGCAGGCGAATGCATTGCGCGGTTCCACGCCGAGTACCTGCCCGTGTGGAGCTCTTTGGTCATTGGGTTTGCGTCGCAGTTTCTGTCGCCGGCCGGCAGTGGGCTGATCGAGGCGTCGTTGTCTGCGGCGGCCAGTAAGCATGGCGGCCGCACAAAGTCGCTGCTGCAGGCTACCACCGAGGGCACCGTCGTCGGGCTGCTGTCGCCACAGCAGCATATTGACGGACAGGCGGCGGCGGCGGCGCCCAGGATCGCTGCCAGCCGTGTAGTCGGGTGGCAGGCCATGGATGCGCAAGACTTGGCGCAAGCGCAGGAGGCCTTTGCGCAGGCGCTGGTCGAGTGGGCGGCGGAGTACGAGCGCATTCTGGAGTCCCTCATGCGGTTCCCCGATGACACCACCACGGCAGCTAACGTTGCCCCACACCTGCACCAGCTGGACGCGCTCGTCTCGCTGCTCGCACAGTACCCAATTCTCTCGCGTATCGGCGGCCTGGACGCCTGCGTTCAGCGGATGGTCGATCGGTGGCAGCGGCGGCTGGTTGATGGCTGCCTGCAGGGCGTTGTGCGTGATTTGATCGAGCGCGTCGAGTATTATTTCGACCCTGGCGTTGACCAGGCATGTCCGGCAGCAGTGCAGGAGGAGGGCGCTGGTGGGGGGCGCAGGTCCAGCGCCAGCAGGCATCGCAGGACCATGTCAGCGCGAAGCAACCTGTCGGTGGGCGACCAGGGCCTGCAGCATCAGAGGTCTGGGTCAGCGGCCAGGGCTGTGTCGTCGGCCTTTGAGGCCTTGGGGAATGCACTGCCGACCCAGCCTATTGCGCCTGCCTCTCTGTCCCTCTCACCTGCACTCGCCCCCTTTGGCACCAACCCTTCCCAGCTGCCATCTCAGCAGCAGCAGCTGCCGCAACAGAGGGTGAGTCGTGCGAGCACCGTCAATGTAGCGTCCTCTGCGAGACATGCGTCGCACAGCCGGTCGAGTACGCTGCGCCGCAACCACCAGCGGACACAGTCTACGGCGATCACCGACCTATTCGATGCGCCTAACCAAGCCTCTTTTTCTGAAGACCTGCCGAGGCCTCTGCAGCGGCGGTACCGGCCGTGGTTGGTTTCTTCGATTAACCGCAACGCGCCATTGCACGTGTTTCTGGCGGACATCGAGAGCTGGCTGATCCAACAGGTGCTCGAGCGAATCAACCCGTTGCTCGAGGCTGTTGTTCAGCATTACTTGGACATTGAGGCGAGCCAGATCCTGGATGACGGCGAAGAACACCTGGGCCTGTCCCTGCAGAGCGCAGCGAGACTGCGGTTGGGATTTATTTCCGTGCTCGATCAATGCTTGGATACGTGGATGAGCGAGTGGATGCCTGCACTGTTTTTGCATGTTGCAATGGTCAATGTACCCTGTGGATCTAGAGCATATGTTGAGAAGTGCGTGGATGAGGCTGCGGCAAAGTTTGGCGGCGTCGGGATGGTCGGTGATCCGGTATCAAGCCTGCTTCTGGCCAGATTTGCTGTGGATTTTGAGCTGACTTTGGCGCAGAGCATCTACCAGCTATGCGAGCATGCTATTTTGGTCATCCCCGAGGAAAATAGCCATGGGTCTAATCGCGGCAATAATGCACAGGCGCAGGCGCAGGCTCAAGCGCGGCTTGGGGGCAGTATGCATGTACTCGAGGAACATTTACAGTCTATTACTGCCACCACTGCGGCTTCGTTTAGTCGCGCTGACTCTATGGCTAGTATTATTAGTGGACGCCGTGGTGCTGCGGCGAGACCTGGTCCCGGTGCCAGTGGTGGTGCGTTGTTGAGGTCGTTTGAGGCTGCACATGCTGCTGCTAGGTGGCATTCGGTGGCTGAACGCCTTGTGAGGCATTTCATCATGACTGTTGGACTGGACATTTCATCGGATTATTTGAGACTAAGACCGTATGATTCTACAACAGGAATGTTCGATACAGTGCAGCAAAAGGAGGAGGGTGTGGAGGAGGATGCGGAGGAGGGTGTGAGTGAGATTTGGCTGAGCATTTGTCGTTGGATGCGTCAGGTCGAGAACGACACTAATGCGTTGTTTTATGATCCGGTATTTTCGGCAACGCTGAAGGCTCTGCAGACATGGCATGAGCGCGGGGTTGGTGACCATGCTAAACAACCTACTACTATCCGGTCCCACCCTTCCCCTCTCTCCCATCTTCCACAGCAGCAGCAGCAATATGGACCGTCGATCTCTGAACACGCCCATATAATGTCCAACATTGACCGACTCTTTGCCCAACGCATTGATATCTTCCCCTCTGTAGTCTCCTCATTGACATCTGGCAAGATCCTGTTCCATTTATCCATGCAGATCATCAAAACAGCAATGGAGTCTCTGCGGTTGAGGCCTGCGAGATTGTCTCTGAGAATGTTTAGAAAAATATCTGTGGATGCAGCGTTTGTTCGGTCATGGATGCTCAGATACACGGGGGTTACACCGGATTTGCACAAACTGTCCAGGAGTCCAGGGTTGGTTTCAGTGGTTGCGGTCGGCGGCGGAAGCGGAAGCGGAAACGGAAAGCAACTGGATCAGAAGCAACAGCAAGGACAACAGCAGCAAGGGCAGCAGCAGGGTTTGGGCATGAAGGGTGGAAAGTCTGAGGAGATTATTAATGAGGGTGATGCCAGAGCCATTTTGAATTTAGTCGATGATTGGGTTGCCACGGCAAAAGCCTTTGTCGGCGGAGGTGGGTCCCTGGAGGTGCTACGCTTGAATGAGGAAATCGCTGATCAGTTGGTTTTGAATGCATGGATGGATACGTTTTTTTGTTGAATAGATTTATCTGTTTTTTTCGGATTGTTGATATTTTATGTAGTTTGATGGATAAATACACCCAGTGTAAATGTATTTTTTTTAGAACTTCTAGACATTTATAACGAAAATTCAGATTTTTAAGCGGGGGGGGGGGGGGTTCAAAAGCAGTCCCCCCCCCCGTTTTAGCCTAAAAATCAGAAAGTGTAGATTTTTGAATGAATGAAAATTGAATATTATTTTGGAACGGATTAAATGAAAATTTTAGAAAGCACCGAATGTCTACCAAACAACACCCCCTTGTGAGGACCACTTATAGACCTATGAGCCTGGACAAGTTGTTTAAAAAGTATCTTGCCCCAGCGATGCGAATGGCTGGTCTAGTGCTGCCTTGTGGCTGTTCCTTTCCCATCTGCTCACCCTGCCCCTAGCAACAAAGCTAAACCACCAGAGGTGGGCGAGATTGAAGGCAGTCACTGGTAATAACCCTTAGCTTCAGAGCCACGGTGGCGCTTGCCGCTGGTCTTAAGTCTAGGAGGTTATCCCCCCACTACCATGCTATGGGGGCCATGGCTACTGTGCTCGCATCCCTGCTGCGATCTGTTGTCTGTGGCTGCCCCATCTGCTGGTACCTCCTCTTGGGCGTAATTATTGGTTGATGGCGATCAACTGATTAACCAGCCCTGGCTATTCCAGCCAAATACACAATCATTAATAAGTCCACACAGTGATCAAACAAAGTAACATGTTCTTTACCTTTTCTAATGTAATAGCACTTATATAGTCAATACACTTTTATACATAGTATTTTATCTCTACACGTTCATAGAATGTGTCTCCCAAATTCAATAAAATGAAAGAAAAAATATAGTTTTTTTCTTTTTCGTTTTGAAATATTCTTTATTTTATATATATTTCTTTTCGTAAATACTCCCTCTCATTTATTTTATAAATAAAAAATGGTGGATTCTGCTGGTGCCGAATGGGTCAATCCGACCTCTGAACTTGCAGAAAATCTTGGAGGTATTTGTAGCAGCGAAAATAACACCAAAGAGACCCTGGACTTTTGTGTTGTTTCTTTCACTGTTGATACTACGGCCGCCAATAACACTGTTGCCCCCGTTGTTGTTGGCAAATTTCCGGTTACCACCACCACTACCTAAAGTGTTCCAAATGCTGCTGCCAATGATCAAATAGTTGCCACCGCCACTGTTAAAGAACTGGATTCCGCTGCATCTGCATCTGCCGATGTTCCGATTGTCACTACTGTCGCCAATTCCCCAGCTAACATCAAGCCATCTCTCGCCAGAAATCCCACATCTCTCAGTCGCTGCCACCAACTTGCCGATCCAGCTACTGATACCAAAGCTAGTTCACGCGTGAAGGCTACGCTGATAAATCTGTTTGTAACAGTGCATGTTCCAAAACTTACCACCCTCCGAGAGGAGCTTTTCCTGGCCTTGCCCCCTGCGCATACCACCCATCAGGTTGTTCCGCATGATGCTCAGCGGAAAAATCGATGACAAAATGTTTGCCAACAATTTTAAAGCCGCCAATCGGTCCAACGATATTTGTTTATTTTCCATGCGGGTGTTGCATGCCCTGACCAGCACCCTCGAATGCTGAAGCGTCCGAGTATGCCCAAAATTTCGACACAGATTTTTTCTTCAGAGCCATTGTTGAATTCGCTCAATAAAACCAAGGTATTCCCCCACCATAATGCTTAACCGCAATGTAACGGTAAAATTATTCGTGCTCAAAACAGGACTTAATATGCTGCTGACCATTGTCGGTCGCCTCTTCTTTTGGGGGTGACGAACACGTTATAATCAAGAAATGGAGTTATTCCGTGTGCCATCGCAATATTGGATTTCAAAAGTCCAAGAGGCAGTTGCCGAATAAGATGATGGCTTGCTGTGTGTGTGGTCGCGGTATTGATTATTTTTTGGTGTTTAGTAAAATTGATTTGTTCGTTAGATTTTTTCACGCTTTTAATTGTGGTGCCTAACACACATTTCAAGCCACTATCTTCTCTTTTTAAGAATCAAGGTTGCCCTCATGGCCACTATACACATTTCTATTATTGCTGGTTGATATCAAGGAACACCATGATGTTTACAGAGCTGCCCACACAGCGCTGCCCCCTTTTTCAGTTAAGTAATTTTTAAGACTTGAATATAGCGATTTAGATCCACATTGTTATAGAGTACGACATTAATGAGAAGAACGGGCAGTTTAAAAACTTTGGATTTACTGGATTTGAGCGCTCCAAAGAATAGGGTAGTGTTTTTTGTGGTTCTTGCAAATTGCATGAGAATTATTCTCGCTCAGAATATCAAGCGCTGAATCTTTATTTTTTTAGTATTTTAGTATTTTCAATATAAGAAAATAATTAGTTTGAAATTAAAACACATATTTGTAATATACGCACTTAAAAATATTGTAAATGAAAAATGTAATATGATAATTGAAAGAAATATGAAAATGAAAATAAATAACATAATTATTATGATTACGAGTAATTTTGGAACTGGAGATTGTCCGAAACCACGTTAATGTTAAACGGAGACTGCACAATATTGTGACGCAGCCGGTGAACATCATTAGAAGTCTGGTCCTGCGCCTCTGAGTAACTCATATCCTCAATCTCGCCATGCTGCCCCTCCAAGGAAGAGCCAATGGCGCCAGAAATCCCATTAGCAGATGAATCCTGACCCAAATGCGAGTCATCACCATTCACAAACGACTTGCCATTGACCATGGACTCCTCCCCTGCCTGGCTAATTTGCCTCAGAGAATAGAGATTATTGGCAACATCGTTCAGTGATGGCGAGGTTGACGAAGCTGTGTAACCGTAGAGGTAATGCGCAGCCGCTGCTGCCGAAGATGACGAAGAATCAGTCTGCCCAATGACTGCAGCAACATCAGTAATATCAGACACCACGCTAATGGACGTGTTGCCTGAGGATACTGCATCAGTCACCCCATGCACGCTGCTAGCAGAACGCTGGATCTCATTGTGAGTGTTCCCAAGCGCATTGCCATTGGCAGCCGCAATTGGGTTGACCATGCCGAGCGACGTAATAGCCGAGGTGTTGCCAGCTGCTGACGAAGACAAACTCTGGTCGTGATGGCTGCCCGAAGAAACCATCGAGTAGACAGGGTTTTCAACAGAGTGCAGCGTGTACTGCGACGGCCCAGGTGCTATTGTCTCTGCGGGCGTAACGGGAGATGAGTTTGTCTGGCCGTTAGACATCTCGGCAGAGCTGGCCGAAGCCTCCCAGGAGGGTACAGAGTCCTGGTAGTACGAGTACATCCCCTGTCCAGATCCCTGCGGCATCTGGAATGAGTTAGACAAATCCGCTACAACGGCCACTGCGGCGGCAGCAGCGGCGGCGTCAACGCCACTGTTGGAATGCTGTTGATGCGGTTGGTGCGATGGCACAGAGTGTGTATGCATGTTTCCAGAACCAGAAATCTGCGAGCCCTGTTGCTGTTGCTGCTGTTGGTGGGAGCTCTGCTGGGCCATGTAGTGCTGCTGCGGTTGCTGCTGTTGGGCAGCATAGAGCGACGTGGCAGAGAGATGCGTCGAACTAACAACGTTGTTGGCGCCCTGGTGAGGCATAAGGCGGCCCGGGTACTGGGGGCTGATAAACTTAAAGTTGCCAAAAAGGTCGGCAGATGGGAGCGCTCCCTGCGCGCCACCAATAAAGTTTGACGCCAGGTGGTGCTCACTCTGTTGCTGATGAGACGGCTGCATCTGCGGCTGGTGCGTGTACTGGCTGTGCTGTGCCTGATGGTGCGCCTGCACCTGCTGCTGATGCGCATGGCTGTAACTTTGAGTCTGAGCGAGGTACCCGTTGTGCTGGTGCTGCATGTGCGCATGTTGCTGCTGCTGGTGATGTTGCTGCTGGTGGTGGTGTTGGTGGTGTTGGTGATGGGCATGCTGCTGGTGGTGACCCTGGTCTTGGTGGTGGCCATGGTGGCCGTTGGCAGCATGGCTGTACTGCTGCTGGTGGTGATGCTGGTTCTGTTGCTGGCTTGAGTCGTACATGCCGCCACCAGTCATCATAGCGTATGGAGACGCCGGGAACCCCATTGCATGCTCGGGAATTCCTGACTGGCTGTTCATATGCATAGGGAACGGATGAACAGTACTGCGCGAGCGCGTCAGCGGTCCACCAGCAGCGTGGCCGCCAAGCCCCATGGCCATCGACGTAGGACTAGTCATTGCCGTGGGCGCAGGCACCGAGCCATTACCCTTCATGACCTCGCGCAGACGGCGACGCTCCAGTCTGCGGAAAATCTCCGACTGAATCCACGCCTCGCGCTCCGGCGTAGGATCCTTGCCAAAACGAATCCGCGCCTGACGGTACACACGGCAGCGCAGGTCATTCAGGCGGTTCTTTTCTGCATTTTCTGAACGCCATCTCCGCATGCGCTCGGACACTTCGGCTTTACTCTTGGGAGTGCGGCGGTCGGACTTTTTTGACTTTGACGGAGAGGAGGGGCTGGAGTCAGAATCGTTGGAGTCCTGGGACATGGTCGACGTGTGCATCAAGTCATCCTTGAGAAGAAGCCCGCTGCGCGTGTCCAGGTACGGGTTGGAGCCCATAGGGTCAGGCAGTTGCGGGTATCCGTTGGCATCGGACGCAAAAAATGCAAACGGATTCTGGTTCATCGTGAGATTTTTTAGACTAGTCGTAGTCGAAGATCCGAAAAAAAAAATATCAGGGTGTGAGAGCGGAGAAAAGCTCAAAGAAGCTAATGTAAGCCAAGGCAATGAATAAATAAATAATAGTAATAATGTAAATGTTTAGTGGGAAAAGGTTTAGAACTGGTAACGTGGTGAGCAAATAGGACGGGCAGAAAAAAGGTGTTTTATAATATCGCTCAAGGGGGAGAGTGGCAAAGATATATTTTCAGCGCGTGGTAAATTAATATTAAAAAGTAATTATATATGGAACAATAACTTTGTACGAATAAATAACAAAAAAAGCGTGCGATAGATGGAAAGTCAAGCTGAAGATGAAATTGCAGCAATGTGTTGAATCAGAGCAGCTAGCAAAATAAAATTAAATGATAGTGTAATTTGAGCACACAGAATGAGAGACAAAAATTAAGGTGTAATGCAGTCATGACAAAGCTTTGTTTAAATATTGGTGCCGAGGGGTTGAATATATATATATGGCAAGATAATCGCTGTTATTTCAGTACCACGACCAATGTGTTCAAATGAAAGCAAATAGTATAACGTACGCGCAATATTAGTCTAAAATACATGAATAATTGCTACGGACATACGGCTATGCAGTATTATAAACGCAGTATTCCCCGTGGGTAATTCACAGTACAAAAGGCAACATACTCGTATGGGAAAATATGGATGTTCTTTTTTGTATGAGCTTAGAGAAGAGCAGGATGACAGATTAGCATCGGAATAATTTGGAAAAGTATAAAGGAAAATTGGGGACTCGGGCTTTTGGATACGGGGACAAAAAATCCGCTCGTGAAGATCCCACGGGATGCTGATGCTGGGAACAAAAAGAAGCATGACTTGCTAAATAATAAAAAATATATAGCAGGATGAAAGTATATCGTTTGAAGAAATAAAGTCCACTTTTATTTTCTATTCCCGAACGTGCGTGTTCGTCTGAGTGATGGGGATGCAAAGATTTGAGGGAAGGAATGTATCACAACAACAACAAAAACCATCGACAAAAAACTGATACAAGAAAAAAGGGGCAACCAATCAAAAGGGGAATGTGAGACGTTATCAAAATATACTGTACCTTTTTGACCAAGAAGGATGATTGCAATATGCAATATGGCACGCGATAGTCCAATATGATGCCCTCCCACGCGACGCGTTAAGAGAAACGAAATTGGGTTTAGAAAATCGCAAGCATAAAACTCTGGCAGGATAAATAACAGATAATCAATGTTTTTCCCTGGGATAGCTACGGCTTTCGCTACTTTTGTCGCAAGCAAGCTTGGGAATAAAAACTTGAAAATAAAGATGCCACAATAAAATAAAAGTAAGAGACGGAGAAAGAGAAAGAGGTAGTAAGGCAGAAGATGTAGGAAAAATATTGATAGTAAGCGCCGTTATAATAGTTATTTAGCCCGTGAGCACGATACTTGCTGTGTGATAGAGAGAAAGAGAGGGGAGAGAGCGTGCCTGTGTATGTGTGCGAAATACAAGAAAAAGTAGAAAAGAAATGTGAAAAATACGGCCAGTAACTATTTGAACCCCCCGGCCAGGTAGTTTGTTTTGTTGGCAATTGCAGTTAAGGACAGGCAGGTGGATGTGCGTAAAGTAGTATTTTTAACCCAACTGCATTAACAACACAAAGTGCCAATCCTGCGGGAGCGTATGCCAGGATAATGCGGAGAAGTGGGAACTGCTTTTTTAATTATCGGGTTAGAGCGAAACGACCAGTATGATGCTATTTTAAAAAATAATATATCCTCGTTGTGGAGAATTAAAAAAGAATTTAATAGATATAGGAGCGTTGGAAATAAACAAATGGTTGTGCTGTAGAGTTTAGAGAATACAAATAATGGTATCAAAATATCAGCCAGAGTCAATTTGGTTTATAAAACTAATACTATAGTAGAAAAATAGAGGAGCTGATCGTTCAAGTGGAATGAAAAAGGTATTTTACAAAACTCTGGGCTGAAAGGCCCGTTTATGTTTATCCCTGCTATCCTACTCTCTCAGCCACCAACACGAAGCTCGCAGGAACAAAATAAAAGGAACCAAAAATGGCATCACGGGTGGATAGTTTTCGGTAGCTCAATGAAAATAACTGATGCACAATAATGAACAAAAAAACAACGCTTTGTTAGCAATTATCGCGGTGACAAAACTAGCACCCCCTCCCTGTTGTTGCACACCCCCCACTCATATTTTACCTGCTTGAAACAAAAGCTGTCTCCCTCCAATCGAATAGCACGTATCTGGAAACACATTTTCGTCTGCTCAAAGCCCAACTTGCCTGCGGCTGCGGCTTGATGCTTGCACTGTGAGCATCTTGTTTAGCATTTTCATTCGCCCAGCCAATAAGAAATAAAACAAATTTGGGGATGGGGACAGCAACCAGCCTTGCACCAACGGCATGCATTATATAATATTTTTACACCCCACGACAACACCCAACGATATACAGCCATACATTTTTAGGCGTGTGCCACAGCCTGGCTTTGGACATTTGGACATATCCAAACTCCGAGTTGTTTGCGCAGACTCAGCGCAAAGAATGTACTTTTAATTACATGGTGTTTTGTGTCCCCTGTAGGTTAATAAAAGTGCAGCCCATTATGCCTCTATTTTATTTTTTTCAGAGGCTTTGAGATTTATTTTATTCGATTCAACAATGGTGCAGGGGTTTTTTTGCACAGCTGATTAACATTTTTCATGCATCAACAATGTCAATGAAATGGGGACTGGGTTCAAATGTAAAAAACATTTGCATTATTCCCTTTAAACTATTGGTAAACACCTGCTTCAGCTTTTTTAAATTTGCATCCCTAGTTGTTATTTTTTTCTGTAAACGGGCCAAACTAATTAAAATGTTGGCGAATGAATGATGTCTGAGCCCATTTATTATCAATGTATTTATTTTGCCAGTCCGACAAAAAATGACAATTGTCCCCAAAGTCCCTATTTTTCATTTCGCAAAATGCTGACACTTTCTAATGCACTGGAATACACCGCAAAATTTGATGTAACCAAATTGCAATGATAATAGGGACTAGTCCCCTTTTTGCATTTTTTGGTGTGCATGTGTGTGTACAGCCATGCCATTTTACTACTTTTTTTGTCCCTACCCCCGCAAAAAAAATTGTCATGCCAGTTTTGAGCATCAAAAAGTCCAATCAGCTGGATGCATTTTCAGTGCACTTGCAAAAAAATGGGTTACTTTTTGGCCACAGGTTTTTGAAAAATGAGGCGCAGCCACGAATTCGTATTTTTTACATTCCAGCTGATATAGTTTCTTCTTTTTCAATTTTGTGGAACAACTGGAATGGACAAAGCCAAGTTGTAAATGGGGCTAGCAGGGTTGTACGAGATGTACTTTATTGGCATGTCTGATATCCGCTAACCCTACCTGGATCAACCCTTGTGCTTGATTGAGCATATAATATATTTTTTGGCATGTCTGTTTACATAAAGATATAAACCATAGGATTTCAATAGTGCTACCAATATCTTGATGCTAGCGCCCCCTTTTAACATGTACAAATAATGTGTGCTGGAATATGTATTGGATACAAATAGTGCATTTCCAGTATTAAAATTTTATCGACATTAGGGTTGAACGTTTCAGAAATAGTTACTGACGATTGATTAAGGTACTTGCAGATGCCATGCATTGGCGCTTGTGACATATGAACAGTGCCTTTTTTATTTTTTCTGGCTGCTCATATTGCAATTTTTGATGTATTAGAGCTGAGGAAGAGATGATTGGATGGTGCGTTGACTGCACAAGCGCAGTAAGAATGTATGTTTTTTCATGCATGTAATTTTTTTATGCAATTATTGAGTCTTCTCAGGCGAATGCTTAGAAAGTTTTTATATGGTGTGGCTTTTTCTTGTTGTTGGTCAAGACCATTTTAATGTTACTGCTGCTTGTGGTCACAGAAGATTCACCGATTCTGACACAATAATGGCCGCCGAGAATATACAGCAGCTTCCGCTCAGGTACTTGAGCCACTATTTACTGCCCTGAAATTGGCTTTTTCACTCTTATTGTCGCTGTTTCTGGATTTTCCCCCGTTTAAAGTGAGGAAACTAATAGATCAAATGCATTTTATTCAGCTTTTGTCATACTGCTCAAGCGCTTGAATTATACTGACCCCCTTCTGAGTATACATGTCCCCGCCATTAGATATTTAAAAAAGCGCTACTATTTTTGGCTATCTGGTTTACTGAAGCAACAAGAGATTTGCTACGACCTTGGCCTCTTTTACTTTTCACATATTGTGCAGACCAAGTATCCACAATTTGTTATGAGCGGAGTAAATCTGAATTTTTCTACACTATCATCGAGAATTTGATTGATCAAAAATTATTGAAATAGATAGGAAACAAAGATCAAAATTTTAAAATTTTACTTTGTTCTGATATACAGGCGGGTGTCCGAGCCACCAGCCTTGGATTTGATTGTGACAGGCGTTCCCGATGCATCGATAACCAGACCAAGTTTTCTGTTGGCAGCTGCCTTGCAGGCCGCGGTAATATTGATTCTGGGCGGGGCATTCTTGTTATCACCAGTAGTCTGGTTAATCACCTCACCAGCCTTGGGAGAGTTTCTAGCCGTGACATTGGAGGCAGAAAAGTCGGCATCCAATTTTCTAACAAACAGATTGTAGTAGTGAGTATTAGGGCTCTTGGTCATGGACTTGGGGAGCGCGAGGACGCATTCCTCAATGTCAGATGCGTTCTTGATTCCACTGGGAAAATTAAAACTCATGAGGATGCGCAAAAAGTGCTCGTTTCCGTTGAAGGCAGTGTAAGTGTGTAGGCCATTAAAATTGGAATCAATACAATAGTTTTTTCCGCACTTGGTGTTGGTGTACACCAGGCCTGCGTCCTTGTCGATGGAAACTGAGTACTGGGCAGCTGAAGAGAGAGCGACGAGGGTCAAAATGGCAGCAAAGGTCTTCATTATAATGACAAGTAACAAAAATGTGTTTAAACTGTTAATGTTATTAGATAATAGCCAGTGAGTATATATTATATAAATTATATGCCAATTCCAATGTTAACAAAGTACTTGTTTTTATATTATTTTTGTATTTTTGTATCTACTGGCAATTGCAATATCATATTTTCATTTGCCTTTTGGACCTGTTCTCACGCAAATCACATGGATGATACACAATTACAAGGGTAAGTATAAACAATACCTTTTTGCTTGTTCTGAATAAAGGTGGCTATAGTGTGCACATTTGTCCTGATGTAAACTTTACTGTGGCTAACTGTGCGAACGATGGGAGCAATGAGGTAAAACACCAAAAATCTTTAGCGAGTATTGTTCACAAGCAAATGGCAAATATTCAATTTAAATGATAATCTAAAACAACAATTAGTGGTGTGCTAGGCGCCATACAGTTGGCGAAAGGAAATATATAAGTTAAATTTAAAGAACACACGCCAAATTGAATTTTGATGTTCTTAAAACTAACAATATATGCAGCCGTACCTTTTAAACACTTGATATTGTAAAATGTATATGCAGATTTCTGTATTTTCATTATTTAATACCCAGGCATCTGACCTTGGCCCTGACCTCATCTTTGCCCTTGTAACTCGGTCAAGATAAATTGCTTCTGCTTAATTGTTGTCTCTAATAGTTTGCTTTGAAAATGAAATTAAAACATAAAACCTACTGCTTTTTATTTGTTGTTCATGGCAGATGTGCCTTTTGTCTGCATTTCGAAAAATATTTGCGCACACACACACATACACGCAAAACGCCTCATTTATCGAACAAGTGCACCAATGATGTAATTACATCTCAACAAGCAGGCATCCTCAACAGATTTAAAGAATAAAATATTTAAACTGACTTTTGTGCTGATAATCCATGATCTGGAGCCGTTAATTTGGATCGTGGTTGATCACTGCGTTTGGTGGTTGCTGCGCCCTTTTGTATTTTTTTGGCGCGTATGCTTTTCTGTTTTTCTTTGTCGTTTGTCGTTTATTTATTTTTATTATCTTTATTTTGTTGGCATTTGAATTCAGCTATATATGCCCCTTGCAATTCTAAAATGACAGAACTCGGCGCAACTCTGGTGGGAATGTACCCTGGCCGCGACAACCAAATAGACCAGCTTTTGTCCTTACTCGGAAAGGTAAACAAAAACAAAATGTTTATACACAAAAGAAAGATGTTCCACATATCTTTTTTTTCCATCTTCAGCTGAACTCAATAATCTATCCACTTTTTCTGGAAATATAGCCAGCAGATCCATCACCACCTTGCATTTTCATTTACGGACCTAGCGCAACCGGCAAAACCAGCCTCACACAAACACTCTTCCAGCACTACGACACAACAGGCAAACACCATGCGTACATTAACAGCATAGAGTGCTTTAATTCGCGTCTTCTCTTTGAGCGCACGCTCAATGCATGGATGGGATACCAGCCGTCGGCAGAGAACCGATTTGGAAACTACGTAAAGTGCGATAATCTGGTAGACTTTATCAACTATACCCGGGAGCTGCTGCCGCACGGTGAAAAGCACTTTATGGTTGTGGATCAGGCTGAACGGCTGCGGGACCGTGGGGCCATGCTGCTGACCTCACTGATGCGCCTTTCGGAGCTGACTGGGAGAGATGTATCAGTGGTACTGATATCCAACGTCATCTGGGATAAGTTCAGGCCACGGCATGGCGGGGCGTCAGACCCGGTCAGTGTGTTTTTCCCTTATTACGAGAAGAATCAGATCCTGGACATCCTGGTCAAGGACTGTCCTCCTGAAGAGCCACAGAGTTTTTTTCTGACCTTTGTCGACGCCATCTACGAGGTCTTCCGCCGAAACTGCGTCGACCTCAATGAACTACGGCACCTTGTGGCCATGCTCTACCCGAAATTTGTTCAGCCAGTGTTCGAGAAACAGGCCACCAGAGCGGAGTTTCCGCGGCTGTTCAAGCTTTGTCAGCCCTATTTTACTGCTGCGTCCGATAGGCTGTATTTGCGCGAGATATCGACGAGCGAGTGGCAAAAGAACTCGACCATAGCGTCGGTCAAGAACAACCCCGAGGATGTCGCAATGTCGATCTACCAGATGGCGGACTCTGACAATGGGCTTGACCTGCCCCATTACACAAAATTCTTGCTCATATCAGCGTACTTGGCCTCGTATAATCCGGCGCGGCTGGATGTGCAGTACTTTGCAAAGGGGAAGGACCCAAAGAAGAGCCGCAAGAAGAAGGCTGTGACAAATGGAGAGAACGCCCTTGGTGGGCATAATCGGCAGCAGTTGATGGGGCCCAAGTTGTTTGCCATTGAGCGAATGCTGGCTATATTCTACAGCATCGTGGCTGAGCCGGTGAAGAGCGCCGTGGATGTGCAGATTCAGATCGCGTCCTTGGTTACACTAAGACTGCTGACTAAGACTTCGGCGGGTGACCGCCTGGACGGCATCAGATGCAAATGCAACGTGAGTCTAGATACTATCAGGACCATCTCGCGCAGCGTGCGGTTTGAAATTGACCGGTACCTCTATGACTTTGCATAGATGCGATTGGTTTTTATACTTTTACTTGATATATTTCAAAAAGACAAGTTTGCATTTTTATATTTTGTTTTAATTGATATTTCCCCTCCTTGCTTGTTACATGCAGATACGGTATGTAACGTAACGTCCAGCGGTTTCCGAGGGTCTGATGATCTGAACAACCTGTCCCCTGGTCATTCCATAGTACCTAGCTACAGGATCATCGCTCAGGATTCTGGGCAACTGAGTCTCCTTCAAGCGGTACCTAGCCAAAATATCCCTCTTCTGCTCGTCCGACATAACCTTGTGCTGCGGAACCAACTCATGCTCCGTAATATTGACCAACAAGTTGGCCTCTTCAAATTTTTCCAAGCGGAACTTGCCAGTAACATGCGACATAAGCTTATCCGCCGAGGAGGTCATCTTCTTGCGGTAAACAACAACTCCGTTCAAGACTGACTCTTTGGTCATGCGCTGGAAATACTCCTTGATGGGCTTGATGCCGACAGACTCATCGTCAGGGAAGAAAACAAACATCTGGATGGAGGGGTCCAGCTTCTTCTGAACGATAAACGTCATGCGGGTGCGGTCCACTTTGCCAGAGGGGGCGAACTGCGCGCGGAAGTCATCGAGAGATCTGTCAAGTTCGCTGGCAGCAACAAGGTAGTTCTATCAACAAAAAAAGTAAAAGTAAAAAATGAAGCTGAAGGTTTTAGTGCCACTTGTCTTTACAATGTGCGCATTTTGGATTTAGTTGCTGCGGTTCATTACTGTATGCCCTTGCACCAAACAATAAAAAAATGGTACGTACTCTGTCTCTGCACATTTGGTGGACTGTGCGGTAGACGCGCCACATACGGGAAATCTCTCGGGAATCAGTGTCCATTGTTGTGAAATGTAAGTTAGGAAATTGTACAGTGAAAATATTAAAAATAAACAAAATGGATTGATTTGAATGAGTACGGTGACAAAAAAAGTGAGGCGATGGAATTTGAAAACGCGTCTGTTGGTCATGTTTTTATTTTTTGGTCTATACCGATTTTTTTTTCAAACTGTGAAAAATGCGATGATGATCAGTGGTGATCAGTTAATTAATTTCTTTAAAATATTTAAGCACATTTGCAGAGCACGTGCAGTTGAGCAATAAACTTGGCCGATAGGCAGAGTGACCATCGATCTGTTAAAGCATTTACAGCCCGAAAACTCTCCCGTTTAAAAGCAATTTTTTTTGCACACAGCTTTTCATTCCTATTCCTATTCCTATTTCAATAAAAAAATTTAGTATTCCTCACACATATGTTCCTCTACAATCTCACGCTGCAGCCGGCGTCATCTGTCAGCACGGCGATCATAGGGAACTTCTCCGGCACCAAAACGCAAGAACTCGTGTTGGCACGTCACCAGCACCTGGAGCTCTGGAACATTGACACAACGACAGGAAAGCTCAGTCTCAAACACCGGCAACCAGCGTTTTCGCACATCCGCTCGCTCTCCTCCTTCCGATTGACAGGCAGCTCCAGAGACCACATAGTGCTTGGATCCGACGCAGGCTCCGCGGCGCTAATCGAGTATAGTGAGCAAACCGGATTTGTACAAGCACAATACCACGAGTTTGGACGCACTGGAGTGCGGCGGATGGTTCCGGGGCAGTATGTAGCAGCGGACCCGCGCGGGCGAGCATTTATGGTGGCGGCAACAGAGCGCGCCAAGATTGTCTATGTGGTGACAAGGGACTCTGAGGCTAAAGTGGCCCTGGGCTCGCCACTCGAAGCCAACCGTGCTGAGGCCGTGTGCTTTGACGTAGTCGGCGTGGATGTTGGGTACGAGAACCCGGTGTTCGCGGCACTGGAATGCGTGGGCATGGGGCCCAAGCAGGTCGTGTACTATGAGCTTGACCTGGGACTGAATCATGTTGTCAGATCGTGGAGTTCCGACGTACACGAATCGGCCAGTCGACTGGTGGCTCTACCCGGTGGCGGCGACGGGCCGTCTGGCGTGCTGGTGTGCGGCGAAGGATTTGTCGAGTACAGGGGCTCGGCGGTCGAGAGCTCTCTGAGAGTGGACCTGCCCAGGCGGGCAGGCGATGAGGGGCGCGGTGCGCTGGTGGTGGCCAGCGCAGTGCACCGGATGAAAGGTGCGTTTTTCATTCTGCTGCAGTCCGAGAGCGGTGACCTTTTCAAGGCCACAGTGGACTACGAGGCAGCCACAGCAACGGCGACGCGTCTGGGCATCGCGTACTTTGACACTATTGCGCCAGCCTCGTGCCTTTGCATTCTGCGTGCCGGGTTCCTCTTTGCTGGCAGCGCCGGCGACGGCGGCAGCAGCCTGCGGCTGTTCCAGTTCGAGAATCTGGGCGTGGACGCGGAGGCAAGCGAGTTTGAGCCGCAGCCGTTGCGCAGTCTGGCGCTGGTCGACGAGGCCGAGAGCCTGTGTCCAATGGTACGCAGCCAAGTGCTGAACCTGACAGACGAGGATGCGCCGCAGATCTACGCGCTATGCGGGCGCGGCGCGCAGTCTGCGCTGCGGATTGTGCGCCATGGGCTGGAGGCCGCCGAGCTGGCCGTGTCCGAGCTGCCGGGCACACCACAGGCCGTCTGGGCCATTGCGCGCTCGGGCTCTGCCGATGGGGACCAGCTTATTGTTGTGAGCTTCCGCGACGCCACGCTGGTGCTGGGCGTGGCCGACGAGGTCACCGAGGTCACCGACTCGGGCTTGCTCACAACCGAACCGACCCTCGCCCTACACCAGTGCGCAGCCGGCGGCACTGTGCAGGCCACACCGCGCGCACTGCGCCGCACCTATGCGGATGCACGGGCCGCCGAGTGGCTGCCACCACGAGGCCTGCGCATCACAGCGGCGGCTCTCAACTCGCGCCAGGCGATTGTGACCTACGGCGGCGAGCGCGCGGCAGTGTTCCTGCTGGACGCCCAGGACGAGCTGCGCGAGACCGCCGAGCCGCTGGTTGCAGGCAGCGAGATCGTGTGTGTCGCGCTGCCGCAGGTTGCACACGGCCGGCGGCAGGCGCCCTTTGCAGCTGTGGGCTGTGCCGACCAAACGGTGCGTGTGTTTGCCCTCAAAGAGGGAGGCCCAGAGCCTGTCGCTGTGCAGGCCGTAGCTGACCATCCGGAGTCTGTGGTGCTGGTGTACACGCCGCTGGGGCTGATGCTGTTTGTTGGCCTGCGCAACGGGCTGCTGGTGCGCGCAGCCATCGACGAGATCACAGGTGAGTTGAGCGATCCGCGGACGCGGTTTCTTGGCGCCAGGCCCGTGCGCCTGCGTGAGTGTAGCCTTGGAGCTGGTGGGACCGGCGTCGTTGCGCTGTCTTCGCAGCCGTGGCTTTGCCACGCGTATCAGGCCCGACTGCGCACGGTGCCGCTGTCGTACGATGCTCTGGACGATGCCTGCGCCTTCCAGTCGCCGCAGGGTCCTGGGCTGGTGGCCATTTCGGCCGGGTCGCTGCGCATCCTGGCCGTCGACCGCCTCGATGCCGAGTTCAACCACGCGGCTATCCCGCTGCAACACACGCCGCGCGACTTTGTGCTGAACCCGCAGTCGCGCCATTTTGCTGTCATCGAGACAGATAACATGGGCGGTGGCAGCTGGGCCTCAGTCCTGCGCGTGCTGAACCCATTTGACGGCGAGACAACATGTCTTGTCGAGTTGGACGCCGACGAGGCGGCTGTGAGCATGGCGCTGGTATCGTTTGCCAACACGGATGGTCTTTTCCTGGCTGTCGGCTGCGCCACTGGCATGACTCTGCGCCCGCGCAGCAGCCGCTCCGCCTGCCTGAGGCTGTTCCGCTGGTCGGACGACGGAACGCAGCTGGTGCTGGAGCACCTGACGCCACTGGACGACATCCCGCAGGCGCTGCTGCCGTTCAACGGCCAGCTGCTCGTGGCGCTGGGTCGCACGCTTCGGCTGTACGACATGGGAAAGCGCCAGATGCTTAAAAAGGCGCAGACGCTGGTCGCGCCCTGTCTGATCACTGCGCTCCACGCGCACCCGACACGGAAACAGCGCGTGTTTGTGTGCGATGCGCAAGAGTCAGTGCAGTTGGCTGTGTTCAGCTCCTCTGCGCGCCAGTTCCACGTTGTCGTGGACGACTCTCTGCCGCGCTACGCTACCTCGGTGCATGTCTTGGATGATGGCGCAACTGTTGTTGGTGGAGACAAGTTTGGAAACCTGTTTGTCCTGCGGTGCCCTGAGACTGTTAGCAGTGCACTGGATGCGGACCCTGAGGGTGGCCAGTTGATATACGAGAAGCCGCGGATGGGCGCGTCAGCCAACCGTTGGGTGTCTGTTGCCGAGTTCCATGTCGGTGACATTGTGACTTCAGTGACCACATGCGCCCTGTCTCCGGGTGGCCGCCAAGTGATCCTATATTCCACTTTGCTGGGCAGTCTAGCTGCGGCCATTCCGTTTGTGAGCAAGAGCGATATAGGCTTTTTCCAGTCTCTGGAGCTGCTCATGCGCAAACACTATCCTGTGGTGTCTGGCCGTGACCATCTCAAGTACCGCTCTTCCTTCCAGCCCGTCCGCTCCGCCATCGATGGTGATCTATGCGAGCTCTACCACACCCTGAGCAATGAGGTCAGAGAGTCAATTTCGGACGCGCTGGACCGCACGCAGCAGGATATTTTCAAAAAGCTCGAGGATATGCGAACAATGTTTACATTTTAACCTTTTTTTGCCTTTTTTAGAGTTGGAAATAGAGATATGGAAGAAAAATGAACTAATTTCTAGATATTCATTATGCCGGTTACCAGTTGTAGAACGACTTGGGGTTAATCACCGGCTTGTTCTCAGTCAATGGCATCCACACCTTCTTGGTCAGCGTGAAGCCCTTGACCTTCCTCTTGGGAAGATCGCCGGCCAACAAAGCCCTCTCCACAGCATTCCTCGCCTGAGGCTTCTCCTCGGGCCTCTTCTCCCAGACTACATACTTCATATGCGAATAGGGGATCCTGATGACTCCGAATCTTCCTCTAGCCTTCGGGTCCAGTCTCTTTCTATACTTTCCCTTTCCGACTCGCGCCAGCTTTACAAACATGTTATCGGGGTTCATCTCCTTCTGGAACACCGCGTTCTTACGTGCCCAAACCAAAGAGTGTCTGATCTTTGTCGCTGCCTTCTTGGCCGAAAACTGCATTTGACGGATAGCTTCGGTGAGAGGCAGGCCGGTGATTTGGTTACCGATAAGGCGCAGCTTGCGAGGGCTCACGTGGAAATTGGCAGTGCTGTAGGTGTACTCTCTGATACGTGCAGTACCCTGGCCCTTGCCCAGACTGACTGTGTGCAGGTCCTGGGGGATCGCGCTACCGCTGCTGCTGCTTTGGGCGGCTGTGGTGGCAGCAAACACCGAGGACGCTGACTGATCGGCGGCGCTGGGGCGCACTGGCGTCTCCGACTTTTTGTTGACCAGAGAGGCGTAAGTGGTGTGCAGGAGCCTGGCTCCTGTGGGCCCTGATGATACACCCAAACGGTTGAATGACCGCACCAATCCAAACATTTTAGGCGTGTATTGGATTTCGCGAATTGAAAGAAAAAAAGAAAAAAGAAAAAAGAAAGTGAAACAGAGATTCAATTTTCTTTAAATTTAGTGCAAGAAATTCGGTGCTTAATTTTTCTTTCCAATTCTGCGTTATCATTTTTTCCACTTTTTGCACAAGGAAATCGATCTGCCTCTCATTATTAATAAAAAATCAAATCACGGGCGGATCAGATCTAACCCTGGTACTTCTTCAAGCTGTCCATCTGCTTGAGCAACGAGTCTAGGTCGTCATCTGAAATCTTGCTTCCAATGCTGGGCACCAGGGACTTGGCCTCCTCCCACTCGCTGCAGCACAGGTTTCCTAACTGAGCACACTCAAACGCTTCCAATTCCGTGGGCTTCAGCAGGGCTCTGACCTCCTTGATGGTGTCGCGGTTGGTGTAGCGGCTAAACTTTTGCACGTACTCGAGCGTCTTTGTGTACACCTCCTTGAGGTTCTTGTCTTCTTTTTTGGCGTCGTACTGCGCCTCCAGGAGTACTCGGACCTCAGATATAAGGAGACACTCGGCCTCTTGGAAATCATCGCCCAGCTCTAGACGCGCTGCGTCGAGCGTCTCTTCGGCTTGAGGGCGGGCTGGTCCGCGGTTTTTTGGCATACGCATTTTTTTGTAGCTTTAGAAGTTGATATAGATTTTGCAAAACACTGCTTTATAGCAAAAATGATCGGTTATTTTTAAATAAAAAATATCATTTGGAGTATTTAAGGCAAATGTTAGAAAAGTAAATTAATGGGCAGCCATCACATGTATATATTATTAGCCGTAAAATGAGCTCTTTTCCACAAACGATGCGTTGGGCTGGGAACACTGCTGCCAGCACAATATGGTTGCGCGGCAATAGCAATCAAAGCTCCAGAATTACCAACAGGTTTGTTAGCGTTGTAAATTGGAGGAAGGTCGTAACTACCTGTGTCAATTGCTCATGCCCGTTGTACCAAATAATGTTACTCGGCCAATGCCCACCTCCAGCATGCTCTGCGAATTTGCCTTCAACTTCAGGTTCATCTTTTTGCTTTTTTTGACGATTAGAACGCACGGCTTCAAGACAGAAGTATGTCCATTTCTTTTTATTATTTATTCTAGCACCTTTGTCAAACATACAATGTAAAGTGTGTAAAGTAGTCACCAAATAATTATGATGATACAGAGTATAACCCGCTTATCGTATTGGATAATGATATGTTTGGACATAGGAAATACTTTTAACTTAAACTAACTCTGCTATTGAATGATGCTCGCAGCCACTTTCTGTATAATATACATGGCAGATTTGGTGTTTGCGCTGGATACGCGGAGACGAGTCGATTCCCTTAGACTATATAATATCGAGCCGATCGCGATCAGGCTGCTTGGAGCGGCGAGTTGACCTAGCCGAGCGCTCAAAGTATTTCATGATTTTGTGGTCAGATCTAAAATCTTGTTGGTTGTGATGAACAGTGAAAAAATGTTTTTTGCTGCCTCTTGGTACTCTGTTTTCGGATTATTTTCCTTGTACTATAAAGTCAATTTACACCTTTTCAATTGCGCGCCAACCAAATTACAATGTCAGACCACGAGGCACAGACACAGATACAGGCACAGGCACAGGCACAGGCACAGGCACAGGCACAGGCACAGGCACAGGCACAGGCACAGGCACAGGCACAGGCACAGGCGGACTCAGCAACGGCCACCACCAACACTGCCGGACAGCCTGGCGACAGCGAAGAGAGCAAGTCGAGCAGGCCTCGCCGGCGCTTTGTTGGCCGGGGGAGAAAGGCCCATCCGCAGGACACCCCGACAGAAATATCCATCGAGGACTCACTTGCAGTTGCCGAGCGCAAGGATGGCGGCAACGGCCAGAACGCTGGCAGCGGACCCAGGTACCACGAGAGTGCCAACCAGGTGCCGGCAGACATTCTCGACAACGCGCTGCTGAATCAGGCCGTCAGCCTGCTGCCCAACAACTACAACTTTGAGCTGCACAAGACGATCTGGCAGATCAGACGGCTGTCGGCCACCCGCGTGGCGCTGCAGTTCCCCGAGGGCCTGATGATCTTTGCGTGCACAATCTCGGATATCCTCGAAACATTTGGCGGCGTCGAGGTAGTGATCATGGGCGACGTGACGTATGGCGCCTGCTGCGTCGACGACTTTACCGCTGTGGCCCTCGGCTGCGACTTTATGGTGCACTACGGCCACAGCTGCCTGGTGCCGGTCAACGTGACGACGATCAAGACCATGTATGTGTTTGTCGACATTGGCATTGACACCGAGCACTTTGTGCGCACGGTCGAGAAGAACTTTGAGCCCGGCACGCGCATTGCGCTGGTGGGCGTGATCCAGTTTGTCACTGCGCTGCAGACATGCAGGCACGTGTTGAGCGAGAAGTACGTGGTGACCATCCCGCAGGCAAAGCCCCTGTCGCCAGGCGAGCTGCTGGGCTGCACATCGCCGCGGCTGAATGACATTGACGTGATTGTGTACCTGGGCGACGGCCGCTTCCATCTTGAGTCGATCATGATCCACAACCCGAGCATCCCGGCGTACGCGTACGACCCGTACAGCAAGAAGTTCACGCGCGAGCGCTACAGCCACGACGAGATGCACTCGCTCAGGCAGGGTGCCATTGCGAGTGCCAGGAAGGCGCGCAAGTTCGGGCTGATCCTGGGCACGCTGGGCCGGCAGGGCAACCCGAAGGTGCTGGAGGAGCTGCAGGAGCGGCTAGTCAAGCGCGGCATTGCCTTTGAAATCGTGCTGCTGTCCGAGATTTTCCCGCAAAAGTTGGCGCAGTTTCCCGACGTCGACTGCTGGGTGCAGATTGCCTGCCCTCGGTTGTCGATCGACTGGGGATACGCGTTCCCCAAGCCGCTGCTGACGCCGTACGAGGCCAACGTGGCTTTGGATGCGACCGAGTGGCAGGACGTGTACCCGATGGACTTTTATGCGTTCGAGTCGCTGGGCCCATGGACGCCCAACTACTTTAGCACGATGGCGATCAAGCAGAGAGAGCGGCAGGCCAAGAAGGAGCTGAAGGAGAAAGCAGAAGTGGCGCTGGTCGCAGAGGCGCTTACCAAGGAGTGCGCTGTGTAGTATTGATGCCTTTATTTCTCAGCTATTTATGTGTGTGTTTGTGCGGCCAAGCCCAATGATATTACTGCGACTGCTCAATTGCTAGCAACAAAGAACATTTAAATACAGGCATGTTGTGAATATTGAAATGCAGCTAAAAAAAACACTGAACATGATTGTCGCTATTTTCAAAAAAAATGTATATGAACGGCTGTGAATTTAGGCATGGAAAACAGGACATTTCAAGCACATTTGTTCTATTCGCGAGCCTTGTTATGCCTCTGCTCTGCTCCCAAAGTCGCTTGCCCTTTGCTTAAAACATGCTCGCTCAACGCCATGCTTGCAAGTGCCGCGCCCATGTCGAACTCTGAGACCCACGCGCTGCTGGTGAACTCTGGGCTGCACGTATCAACGGACTTGGCAAAGGCAACACGCAGGTCGTTCAGTTGTGTGCGCACACCAGCTATTGAGCTGTCGACGTGGTCGAGCGCGGGCTCAAACGCGTAGCTTGTGCCCCCCATGTGGTTTAAGAGCGCGTTGCAGTCTCTCTGGCGCATTGCATCCTCCAGGGCATCTATCGCCTTCAGTATGGCGGTATGCTCGTTCATAACAACAGAATGTGCAACATTATATATTGAATTGCGAGTTACCCCGAGCAGCTCTCGCATGTCGGAGACAAATACATGGCCAATCACCTGCAACTGCATTATATCCTTGCTCGGTTGAATATGGTCGCTAACGCCATTGCAATGGTTGGGATGATTGGTACGTCGCCCATTTGCGTTGACCGATGCCTGCTTGTCAGAACGAGTTTTTCGATCCTTGGCTACAATGTCAATTTTCAGGTCGATCTCACAAAAGGCAGCTGTTTTCTTTTCGTCGGCAAGAAACTGATCTGAAAGATCCATTACTTCGCCATAAAAGTCCATTGCAATGCCCGTATCTGCCTTTGCTTGTACCAGCTCGACATGGCACCCGCTTGTCCAATCCAACGCTCGCTTTGCCATTGACGGCAGCCTGGACAGCACTGCGGCCTCTGGGCATACCTTGAGCATCATTGGCATTGCTTGCTCCAAAACGGGGGCCATTTGGACCAGTAGAGCGCTTGCCTGCAACGCATACCAGTTTTTGGCTTGCTGGGAGTGGATCTGCCAATACATGTCTCGCCACTTGCGGTGTGCATACTTGCTCTCTTGCCGCAAGCCATGCGCCTGGCGGATTATCTCGAACGTCGTCCGTGCGAGCTCGCGCTTCAATATGTCGGCTGAATGTTGTTTTTGGCTGGGCTGGCCCTTATCGTTTTTATCTAGCAGCGTCGAAATTGCCTTTCTTCTGTCTGCTCTGGCCGCAATAAACGTGCCATAAATCCGCACTGTCCGGCTGCTGTGAGCAATTTTGTGCTTGGGGTTGTGGATGTCGTACGCGTAGTCCGAATAAACGTGTTTAGCTATATCCAGCTCCAGGGTGTTTGTGTCGCTAAGCGTTAAAGCGGGTTCAGTGGTACTCTGCGCTTTCGGGCGCACAGGCATGTTTACGGATGGCAATGGAAAGACAAACTAGAGAATGAGAAAAAAGAACAATAAGATAATGTGCGAGCGTGTAAGGGTGCTAGAATTGTGATGGTGCACAAAAACAAAATACAAGAAACAATTCAAATATACAGTACAAATACATGCAAAATAATAGTACAAATGACGAGAAGCGGCCAACCGAAGAGCCAACAATGAGATCGGCTAAAGTAATCCAAAGATCCAAAACAAAGTCTAAGGGGCTGGATGATAATCATTGTTTTCTAGTTGTTATGGCTAATGCGACTGTACTTGGCGTTCTGCATTGAAAAACAAGGTCACAATGAGCAGGGTGGCACAGCTTGTAATACTTTTCTTATTTTATTTCGCTTCTGCATTTAAATCAGGTGTTGGATTGTGCTGTAATAAACTCTTTTTTGTTTGCTTTAAGCAATGACTGGAAACACTGTCATTTGCTTTTTGTTGAATATACGAGCATCGTTGGTAATGCAATTGCCAAACCATGTGCAATTTATAAATGGAGACGCCTTTATTGGCATTAATTATCAAACTGCATTGCTCAATGTGCCCATTTGTAGAAATGAAATACGCAAAAATACGTTTTATGGACTAGAAAAATAGCGACATATAAGCCTTTAAAAATAGTTAGAAAACGAGTTTGCTTCTCTGTTAGCACTATTATATTCTTAATATTTTTTACATTATGAAAGCCTTACGCATTATTTAATCAACCACATTGTTTGCGCCTGCGCCCATTTTTGCATCTGCATCTGCATCTGACTCGGCACCCGCCACTCCGTCCTTGTATTCCAATGAAAGATCTGCATTTGTGGATTCTGGTCGGAGCTTTGGGTCGAGCAATAAGGACTACATGGAAATGGTCGATCTTCTGACTAATTTTTCAGAGAAGGCTGAGATGTTTCATGCATATTGCTATTTTAAAAAAGACTGAATGCCAAAGCCTTTAAGGAGTTGGAGATTTATATGCACAGTATAAGGCAGGAAGGCCGGAGTGCAAGACCGTGGTGATTTTTACCAGGACTATATCAATTTGAAGGAAGCAATTGAAATTCATAATGCCAAGTCACCGTCGTCAGGAAGCATATTTGAAACGCTGGACTGGCATTGGTAATTTGGGGCGTCTAACAACACAAATTCCTTTAGGGCAAAACCATTGCTTTTTAAGGATAATGCATACTTTACCTTTTGAAAGCAAATGTTTTGTGTATGTAAAATTTGGTATATATATTTATATTAAATAAAACTTGTTTTCCACATCTAACAATAAAAAATAAATCTACTTTTGAATCTTTCTCAGACGCAGTTTCATCGGTGAACCCCAGCGCAAATTTTTCTCGCTTGAGTCGAATCTAATTGCGCCATATGCACTCTTGACCCAGTCACAACTAGCATAGGCATTGCCTCCCCACATGGTGAGCATAATGCCGCCGTCTTCAGCATAGTGCATTTGGATGCGCAGGTTCTTGGGTGGAATGGTAGGAACAACCTCTATCTTGTAGCCATCGTCGCCGCTGGCGCACAGGTACTTGGATTCGTAGGTCAAATAAGTTATTCCGTCGACAACCTTGAATCCAAATTTGTAAGGATAACTGTTGCAGCCAAAAATATGGGGAGTTTCATCCGAATGGTAATCAAAATAGCTCAAAAATTCCATATCATCTTCTTCGTCGGAACCATTATCTGCATCAGAATCGCTGCCTACTTTGTTTTCCCTCCATTTATTGATTATCTCCAAGCTGAATGTCTCGTTCTCGGACACTAGGTTTCCCAAATAATCGCGCAGCTGAAAGTTGGGAAGACGCTGTGTTTTAGGCCTGCGCTTGTGCAAATGTTTTTCCTCATCGATGAATGTCTGAATGGTGGCAGTTCTCTTAGCCAGATCTTCCACAATCTTGCATTTCAGCGAATTGCTAAAAGAGTAGTTGATGCTGGTGTCGTTAGTGTCAACGACATGGTAAACGTTTCCGCGGTTAACAACAAAAAAGTGAGGAACGCAGGCCCGCTTTGACTTGGCAATACTGGCAAATTTGGAAAAGTCCTCCTCGTCCTCTGTCTCGTAGTACTCGACAACCGTGTTGTGATCAGCACAACGGTTTGGCTTCAGGCAATTGGCGTCGCTCTTGAACACAAAGTAAAGCACAGGAAGCTCGTCTACACTCCACAGACCGTTTTTCTGTCGAAGAACCGACATGACATTATAGTATTTGGTCGATATTTTGCGGTAATGCATAAGCGACATAACCAGATTTTGCGACTGGTAGTGAAAGGCCACGGGTCCATCTGCTTCCTGCTCGTAAACAAGGAAACGGTTGCGCTCAAGAACAATAAACTTATTACGCTCGTGCAGCTCGGCTTTGGCCTCAAAGGTCTTTGAGTCCACTTGGATAAACTCTGCGAAACGGTCACACAGGCACTTGTCAATGTCGCCAAGATCGACGTGTTCGGGCACAAAAATTGCAAGCTTGTCCATAGAAAAATATTAAAGTAACAGAATATGAAAAAAGCAGCAGAGAAAAATAAACATTCATGTAGAAAATGTTGGAACGAAAAAAAAAAGAAATGTTTGTCGATGTATTTTTTTACTTCAGTTTATATAGCCAAGGTCCGAAATGCGGCCGCTGCGGAAAAAGAAAAACGAGAAACTGCAGAATTTGTGGCAATTTGGGCAAAAAAACAAAAAAACAAAGTAAATGAGCTGTTTCTGATAAAGAAAATGGTTGCAGAAAATTGAATATTGTCGTTATAGGTGCCCGTACCCAGGTTTGCAATATAACCCATTATGTGAAACAGTGTGACCGTTTACAAGTTTTATATTTACAAACTTTAGTTTGGTGAGTTGCAATTTTTTGCTTATCTCGCCAAATAAATATACGTTTACTTCAGTTGAACTTTGTTTATTGGGAATATACAATGCGGTTAATACACAGTTGAAATAGGATATTTTTCGCTTGATGTAAAGCATTGTCAGTTTATTTATTTACTTTTATATAGTCTAGCTAGACTAAAATGTAATTGTTGATATGTTTCCGTCCTTTTTGACAGTAAAAGTCACTACTCCATTTTGAGTAGTGCTGGTTATAATTATGTTTCCTGACGAATTGGCTGGCAGAGCTGCTGTTGGCGGAGCTGCTGCTGGAGCGGGAGGAACAGGCGTAGGCCTAATACCGTAATTGTTTCTATAAGCCTCAGCTAAATTCAACAATCCCAGCGATGGCATATTTGTGTACATCAGCTTGAACATTTCTTCGTTTAATCCATCCATGTAAGTCACATAGACGCCGTCACGGTAAAACAAGACGCCCTTGTCAGCCACAAACCCAAAACTTTCCTTGGGAACCTCCACATTCTTGAGGTCAAACTGCGCACACGTGTATTCTGGACCTTTGATGAGATGAGGCAGGAGTTTTAAAAGTTCTTCTTTATACTTGAGCGTTTCTACTTTTCTCGAGTCGTGGAAAAAAAAAACCGCGTATTTGTACTGTTGAGTGAGCGCCTTGCATAGATCAATGGTGTTTACGGTGTACATTGTGTGGACAAATGACGTATTATTCTGAATGGCAGCGCGCTAAAAAGTTGGTTAGAGAATATATGATATTTAGCTTTGAATACCTGTTTGAATGCAAAAAATGCGTTTGATAACGATGAGTGTTACAATAAGTTTAAAAATTATTAAAACAAGAGGGAAAGTAAAAATATATTATGCATATATTATGTTTAAATAGAAAAATAATGCACAGGTGTACGCAACATTTGAATTTGAGCTGACCCTACTTTTCTTTATAGCTTTTTTATTAATAAATGTCGCAAAACCTGGTGACCCTGCGTATTTTTTTTATTTTATAAAGGCAAAGTGTACTCCATTTTTTTTATTAAAAGTTGAAACCCGCTGCGTAAAAAGAAAATTAAAGCGCACGTGTCTTAATTTTATCGTTTATTTTTGCACAGATCTGGGTAATCTATCAGCATCTGAAGGGTGTGGAATGCAAAATATTATTCCTGTGCCTATTATATAGAGCTCTGCCTGTATTTGCCAAAGATAGTGGCAGAAGTAATACGAGGCCAAACTCCAATTGTATACTTTTGGCTAACTAGAAGTTTCAAGTATTGGGTAATTAGTAGACTACATTTTGGCTAGTCTAGTGCTGGAATTGCAAATTGTTTGATTATGAAAGCTATAGGTACAATAAGGGCATGTTTTTTTGATAAGCCACTTCGGCACATTGCTCTTTTTGTTAGGATTGATGGGCTGTCATTGTAAACTCGGGGAATGGCAAAAACAGAATGGTCTAGTAAACACTGCTCGCGAACAACATTTGGGGGGTTTGTGTGGACATTTGTAAAAGTATAAAGATATGGCAGATAATGCAATTGTCCAGACTATGCACAATGGAATAATCAATTCCCCATTTGACCAGGAGGCCATGTGTGCGTCTATGCATGACAATATATTGCGTTATTATTCACATAAAGCGATTCGCGAATACACCATGAGTAACAATCTCGATTTACAATGAAGCACTGCGCAAAAACTTCCTCATTATTTTTTTGCACTGGGTGGAATGTTCCGCATAATTTACATCAGTCTGCATATATATCAGTCTCAATGCAGAGTATTATACACTGTGAATGAAACACTGGATATGTCCAGGGTCATGAGGGACAATGTATTTTATTGGAATTGCAGTGCAGTGCTGTGCTGTGTAATTAGTCGAGTGCAGCTAAAAACAGGTTTGGATTCGGCTATGCAATTATTTTGGTTGGCTGCAGACGGATATATGTATTTTTTTTATGGCAAAGAGGATTTTGCATTTTTTATTTGCACCCTGTCGGTTTTCTTTGTGGTTATTTATGTTTCTTAGAGAACCAAAATGAGTGGCCACTTTCTGGCATTTCTTGTCAGTGGGCTGGCACATATTGATGACCATGTCTCATTTGACCGAAATTATTTTGCCATTTTGTACATAATTGATGAACTGGAATTACCAACAATGGATTGTACTATCCGTGTTTGTTAATTTGGATATACATATGAAAACGCGACCTAATATTATCGGGAATGTAGTCTACTATGTGTTTGCTCTGGCTGGGGTTTCAAAGTGGCCGACACTTTTTGTTGTAGAAGGTTTTAGAAAGGCATATTTTTTGAGCACATGGTATTAGCAGTCGCCAACATGAGAGCAAACCCGTGCAGAACAAACTGAAAGCTGCGATGTGCAAAACAAAAATAATTTAATAGTATCCGCATATGAACTGGCTCATGCAACTGGTAAATGAATGATAAAGATTGGGTGAATTTTCTATCTATTTTGGTGATTTATTTCACATTAATGCCACTGTTGAAAAATACATCTAGCTAAATAATATTGTTGTGCTTACAATTTCCAATTGTACAATATAAAACGAAAGACCATACAAATTGGTCTTCAGCTGTTTTTTTAGAAAGTTGCAAATGGGGAGGGTTCGAACCCGTTTAATTTTTTTGAGCAACACGGAAAACATTTATTTTCAAAATCCATTTTCTTTGTAGATTTTTTTCACACATGTGTGAACATCAAAATGACACAAAAGTGTACAAAAACGCAAGATTGATCTGCGTCCGTGTTTTTTTATTAATTTTGCGTGCTCTTTTTTTGGGCAGACATCAAAAAATAACAACAAAAATATTACGCAGGGAAAGAAATAGAATAAGCAAAAGAGTGTAGATCAATACTTATATGTATATTTTTAGCGAGTGAGTGAGAAGGAAAAGTATTTACGTTGCTTTCAGTTTGACCATTCTTTCTTTCTGGTTTGTATGGTTTTCGAATGGTTTCATTTCGCCGATTTTTTTGAGTGTGAGATCTTGCGTGCGAGGGAGCAAGTCCAGTATTTTTAATTTTGTCCAACAAGGAAATCCACAAGCAAACGTTTTCTTGTGGTCTCCGAATGCAAAAAATGCTGGTTCGCCTTATTTTGTTATTGTTTTAGTGGGTCAGGGGGGAGGGGGAGAGTGTGGAGCGAAGAAATTATTGTACTTTTGGAATTCGATTCAGATTGCTCATCGCAGACCAAGATTTGCCGCTCATGCAGAGCACATATTTTTGCGCTTGCATGCCTTCCAAACAGCACACACTCAGGCACTCTGATAAAAATAAAAATTTTGTGGTGTAGTTTTTTATATGGAGGTAAAAAAAAACATTCTGTTTAAGAAGGAAAAAATGTTCATCTGCATTTGCAGACAAAAAAATTTATATACCCGGGAACTTTCTCCCTACTTTTCTCTTGTATACAAGCAGCCTATTCTTGTTTTGTCATTGAGAAATACAAACAAAAAACTACTTTTTTTCAAAACACCCCCCACATTTTTACCACAACCAACTTTCGTTTTGAACATCTCTTATTTTTCCCTTAAATTTATTTTTCTGTTTGTTTCCATCTTTGCAACAATTCATCCATAAGTATATATAAACAAGTTCATTCATCCACTACCTTTTCTTGCATTGAAAGGTTCCTTCTTCCCAACCTGTCACTTTATTTAAATTAGCCGGCATTTGTCACCCACTCCCAGTTTTTTTAACCGTTTTCTACTTACGCCTTTATTTTTTCTTATATCTTTTCATTCTCCATTGGTATATTTATTTATTTTTTTGATATCAAATACGCTATATATTTCTATTATCCATACATTTATATAGTCCCGCTCTCTAACTCAATTTTTTAAAACAAATTTCATAATTATGTCTAGCCGTGAGATACATGTTGTTGTCGTCGGTGGATCCTGGGCCGGTGTCACTGCAGTGCGCGAGCTGATTGAGCTCAGCTACCTCACATATCCGGGCCTCCACATCACACTGGTCGAGCAACGGACGCACTACTTCCACAAGACTGGCATTATCCGTGGTCTGGCGGACAAAAAATACGCCGAGCAAATGTTTATCCCATACAACCGCTTGTTTTCACACGGTACATCTGTCGCCCACAACCACCGTTTTGTGTGCGCCCGGCTGAAGCATGTTCATGAGCACTTTATTGAGGTCGAAGGCGGTAGTCGGCTGTTCTACGACTATTTGATTATTGCCACTGGAACAGAGTACAAGTCATTGCCGGTCACTTCGTCTGTTACCGCTGAGGAGTGCTACGCGCAGTACCAAGCTATGCGCGATGCCATGGAGGCCGCGGATCGCATTTTGTTTGTTGGCGGCGGTGCTGTTGGTATTGGCTTGTGCGGAGAGATCGCTGAAATGTACCCAAAAAAGACAATTACCCTGGCTCATGCGCGCGAACGGCTCCTCAACGAGGACCTCTCAGATAACTTTGCGTCGAGTACCGAGGCCAGACTACAGAAAATGGGCGTCAAGCTTGTATTGGGCGAAACTGTGGTGCCGTCAGAATTTGGCACCGAATTAAACCCCAACGTTGTATCCCCGCCATCACCCAGCATTGCGCCCAGCTTGGCCGGTGCCAAAAGCATTATCAACAGCGAGCGCAAAAGCAGACATATTGGGGCGCCGAGCATTGCGCCAAGCGTCGCGTATAGCACAAGCCAGAGTGTTGTTCCCAGCGTATTCCACCGCTACACTGCCAGTATTTCCCCCAGCGAAACCAGCAGCCTGACCTCCAGCGACCCTATAAGTCACCGCTATCGCTACCAGTGGAATGTGCGCCCGCACGAGGTTGTGACAAAGAGAGGCCATAAAATTGAGTGCGACTTGGCAATTTGGACAACAGGGTCGAGACCACAGACAGCGTTTATGAAGACCCTGTCGCCATCTAACGACAAATTTCCGCTCGTCGATGCGGTATCTGGAAGCATCAGTGTTCGATCAACATTGCAACTGGCTGACGCTCGTTTTCCGTACATCTTTGCCGTGGGCGATGTCAACTCGCTGTCTATTTCTGAGAAGTATGCGACAAGTGCTGTAAACCAGGCCAAGCAGGCGGTGGGAAATATCCGGGCACTGATCGATGACTGCTACGACTTCCGCATCAAGATGTCGGCCGCCATGGCTGCCAACACCGCGGCCAAGGCCAGTCTTCTTCCGTACATGGGAACCAAAAAGGGCGTTGTTGTTGCCTTGGGCAGAAACCAGGAAGTCTCAAACACCTTCTTTGCAAAAATTAACAGCTGGGCGCGCGGCGGCAAGCGCGGGCGCAAATATCTGCTTGACAAAGCCCAAGAGATGCTCAACTACTAGCTGGGCAAGGCGAGGACAAGGACAAAGCAACCCAAACTGTCTTTATTATGATCCTAATTGGAACATTCTCTCCGATTACTTGATACTTTGTGTATATCAACCGAACAAAAGCCGCGCTAAAAAAACCCCAACAAACTTGTTGGGAATTGGTGTGTCCGTTTTTCTGTTTCAAACTGCGACTGCAAATACAACTGCAGCCGGTAGAACGCGGCAAATATTAATATCGTACGACAGTATTTTTATATTTCTTTTTCAATTTTTTCCATTAATGTTTTGATATCAAAATTTTTGTTTCCCAAAAAAACAATCCTTATTTGTCCATTACATATGGAGCTCAAACTTTTAGATAAACCTTTGTTGACATGTGCATGCATACCTCCAAAACATTGAAGATTTGGATAGATTTGCTTTGCATATGGCTGGAAAATCAGAAAGAAAAAACAGTGTGTACTTTACCGACATTAAACAGGAACAAGGTGGAGATTAGGGATGCGTCTGTTTACCATTTATCCTTTTTCTTTTTATTTATCAAAAATTGAATGTCTGACCCTAAGCACCACACTGGTCTCGTACATTTCAATGAATGGTCGTGTGTTCAGGCCGGTCAACAAACAGTACGTGCTGGCTATCAGGTCCACTGTTGGTCATTATTCGCGTCTGCGTGCCGCAGTAGTTGCACGTTGTAATGAGTCGCCTCCCGTTGCCCTTGCCCTTGACACGCTTCTTGCACGATACGCCTGGGAGCAGCGGCGTCGAGCACACCTTGCACATATCACGTCGCAAATGGGGACTCATTCGCAGGACGCTCTTGCGTGCGACCATTTTCATTTCCTTTGAGTAAAAGCGCGCGAGCGGCAGCAAGGGCTGTTGCATCAGAATATCTGTTTTACTACTATTTTTGCACTCTTGCGAATTGGCCATCGCAATTGTACATATGGGCTTCTCTAATCCAACCGTCTGAGATTTCTGCGTGTTGAGGGTTTCGTCCGTGTTATTGTTGGTTGGCTCGTTTTCAGAGGCTTTGTCCGAGGCCCTGCTTCTTTGGCTACTGCTGGTACAGACATTGCCCGACAATGAAGCAAAGAATTGTGATGACTGGTATAGAAAATTCATTCGCTCAAATAGCTCGCGGTTTGGCAGGGTGCCGGTGCCGCCTCTTGGTGGTTTACTGCCCTTTACCATTCGTGTATGTATCCGTTTTGCAGTGTGTTTGACAAGCTATATGTGTGAATGTAATTATGACGCTGTTTACGGATTTTTTTAGCCGCGCTTAGGTTGGTATAAGAAAAAAGTTGGTGGAGTAAGCGACAGAGCAAGTTTGAAAGGGAATCAAGTACAAAAAGCAGAGTTTATTCAATTGACAATCAAGGTATTTAAATATTGGCTTTTAAAATTCATTGTTACAAATAAATGACCAATCGCATTTTACCATGCCTATTTCCCTGATTATGAGCCTCAGTGGCGTGTGGCACATGATTTTCTTTTAGAGAAATCTTATTCCGAGAAACCAAGCCACGCAAAATTGGATCCAATATGCTTAGGAAAAATTCTAAAACCAGAAACGCGTTCAGCAATGCAAAAAAACAGAGCACGCGACAGTAGTAAAAGTTTAATGACATCATTGTTTTATTTTGCCTTTGCAATATTGACAATGCTTAACTGCGCGATACTGTCAAATTTTTAACAAGCATTCCGCCAAAGAAAAATCCAAACTGATCGAATACAATACACCAACACTTAGAACAAAGGAAAAATTATGGAACGTACTGTTTGTTTTGATAACGGTCCCTCGTTTTTTTGAAATTAGCAACGTTGAATGATACAGAAATGTTGAACAAAAATTGCTTCTATGCTGTGCTAATCATACACAAAGGCACAGACGTCATAGGCTAGAATATGCAACTTACGACATACACTTTGTGTAAGGCAAAACACATGAGCAGATGCAGTAGTTGCTCTGCTTTTTTTTAAAGGACGCTGCTCGCATACTTTTCCAACTTGTTACTGCATGGGCCCAAATCCTCAATTCTGAGGAACCAAGTCAACTTTTACATATATATAATCTGGTGCGTTCATTGCTCCAATTAAAGTAATGTCTGCCCACCGACAATATTTTTTTAGTGACCACCGACTCCAAAAAAGTACTATTTCATTGTTTCTCACTATCTCCTAGCGATTTGTTGGCTCTCGTTTTTCATTTCACATTTCTCTTTTACTTGTATCGTCTACGCCTCCATCCGCCTATTTGCACAATCTACGAACCGGTTTCGTAACAATTTTACCAGCCCTAGTGGTTCATTCCCATCCGATAACAATCAATTCTTAGATATTTATTTGTCATATTCATCTCTTTGGTATTTACAAAAAAAATGAAATTGCAATATATTCTCGCTTCAGTTGTCACCACATTTCTTGCTGCCAGTACTGCTTATGCGCACATATCTATGCGCACCCCCTGTGTGCGCTACACGCCCTTCTGTGACAGTTGTCCTGAGCTTCCCGCAGGCCAGTCACTAGACGAGAACATCAACGCGCCAATTGGAACCCACGAGAGCATTTCACAGCCGCTGTGCAAGTTTACCACCCCCTACGGCAGACCGGCTGCCCACTGGACCGCAGGATCAACAATTAAAGTTGATTTTAACCCTCACTCTGCAGTTCACGGCGGCGGGCACTGTCAGTTTGCATTATCTTATGACGGTGGCAAGACATTTGTTGTCATCCACGATGAGCTCAAGTACTGCTTTACGGGCGGTCCGTCGAGTGGCAATGTTGGGTCGCAACTTGAGTACAATATTGCGCTTCCGGCGGATCTCCCCTCGAGTGACCGGGTGGTGTTTGCGTGGGCGTGGAATAACGCCGCGGGGAATCGCGAGTTTTACATGAACTGTGCTGATGTGGCTATCCATGGAAAGCAAGGCGGAGCGTATACCGGCCCCCAGCTGCTTGTCGCTAACTACGGGCTCAACACACCTTATATTCCCGAGTTCAATGGTGATTATACAACTGGGCTGGACCTTTACAAAGACAGACCAATAATTACTGTCACCGCATCCGGCTACTATGGAAACAGCTCTGCCTTGGTGACACCAGCTCTTGCATCAGCACCAGTTTCAGCCCTAGTTTCAGCAGCACCTGTACCCCCTGCTGTTTACGAACAAAGTGGAGCTGGATCCCCACCTGCCGGTACTACTGTGCATGCCAAAGTGCTTGTATCTTCAGCATTAGCATCTTCAGTCGCACTGCATGCCCCTGGAGATACTCGCGCATATGGTGCTGGCTTGCCCACAATCACTTATGCCCCCACTCACAACGCCCAAACTATTATTGGAAATGTTATTTCTTCTCAGCCAATTGACCTTGTGTCATTGGAGTACTTCACTGACATTCCAATCGTACATTCTGTTCCTGCACCCACTGCTTCGAGCAGATATTTTACCGTCTATGTGCCTCTTCCAACTACACCCGGCGGTTATAAGTACTGTGAAAGCGCTGCTATGGTTGCACCAAAGCCAGTATCCAGTGCACCGCTGTACCAAACGCGTGCTGTTGCAGCTCTTGGGCCAACTGCGTATACCAGCAGAAAGTGCATAACCGGGAGTTGATAAAAAATGGGGTTTTCATATTGAACTTTTTGGGACTTTTTGTATAGGAATTTTTTTGTTTTGGAACTTTATTTTGTGCAAATTTTAGAATACATATAGTTGGATCGCAGATTAATTTGTTATTTCTTGTGCTATTCAATTGAGTTTTTTTGGATATGTGGTTGCGTAACTTTTGTTGCTTTTGTTGTGATTTTCAAAACTGGACAGTTTTCATTTGATTGGAAATCTGGTTTATAATGGATGGGACCATTCGTATATTTTGCTTTATGAAATAATACATTCTTGCTTGCTGCTGATGTTTTGGTTTATTTAAAAAACACCTTGTTTGTCATACTAATGGGTCCGTGGCCAGGCAAATTAGCTGGTGTTTTTCTTTCTGCATTCCCTCAAGCACTGTATAGTGCAAGTATTGACTCCCTTTAATTTTTTTTTGCAATTTGCGCGCAAAAGAAAAAAATAGGAGCTTGTCAATGTTGAGGATTTCTTGTGCCAAATGTCCGACTATGTTAATTTATATTTATATCCCGATTACGCTTTTTCTAGAATGCCTTCTATTAAGCACTGCGGTCTCGATATTCGCTTCAGGGGCTGAGAAATTAGGTGCACTTTTTGTACGCGATCAACTGCAGCGAATACCAACTTGTTTAACAAAAACGTATATGCTCGTTTATTTTGCCTTTTGTGGCAAGACCGCGGACTTGGTCAAGAGCAGATTGATCTTATCTCTTTTTTTGGCCAGGATATTGCGTTTTTGGCATTATTCATATTTACTAATGATTTGGAGTACCGAGCGTGTTGCTCCAATATCAGCTCAGATTGAGTCGAAAGCACAGTGGAAAAAAAGGCTCTGCTGGCTGTGGTGGCCCAGCAGCGCTTTTTTCTACAGCAGGCCAAGATAGCAATAGTGCACCTGTTTGCCGATCTTTTATTTGCTTGCAATGAGAAAGGCAAAATTCCCATTCCAAATTCCTGTTTTTGTCCTCTTTTGAGAGAGGTTTGGCTGCCTGTAGGTGTCGTTTACATTGGCAAAGTGGCCAATCAGCCCAGTTCTTAATCATGCATGCTTGCGAAAAATAGATTGTCATTTCAATTTTTTTGTCTTTTAGTTTCATGCACTTCCTTTCTAGGTGGTGTGTGGTCCCTCAGTCAAGTCTGCCCAATTCTGTCTGTCTCGTTGCCAGTCCCGCCCAAATTATTACACAATTCCCACTCTTTTAATTTATGTCATTCTTGTTTTTTTGACATCCGACTAAAGGTTGGGAAATCATCTGCCAAAATGATGTGGGATGCTGTGCGCTTGCGCTCTGGCACTAAGGACATATGCAGTGAGAAAAAACAAGTATGCCTGTGCGGGAATTATTTTTTATTATTTGCTCATTTATTATCCTGTACTAGCGACACTGGCTATATAAAACCAAAGGGGTTGCCCTGGCCTGGTTGTGCTTGACCTTCACCTTAACAACTGTTCATCATTTTATTCGCTCTGTTTTCCCTAATTTTTATTTTGTTCCCCTCCACCACCTTGTTTCCCTGTCATTAAACTGTACGCCGGTCGTATATTTTTTAACAGCACAAAAAACTTAACATCCTGTCCCCTGCCCCTCAACTCTCACCACAATTGGATTACTTCCACACCGTTCCGCTTTTTTTCTACAGACAATCACACAATCAACAATGCTGTTCAAGATCTCGACTCTCGCGCTTCTTGTCGCCTCGGTTGCCGGCCACATGTCTATAATCTCGCCATGCCCCCGGTACGCCGCGCACGGTATTGACTGCCCGGCTGTTCCTGCCGGAGAGTCCATCGACTACTCTCTGTCGTCGCCCCTTGGTGAGAACGAGGTTCTCTGCAAGCACACCACCCCCTACGCTACCCCGTCTGCCACCTGGAGCGCCGGCCAGTCCGTCACCGTGTCCTTCCGCGACGAGCCTGCAGCCCACAGCGGCGGTCACTGCCAGTTCTCCCTGTCGTACGACGGAGGCAATACCTTTGTCGTCGTGCACGAGGAGCTCAAGTACTGCTTCTTCGGATCTGCCGAGACTAGCAATAATGCAAAGATTCTCAGCTACACTTTTAACTTGCCTACTCAGCTGCCGTCTTCGGATAACGCTGTGTTCGCATGGTCGTGGGTTAACGCGTCGGGTAACCGCGAGTTCTACATGAACTGCGCTGATGTTGCTATTAAGGGTAACGCTGCCTCTTATACTGGCAAGCAGATGACCATTGCTAACCACGCCGGATACCCGACTATCGGAGAGTTCAACGGCGATTACACTACTGGTCTTGAGCACTACACTGGCGCCAGCGTGATCACTGTCACTGGTAGCGGTGCTGCCGCTGACTACTCCAGCGCCCCCATTGCTCCTATTGCCCACAACGTCGTCCAGCCCATTGTTAAGGTCACAGCCCCCGTGGTCGTTGAGCCCAAGGTTGAGGTCGAAGCGCCTGTGGTTGTTGCCCCTGTGGTCGTCACCCCTGTTGAGGTTGCCACCTCCTCCATTGCTGAGGTTCAGTACCTTTCGGTTGCTCCTGTTGTTCCCATTGTATACACTACTTCCGTCGCACAGGATGTTACCACTGCCCCTATCCAAACCACTGATCCGTCATCCTGCACTCATGGTGACATGGTGTGCAATGGCTCGGGATACACTGTTTGCGTCTGGGGTGTTTGGACTTCCTTGCTGAACTGTGCTGCCGGAACCACCTGCAGGCAGACAACCCCAAGCGTCATCTACTGCGATTACTAATTCGATTTGATTTGAAGTTTAATATTTTATTTAATTTATCAACCAATTCAAATAAATAAAAAAGTAGGTATTTAAATTTATGATGTATCAGACGATTAAACAGCCAAATAGTGAAAACAATATCAAAACTATTTAGGGCCTAAAAAAGCAATGTAATTAAAATGTGTATAAATATAGAGCAGCCCAGACTAGTAATTCAAAATTTTAAACATTACACTCAATGTTCTACATCCTCTTGCCTCATACACTTACAAACACACACATACCATTCTAACTTTAATCATGCCTAACTTTACTGTCGCTGTTATTGCCGCCCTTGCTGCCGCTGTCGTCGTTATTGCTCCTGGGGCCACTGCCAGCCCGATTTTGCCATTTGTTGGTGCTCCTGGGGGTTTCGGCCCTGGTTTTGTCGGGCCATTGACCACCGGTTTTGCCACTGGTGCTGCCATTGCTGGAACTGCTGGATTTCCGTTTGTGAACACCGCAGCAATTTCCACTGGCGCTGCTATTGCTGGCACCGCCGGCTTCCCGTTTATCAGACGCGACCATTCTACAGGCAATCATTTGGCCAAGCGCTGCGGTGGTTGGGGGTGGGGTGGCTTCCCATTTGCAGCCAACGCCGTAAATGCATTTAACCGCGACTTTTACGCTGCCAATTTCAACGACAACACGCTCTTTGTCAATAACCAAAATGCCAATGTAGTTAGCGACAACGTGCATGCACTCAATACTGCCAACATTATTGCTTGATTTGGCCAAATTCAGGGTGTCAAAAACAAACACTACAAAAACATTAATAGCAGCAATAGCGACAAAATAATTACATGAGGGCATTTGACTGAATCAAGATTTATTGTTTTTTTACATTATTTTATACATGGACAAGTATTGCTATAAATAAAATTTAAAATTAAATCTTCAGCTCATGGTTTGCGTGTCCATACGGCAAAAAAACGTAACTTTAACTTTAATGCTCAACAACTTAATTTTTTAGTATTAAATTTTGTAATTATAAGTGGTTACAAAAGTAAAAAGATATAGAAAATGAGCAAATGAATCAAAAAAAATATGGATAAAGCACATGTACAGGCAAATTATACATTGCATTCAACTAATTATCTTTTAAAATAAATGTCATGTAAAAACTATTTACTAGACTGCAAGATAGGCAAAAATCTGAATACATTAAGCGACAATGAGCGTCTTATATTTCAACTATTCATTAACCTTACAACACTGGCCTTTTAGCTTACAAGGTCTACTCTGCATTGGCCATTATCAAAGCGCTGTTAAGCTGCGAAAAAAAAGCCATGACCCAGTATTCAGGATATGCCTCATTGTACTCGTCCATCCAAATAATCCCCGATCTCAGCATATCGTCAATACACGAATGAATGCGGTCCTCATCCCATCCAAAAGCAACCCTCACATCCTCCATCGTAAACTTGCACGTATACTGTGCTAAAGTCATAACCTTTGCTTGGTCCGAGTTCATCTCCCTCGCCACGCTCTGTACCATTTTGCGTTTCCCAAAGCAAACAATCTTATACCCGCCCTTCAGCGGTTTCAACTGGCTAATTGCGCGTCTAATATCGTCCTCAACAACAGGTTCGCTGCCCTTAAGTCGCCGGCGAATTAACCGCCGCAGGAGCTCGTCCAGGTCCATTAGGCCGCCGTTTATGGAACGCGTGGCTACGCAGATGTCTATGATTTGAATACCTAGCTCGCAGTAAAAGTCACCGACACCGAGCAACTCAGACATGTAGCTTTTGCGCGATGATAGTGGATCGACGCCTATTAGCTGGCACATGCGCTGTACTTGTACTCTAAATGCTGGGTTGTTGCGGATATCGCGCTGATGCTCGCGCACAAAGTCCTCAAGATTATCCTTCATCATTGCGATTTGCTCTCGTAGCTACAAAATATAAAAAAATTTTTATGAGAAAATAGAACAAGCGGCTTTTATCAGCAAAAATAAAAAAGCAAGCGTCGATGCATATATCTTGTTTTTCAGAGAGGAGTGTATTGGGAACTCTTGTACCTTTTCTATTTCGCGCTGCGACAACTCTGTGCCCTTTTTTGACATTGCGAGCTACAGAATAATAAATAATTGAGTGCATTGAGTGCACTGATATTAGCAAGGCGAGTGCGAGAAGCGAGATAATTGTAATTATTGTATACTAAAGGTAGGTGTAGGTTGTGCTTACTCGCTCTGCCTCCTTTCTACGGAGCCCGCCTATTCCAACTGCCCGGCGCATTTGAAAAGCTGTGAGTATGAAATGATGTCGAAGGCAATTTGCATCGAGCCTTGGGAATTAAAAAAAAGTGGGTAAAAAATGCAAAAGGTCTATAAAATAAAATAAAAGGAAAGACAGCCAGCCAGCCGCTTTGGTCTTAAAAAACCTAGAATACTACACGCACGTCAGCTGGATATTAAAAAGTCACGTTTTAGCAGGTTGGCGCATTTGATCAATCAATGTCAATCAGATCACTGCAGTAAGCTGGCAGCTATCTTTTCCAGATTAAATAACAGTTTGTCTTTTTGTCAAACCTCAAGTAAATTCATTCAATTCAAATTTCTTTTTCCACCATTAAAAATCGAATTTTCCACGTTCTTTTCTAGTTTCTATTCTTACAAAAAAAACCAATCACGATGAATCGCGCGCTAGTTCGTTTGGCAAAGCCCACTTTGTTCTCTTTGAGTGTCAGGAGTACTATGGGAGTGCGGTTTGCGTCACAGTACAAGAAGGAGCACTACGTGGACCCCGAGCCCCAAATTGGTGACTACCCGAACTTGCCGCATAAGTTTGCTGAGGCTCGGCCTCATCGCGGCTGGTGGGATAGACAGATGCGTCGTAATTTCGGCGAGCCCATTGCTGAGCAAGATGAGATTCTTAACATGTGGGCGCCCACGCAGTACTGGTCGCCTGGATGGAAGCAGGTTGCAAAGATGTGGACTGGCGTTATTGTGACTATTGGCTCTGTGTATTATTTGATCTCGCAGGCCAGATCCGAGAGACCCTATGTAAGTTTTTGACCTATTTCTTTGTTTTGAGTGGTGGTGGTGATGATAAAGTCAAAAGAAATGGCAGACTAATATTTTTCTTTTTGGCAAAGTGTAGCTGCGCGCGTATTATCCCAACGGACTCAAGGAAGAGCTCGGTGGTGTTCCGGTAAGTACACTTTTTTTGTATTTTGAGCAGATGTGATCTGCCATTTTTTGTTATTTTGTCAAGGTTGCTATTATGTTAAAAATAACTAAGTTGGCGATATCCTGTGCTTACATATGCTATGCTTTTTTGTATTGTAGACCCGCACTTTTGCCAGTGCCATTGAGGAGGCATCAACACCCGGATCCAAGTAAATGTTTTGGGAGCACACTTTTGATTTTTTTTCGTTACACACAATATACACAGCAACGCTTTTCTCTTCACGATAAAGATAGACGAAATAGGTAGAAACAACAGGGATGATGGCAGTAACACGTGCAACCTGGAAATGTTTACTTTTTTATTTTCTTGTCCAGGGGTCATCGAAAATATGCAATTCAGAGAAAGCGAAAGAACCGTTTACATCGCATTGGCTCTGTTTTTTTTGCTGAAGAGAACTAGTGTCGGTTAGGGATCCCGTTGTTGGGGCTTGTTTAAATATAGTTTATCTAATTCCAATATTGTCTATAAATATTCTCATCATCTCGCTGGTTGACTGAATATACTCTGGATATACCCCCCTCTCTCTCCCCCTTGCGCAACGCTACTGCTAAAATTGCCAAGTACTTTTTATTATCTTTTCCCCGCTGTTTTTTTTTGCAAGAATTTATAATTTCATTTTTTTGCTTATTCTTCCCACACACGCAAGAATTTAAATTTTTATTTAGTCAAACTGAGTTTTTTTCTTCTTTTTTTCCTTCCCGTGTTACCTCAAAGCTGGAGGTCAGTAATTTTATTTAAAAGCGAATAAAATGACCAAAAGCCGATTTTCAAACACAAAAAAATAAGCGCGAGAGGAGGATTCGACAACAGCCGATACATTTTTTAGGGTGTGATCTCAGAGTGAAAGAAACTCGTCATTTTTTTGCAGCCATGTTTACACAGTTTGCGGCATGCAATATCCGCATTTTTATTTTTATTTTTATTTTTTGCCTGTGCGTAAACTACTCGTCCTTCCCAAGATTAGTCCTAAACGAATAATTGTCAATCTTGTTTTCTTTCTTTCTTGTTCTCATTTCCTTTTTTTCCACCTATATTTTCCAGCATTCTTTTGCGCCTTTTTCGTCTTCTTCCCCGTGTACTACCCGCCACTCATAATAACAATAATACCGATCCTTCAACACAAGCTCGTATACGAACAAAACCGTTCTTTTCCTTGTTTCTTTAGATTTTTCTCGCAACAAAAAAAAGTGTATAGTATTCAGTAATTCTTTCTCAGACAAAAGGTATAAAACCCACAGCGGTTAGCTTTTGAGATAACTATAAATGCGCTTAAAGCGCCTCCTTTTATATTTACCTGCTGAACTCATTGTTTCATTTATTTTGGGCAGAATACAAAATATAAAGGACGCGGTGCGCCATATACTGCTCAATTGATATCTCTTACCTTTCACGAGGTCACTTAGGAGGACTTTTAAACAATGCCCCCACCCCCGCCTGTATGGTCTTTATCAATATCACCACCATATCAGCATATCCGCAGGAGCTTGTGTGTATGCTCGCTCACCATGCCGCACAACCTATTTTGTTTTGTTGTTTCTTTGTTCTTCTCTTGTACTAATACTCAACACTGTATGCTTTTTTCATTCTTATCGTCACTCCATTTCCACCTACTTTTTTTGCATTGCTTTGTAGCCCTTTTTTCATTACTAGAATTCCCGAGGCTCAATTTGTAAAAAGTTCTCACACTAGTAGAATAAGAACAATAAAGAGAGGTAACAGCTGCCCAGCGTTTTTTTTCCATCCAGAGCAGACAACACACAGAAGAAGGGGCGACAAAATGTCAGACGGCGCTAATCGCAACAGCGGCAACGGTGGCAAGCGGTCGCAGACTGTTTCCGGTTCTGCCGATCATCCAGACCGCATCAAAAACATCACACATTCCAGTAGCACAGAGAATGCAATCGAACTTTGCGATTTAGACCCACAGAAACACAATACCATCCCTAGAAAAGGCAGCAGTAACAGTAATAGTGGCCGGCGAAAGCAGGACCGCGTTGAACTGCCAGTTATTGACACTGACGTTATTCGGCGGACAAACGTCGGTGGGTCGCAGAGCATGCCGCCGTCGCCGACCTCAGCAGCCCTATCAAGCGGCAGCCTATTGTCTCCTCCAAAGCTGGCAGCGCAGAGCTTGCAACGGCAACTGAGCCAGCAAAAGCATCCCTTAGCAGCTGCAGCAGGAGGAACTGCCGGACATGTGAAGAGCGGGCGGATGACAAAAATCCCGCACTACGGTCGCCTGCGAAGCGTCACAGCGCGCGTACTACGCATGATGGACCCGCGCACACTGGCTAACCAGCTTAAACAGCAGCAGCAGAAGCAGCAAAAGCTGGCCGATGAGAGCGCAATTGCAGGCGCAGGTGCAGGCGTAGCAGGCATGCTGATTGAAGATGACGGAGGTGGTATGCACGGGAACACGGCGGCGGGTGTTCTTGGACAGAGCGTCGTAGACACCATGAGGGATGTGACGGCGGCAGGCAGGCGCAAGAGGCGGCACAGCTACGGGTCGGTGCCGCTAGGTACGCTGCTGTCGCTGGAGCTTGCGCAGCGTAATAGTATTGACAGGGGCGCATTGTCTGCACAGCGATGGAGCCGGAGCCTGTCGCGGCAGCCGACGCGTGGCAGCCATGCTGATTCGGTGTCTGAGTTTGAGCCCGAGGCCGAATCGCTGGCGCCCAGCGAGCACCGCTTTCTGGCATCTGAGGCGCAGAGCATTGCCGGTGGCTTGGCTCAGGCAGCGGCAGCGTACGACTCGATCATCGCGATTCCGATGCCCGGCTTTTTCCTAGACGCAGCGTCGGACGAGTGGACCGGCGGCCACTCGTTCCGACAGCGCATGCGCTACCCTGACGAGGACATCGCTGTGCCGGCGTCGCTGACCAAGCGCGTGCACTACGAGGTATCCTACGACTACCCGAAGAACGTTATCTCGACAGCACGCTACAACGTCGTCACGTTTTTGCCGGCGCAGCTAGCGGCGCAGTTTTCCAAAGTGGCCAATATTTACTTTTTGTTCATTGCTGCTCTGCAGCAGGTGCCCGGGTGGTCGACGACCGGCCGCTGGAGCACCGTATTACCGCTGTGCGTCTTTGTCAGCCTATCGATTGCCCACGAGGGCTTTGACGATCTGAGGCGGCATCGGATGGATCACGCGGAGAACACACAGCGTACGCGTGTGCTCAAGGTCAAGGTGCATGACCGCGAGCGCGTGTCGTTCCGGCTCCGCGAGCTGCGCAGCCGCGGTTCGCACAGTATCCACAGTTTCCGCATGCGCAGCTCGCAGAGCATCCACGACATTGGCCGCAATACGCTGGACGGCGCCAGGCGTTGGGCCAGCAACGCCATTGGCATCGGGTCGACTATCAAACAGTCCATTGTTTCGCGCATGGCCGAGAAGCGCCGCAAGCAGCGCGAGCTCGAGGACTCGGACGACGAGGATGAGCAGCCAGCGGCCGCTGGTGCTGGCGATAATGCCGAGGGGAAACTTGGCGATGACGACGCTGCTGCCATAGGCGAGTATGGTGCCGAGTCTCTGCTTAGGCAACGCATCACCCGCGGTGTGATGAGTCTGCGCAGCTTGCGCACTGCCACGCAGCGGGGAGGCGACTCGCAGGCGGCGACACCTACCGATGCTACTGCGACGTTTGCCGGCGACAGTAGCGAGCCCGTGGACAACGGGGATGACGGCGACGGCGACACTCCCAATGGGACCCAGTTCGTGCCTCGTCACCAGCGCCAAGCGTCGCGGGTGGGCGGCGCCAGTCTGGCAATAAGTGGTGAGCCCATCTACCGGCGGCGCGAAGGCCCGATGGTTGCGTTCAACGATGTTGTCGAAGAGATGTCCTTTGGCGGCGATGCCGAAGACAGCGAGCAAATCATCAACCCGCTACCAGAAAACATGAGCTGCCGGTGGAAGAACAAGCGGTGGGAAAACGTGCAGGTCGGCGACTTGATGAAGATTCAGAAGGATGAGTGGATCCCAGCCGACTGCATCGTCATTGCGTCAACGGGCTTTGACGGCACGTGTTTTGTGGAGACAGCGGCGCTGGACGGCGAGACAACGCTGAAGCAGAAACAGGCCCTGGATGCGACCAACTCAGAGATCCAGACGCCCGAGCAGCTGGCGGCCTTCAACGCCTTTACATACGTTGAGCCGCCGTCGCCCGAGCTGTATAACTTTGAGGGATACATGGAGATTGACGGCAAGCGCTTCCCTTTGACGCCCAACCAGCTGCTGCTGCGCGGCTCAGTGCTGCGCAACACCGCGTACGTGTTCGTGCAGGTCGTCTACTCAGGCGAGCAAACGCGGCTGCGTCTCAACGCCACGCGCAACGTGCGCACAAAGGCGCCGCAGATCCAGCGCATCACCAATCGCATTGTCATTCTGGTATTTGCGCTCCTCCTGGTACTGTGCTTTATCTTTTCGGCCCTGGGCATCACGTGGAACAACTCGGGCCGCAACGGCCACTGGTACCTGGACGGGATGCGGATGCCGGCGACGGCTCTGATCTTTGGATACCTGGTCATGATGAACGCGCTGATTCCCATCTCGCTGTACGTGACGCTGGAGGCTGTCAAAATCTTCCAGTGCTGGTTCATCCAACAGGATCTCAGCATGTACCATGCGGAGAGCGACACGAGAGCTGAGGCGCGCACGACAGCAATTAATGAGGACCTCGGCATGGTGCGCTACGTTTTCAGCGACAAGACAGGCACGCTGACGGAGAATATCATGAAGCTGCGCGCTGTTATGGTGGCCGGCTTCTCGTATCTGCACGTCGACCTGGACCGTTTGCAGCAGCAGGCCAAAGACAGCTCAGTACCAGCGACAAACCCGCTGACAGGTGAGGCTGCTTTTTCTGCCAATGATCAGCAAGGCGCCGGCGGTGGATTGCCAAACATGAACCGCAGCACGTCCAAGCTGTCCTTTTTGCGGCCAAGCACGCCGTCCCAGCAGCAACAGGGCACATCGGGACGCCAGTCCCCATCGATATTCAAGTCGCCGATATTCATGAGGGAGCACCGGCGGCAGCACAGTATGCCTGTGTCGATGCTCGACGGAAACGACAACCAAAGTGGGCTGGGCCAGGGCCAGAGTGGAATGGGCCAGCGCACGCTGCAGCAGCTAGCGCTGACCAACCGTGTAGCCTCAGGAGGAAGCGGCAACAATGGTCTGCGGCCGCAGTTTGCTAGACATATGCGCGGGCTATCGGCGTCAGTTTTGCGAATGGGTAGCAATGGCAATGACAAATCGAGCGTAACAAGAGCGCCTCTGACGTCGCCATTTGCCATTGCTGACAACGATAACAGCAAGCAGTCGGAGGAAGCAGAAATTGATCCTGCAGAAGATCCCAGGTCAATCGAGCTGGAAGAGAGACATTCTCAGGACGATCATACGACGACAGGCGATGCAGCGCATCTCGAGGCATCCCTCGGCGACAACAGCCGCGAGGCATCGGACCCCGACATCGCAATGCCTGGCAGCGATTCCGATCCGCGAATGCACACGCTAGCTAGTGATGACGCGCCCGTCTCTGACCTGCAAAAACTGCCATCATCCCGACGCATCATGGACAGCATCGCTGTTCCGTCAGAGGTATTCCGCGCGCGCGCCGAGTGGTTCTTGCGCTGCATCGCGTTGTGCCATACGGTGCAGCCTGATCGTGATCCGCTGACTGGGCGCATTACCGGGTACCAGGCCATATCGCCTGACGAGAAGGCGCTGGTGGCCGCGGCGGCTGAGCTTGGGTACGTTATGAATAACCGTGCCGGCCCGCTGGTGCAGTTGCGCGTGGTGGCATCGGAACGCATGCGTGATTTCAACAGCGCACTGGTGCACGGCCTGATGACGCCAACGGAGGTCCCTCTTTCTACCCCCGGCAACAGCGGAGGCAATAGCGGCAGTAGCGGTGACAACACCAGCCAGGATCCCAGTACATTGGCGCGCAAGGACGCGCAGAGCACAGCGTCTACAGGCGAGACCGCGCATGTGAGCTTTGCTGACGCTCCACCCCCTTCGCCCATCGCCGACAGTCAAGACGCCGGAGATGCCGCTACCGGAATGGATTCCAAAGACGCAGACGCAGAAAGCTTTGATCGCGGCGTGCCTGCGCCCGACCCTACCGATCGACTGGGCAACTACGAAGTGCTCGACGTGCTGGAGTTCTCCAGCGCGCGCAAGCGCATGTCAGTTATATACCGGTGCCCTGACGGTCGCATTGTAATGATGTCCAAGGGCGCAGACTCGGCTATCTGGCCGCGGCTTCTTAAGACCGACCGTATTGAGTCTAAACCTGGCGACGTGTCATTCATGCCACGGCCGTCGGCGCCTGAGCGTGTGGGCGGCGGCAGCTTTGCCGGATTTAACGGCAGTTGGCTGCCATTGCGGCGTAAGCTGTCTCACCCGAGCGCCGCATATCTGCACTCGCGCAACTCTTCGGTCGCCAGCGCAAGCAATTTGGATATTATGCGCTTGGGCGGCCAGCAGCAGCAGCAACAGCAGCAGCAGGTGCCAGAGAGCGGGGTGTCGCCTAGGGCACTGGCACGTCTGGTTGACACTGCACAGCATCAACCGAGATCACGCACTTTGTCGGGACTCAGCCTAGCGACAGGGCTTGATTTTTCCAATGACTACGCGCAAGACCAATTGGCAGAGTACGGACAGCTCAAAACGTCTGCCGAGGCGGCAGCAGCATCCGTCGCCGGCGGCAGCGGCGCGTTGGCGGCTCTGCGGCCATTCAGACCGGCGCACCGGCGGTTAATGAGCGACTCGCAGTTCAGCGCAGTCAGCGATGCCAGCAGTTTTGGCGACACGCAGGGACACGTCGAAGTACCCGATGTGTTTGGTCAGCCGTCGCGCGAGGAGGAGGAATGGACGAGGGCCAAGGCGCTCGAGGCCCTGCACCAGTTCTCCACAGAGGGTTTGCGCACATTGGCGTATGCGCATAAGGAGATCAGCGAGTCAGCGTACGAGTCCTGGCACCAGCGATACATGGTGGCGACGACAGCGCTGGTTAATCGCCAGCAACAGGTTGAGGCGGTGTGTGAGGAGATCGAGGGCGATTTGCTTCTTTCGGGTGTATCGGCCATCGAGGATCGCCTGCAGGCCGGCGTGCCTGAGACCATCTTCAAGCTGCGCCGCGCGGGCATCCGTGTGTGGATGCTGACCGGCGACAAGGTCGAGACGGCCATCAATATTGCCAAGTCCTGCCGACTCATTGACACAGACGTTGTGGAAACGACCAAGATGGATGAGAGAACGGAGCTGGGCGACCGCATGACGCTACTGGTCATGCAGTCGATGACGGACCGCGGGGAGCTGGACCGCATTCTGTCGCAGGCCCTGGCCACTGCGCGCGCCATGACGGCCACGGCCACCGTTGACGAGCGGTTTGAGAGCCGGTCGCGGATGGAGAAACTGCGCCGCGGAATGAAGCGCTTTGGCGGATTCTTTGTCCCGTCGCGCGTGCGCAGCCGCGCAGATGCCTGCATGGAGGAGCCCCTTTTGTCCGGAGACAATAATAGCAGACTGAGCAGCAAGTCGCCGGCCATTGCGGCAGAAGTTGGACACCACCGGCGCCTGGATCAGAACATCGTTCAAAACCAAGTTCAAGGCCAGGGCCAGCAGCCAATTGCCGGCGGTGGTGGTGCGGCTGCGATCTCGGAGGTTGGGTGGGCAGACGATGTGCAGCGTGGCGCTACGCCCACGACACTGCTCGGCCTGGCCAAGGACTCGCGTGCCAAGCGCACGCTGTCAATCTCAACGGACGTCTCGTCACAGGCGAGCGACGCAACACGGGCAGCCGCAGCAGCATCGAAGCAGCCGACCATCAACAACGCCAACACCGTAAGCGAGCCCAAGAGCCAAGGCGCGTCGCTCGCAGTGGTCATTGACGGCGAGACGCTAGCCACCATCGAGGAAAGCGGCAGCGGAGCAGCGGCCGAGGGCGGACTGCTCGACAAGTTCTTGACGCTGGGCACGTTGTGCGACGCGGTCATTTGCTCGCGCGTGTCGCCGTCGCAGAAGGCACTGATCGTGCACAACATGCGGGTGCGCTGCGAGCGCGGGTCGTCGCCAAAGACTCACCAAGGGTGGTGGGCACGGGCAACACAGCTGCTGCGGCACGACAACGACCGGTACATGGTGACGCTGGCCATTGGCGACGGCGGCAACGACATTGCAATGATTCAGGAGGCGCACGTCGGAATTGGTATCGCCGGGCAGGAGGGGCTTCAGGCGAGTCGCGCGGCAGACTTCTCCATCGGGCAGTTCCGGTTCCTGCAGAAGCTGCTGCTGGTGCATGGCCGGTGGAGCTACGTTCGCGTGTCGATGTTTATTATGGGCACGTTCTACAAGTGCATGTCGTTCTACCTGGCGCAGCTGATATTCCAGTTCTACACCGGATTCAGCGGCACATCCTTGTTTGAGAGCTGGACGCTGTCGATGTACAACACGCTGTTCTCGATTCTGCCTGTGCTCGTCGTTGGTATTTTCGAGCAGGACTTGCGGCCAGAGACGCTTCTAGCGTACCCTGAGCTGTATCGCGATATGGGTCCGCGGAACCACTTGTTTACTGTGCCGCTTTTCATGCGCCGCGTGATGGTCATTGGCGTGTTGCACTCTGTCGTCGCAGCGTACTTCCCCTTTGCCACCGGGCTGTTCTTGGGCGAGAACGCGTCGTCGGACGATATGTTTACCACAGGCTTTGTCGTCTACAGCATCATGGTACTCGTTGTCACGCTGAAGATTGCGTACCTGGACGTGCGCCGGTGGGTGGTTTTCTCGCACATCAGTGTTGTCGTCACGCTGCTTGTGTGGTTTGGGTGGAACGGCGTTCTGGCGCACGTCTATCCGCCCTCTTCGGGCGACGGCTATATTGTTCTCGGCACGTTCTTGCGGCTGATGCGTCAGGGCAACTTTTGGTTCCAGTGGATCATCTTTGCGGCTATTGCGCTGTCGCTCAATGTGCTGATTATGCTGGTGTACAATGTGAAGGATCCGGTTGAGCATCGGATTACGTCGTGGGTTGCTTTTGAGAGAAAGCAGGAGCACGAGAGGAATAGGCTGATGAGACAGGCTTGGCTGCAGAGCAAGGGCGCATTTGGCCGGCTTGTCGGCGGCCGATCAATGTCGCCACCTTACTGAGACAGAAAGAAAAATATAAAAAAATTTTAAATATGGGTTTTCCAGTATGCCAGACTCTATTTCTCTTTTTTTCCCCCTCTTTTTTTCTATTTTGCGCTTCAACTTATCTTTTTTCACTTTCCTTTTTTCCCCTCCATGTAACACTACTTTTATAATTTTTTTCTAATTCATAACCAATTCAGTTTCCTTCATATTTCTCCGTTAACGGAGAGCAAGCGGCGATGATCATACAGGCAACAACCATACACTCGGCCCTGCTCCTAGCCAACCGCCCAACCACACAGCTAAGACAGCTAAGACAGTTAACACAGCATCACAACCATACCGCCGCCACAACCACCACCACAACCAGTTCCAGTGTCTTTTCCGAAGTGACACTCGCGCTTCTCAAACCCGACCTTCTCATGGACCCAGCATCAATCCACACAATCCTGGAAGAAATCCACTCACATAACATCCACATAACCCGGCGCAAAACCCTCCAATGGACACGCGCAGAAGCTGAGCAATTTTACAATGAACACCAAGGAAGGTTTTTCTTCAACCGACTGGTCGGATACATGACCTCAGGACCACTGATGGCTTTGGAACTGTCCGGTCCCGGGGTGATATCAAAGTGGCGTGGGATGTTGGGATCAACGCATCCGGTGAGAATGCGTGTGGAGAGGCCGAAGTGTTTGAGGGCGAGGTTTGGGTTGACTGATACGAGGAATGCGTTTCATGGGAGTGATTCATTGGAAGCTGCAAAGAGAGAATTGAAATTTATATTCAAAAATGAATAGAAAAAACTGGTTTATTTATTTCAAAATAAAAAAGACTCATCAAAAAAGGAGGATTGGTAAAAAAATCGTTAAAAATTGTGTTTGTTTTTGTTTTAGGGCCAGTCGCAGACTATAGAGTTATCTAAGGGTTTGCAGACGGTGGATTTAGGACACGGTCTTGCTACCGTCCACTCGCCATAAAGACAATACTGGTACCCTTTGCCATCTGCCGAACAACGCATGCTCTCCTCCGAGCAAACTCCAACAGCCACTTTAGTGATTGGTTCCAAGGAGGCATAATAAGTTGGTTCAACTGTAGCTTCGGTGTCAGGCGTTAATACAGTTACGATCATAGAAGGGGTGATTTCGATCAACGAAACAGCCCGAGTAGAGTAGTAATGAAAGGGCGGTTCTTGGGTGTATGGATGGGCCGAGGGGGTTTCAATATTCACCGGGTATGCGATATCCGTCACAGCAACGCTGGTCTTAGAGGTTGCTGCAGTGACAGAGGGGATCATGGGAGCTGACGATACAGGAATATGTTTCTTCTCTGTGACCGCAAGGTATGTTGGCAAAGCAGAAGGCGAAATATAAGAGGGAGAAGATGAGGGAGAAGGGATATGTGGCACAGGGTAATTCCCTGCCATTGCAACTGCAATACCAGTAACAGTAAGCTTGGGAGCACCTGTGTACAGCTCCATCCCAACCGCGTAATTACCATTAAATTCGGGCACCGTTGGATACCCCGGAAGATTAGCCACAACCATGCGCTTCCCGGTGAAAGACTCAGAGCCACCGCCAACAATCCGAACATCAGCGCAGTTCATGTAAAACTCGCGATTTCCCACAGCATTAACCCACGACCACGCAAACACGGCCTTTTCTGACCCAGGCAGCTCCCCAGGCAACGTAAATGTGAAATCACGCTGACTCTGGTCCGACCCGAAACACTGTTGGAGCACCTCATGGACGACGACAAAGTTCTGTCCACCATCGTAGGACAGTGAAAATTGACAGTGGCCTCCACCATGGGGGGCACCTCCAGGTGCCAGCTTGACGGTCACCGGTTGGCCAGCGGTCCAGGTAGCGGAGGCGGTTGGGTAGGGGGTCGTGTGCTTGCAGAGTGGATCACCGCCAGAGAGGGGCGAGGACATGGAGTAGTCGAGGGATTGGCCTGCGGGAAGTGCCGGGCAGTCGAGCCCGTGGGGGCTGTACCGCGGGCAGGGCGAGATCATATCTAGGTGGGCGGTGCTTAGGCCAACCAGGGCAATAATCGACGCGAGCTTGAAATACATTTTTGTATTTTTTTATATTTTGTAGTCGTTGTTGGTGGTGTTGATGATGGTTGAATAAAGTAAACGGCCTGCGTTTAATGCAATAATAAAATATGTAAAAATTATTTTTATGGTGAGGTAAAGGAATAGGAATAGAGAAACGGGAAGATGGGGAATAACATATATGCGCACATTTCATTCTATTTATTTTCAAAAAAAAGTAAAATTTCACTCATATTTTTTGTACAATTGAATAACATTACGTCAGTTTTTCTGTTTACTACTATTCCACTCACTCTTTTGTCTTCACTTTCTTATTATCCCATTTTCGCACATCACATCACATCATTTTACGACCACAGAATAGCACTTTTGTCTATTATATCCATATTCCCATTTCTTCTCTCCCCTATTACCTATTATTCTTATATATAATTGTTTATCTATTATTAGTTTCACGAATAAACAAGTAAAAAACGGAACAGAAGAGAGAATAAGAGGATAGAACAATGGATATCACGAAATAAAATATATTATTTATGTATTTATAAATTCCGCGTTTCCTATTTCGTTTCACCCCCCCCAATTATATTGGTTGTTGTTTATTGAGTATTTCTTTATTTCGAGCTTGTTATTTGTTATAATTTTATTGTGAACAGGAATGTAAAAATAAAAATACGGACGAATGAACGAATGAGATGAGATAATAGAAATGTATTTCTTGTGCTCTATTCTATTATGATGAGTTTGTTGTGATCGCTTTGTTTTTTCTATTTGTATTTTTTGCTGTCTTTGTCTTTGTCACGGTCAAAAGAAATAGCATTTGGACATGATAAATGAACACGTGTTTATATCATCCAAAAGTGAAGAAAAACATACACAGAATATGCTGAGGAAATGTGGTCACGAAATAAAGCTATATTGCACACCAAAATTGTTTTTATATTGTATTTTCTTTACTTTTAAAAAGCTTTGCTGCACAATAGAATATTGGCATGCATGGTCCCTTATATCCTTATCCTTATATCCGAATAAAGGTGTCTTTCCCTTTCTTTTTGCCGAGCGGATTCAGTATTATATAGCCACTCGGTTTAAAATTAGTATCTATTATGATATTGCTATTTTCTTCCCCACGTCTAGCACAGCAAAACTATTACACATACACTTGTCATTTCGATTCGGCGCAATCCAATTCAGCTGCATTATTTATAAATAGACAGATAATTTATTAACTAAAAGGGAACTCAGAAATTATCTTTCTTCATGGCCAGCCGCAGTAAATGTTGCCAACGCCCTTGCACACGGTCTTGCCGTTGCAAAAGTACGTAGGGCTCCATGCACCGCGAATACAGATACGGTATCCCTTTCCAAAGCACTGCAAGACACCACTGTCGCACGAGTCGGAAGTCTCCTCCTCGGCGTTGTGGCCCACTGGAGCGGCTGTGCTGCTATAGGCGACAGTCGAATAGAGATCAGCTCCAGATGAAACGGCAGTGTCAATAGGAGCTGACTCATAGACAGGAGCAGTAGATGCAGGCTCGTCCACAGGCGTGGGTGCTGGGAGCGTCGAGTAGAGGGCGGGAGCCGTAGTGTACGCAGCGGTACCATCAATGCTGCTACTGCTGCTGCTGATGGGAGCCAGCCCATCCTTGGGAGCGATATATCCCCCGCCGCTAGGCGACACGGTAACCTTATTGGCATTGGTGTAGTGCTCCATTCCAGTCTCATAGTCGCCGTTAAACTCGGGGATGGTCGGGTAGCCTGGGTAATTGGCGATCGTCATCTGCTTGCCTGTGTACGAAGACGACGATCCGCCCTTGATAGCAACATCAGCGCAGTTCATGTAGAACTCACGGTTCCCCGACGCGTTGACCCAAGACCACGCAAACACAGCCTTGTCAGAGGATGGAAGATTGGCGGGTAGGTTGAATGTGTAGCTGAGAACTTGGGCAGTATTGGTCAGGCTTGCGGGCTTGGAGTTTAAGAAACAGTAGCGCAGCTCCTGGTGAATCACAGCAAACGTATTCCCGTTGTCATAAGAAATCGAGAACTCGCAGTTACCGCCGCTGTGGATAGCAGCATTTGGATTGAACTTAATGGTAACAGGCTTGCCGGCAGTCCACGTAGCAGAGGGCGTTGCAAAGGGAGTCGTGTGACGGCACAGCGGCATGGCGGTTCCGCCAAGATTCACCGAGTATAATGGCGCGTTGATTCCACCATCACCGGTGTCCAGAGACTGGCCGGCTGGCAGGGCGGGGCAGTTCTCGCCCACGGGCGAATAGCGAGGGCAGGGGCTGATGAAGGAAACATGGGCAGAGGCGAGGCCTGCAAGCAGACCGACAGTGGATAAAGCCGCAAACTTCATTATGGAGAAAAAGAAATAGCGTATTTGAAAGGCAGGTGAGGAAGAGGATATAAGGACAGTGAAATGGGTACAACCAGCGTACAGCCAAACGGGAGAAAAACAAAAAAAGGCGTGAAAAAAGGAAGGGGAAGGTGAATTTCGTCAACGAAACAAAAGCGGATGAAGAAAAAGATAAAAGATGAGAACCAGCAGCACCACAGCGAGCTTTTATATCCAAAAAACCCGTTTGGCAAGCTATAAGTATAATTCAACGCTCTTCGTATAATTAGACTATGCTACTTTTTTGGCGAAAGAGAGCCAAATAAACAAGGCATACATTGGATGGTACAGTTCCGCCCGCATGATGTGTGTGTATATTTTAGCAAGGACCACAGTCAACTGCCCCCGAGCCGTAACAATTGTCACAATGGCGCGGACTCATGCAATAGGTGCAGGAGCTTAATTTCGGGACGGCCAATTATTTGCATTTTAGTCATTTTTATTCCGCAGCGGAAGACGTCTGGTTGGTGGAATGATCAGACAACAGTCTAAATGCTTTTATCATATTCGAAATGCTGTGTGTCTTGGTGGATTTGTGTGGGTTTTTCCTAAATGCGCAAATAGGACGCCAGTATCCAGAAACTCCCAACAAATAATTGCAAGCAAAATGCAGCCATACATATTTATCCTGCATTTACCAACACACTCTCATTTCTTAATTGGACATCAACAAGTCTGGTTGGTTGGAATGATACGATTCTACAATTAATTTGATTTAGTTTTCTGATCTGGATTCTGAACTACCAAATTTTTCTCTGAAAAATGCTTGTGAAGTTATTTTGTATATTCAAATTGTTCTAAAAGTAGCACCCATGCTTGGCGCTTATTATCGCTGCATATTTCCAATAATAATTAACATCATCATCCAAACTTTTTGGAAGCACATGAATCATGTTTTTTTATAGTGTTGGCAAATCAGGTTGCATGGACCTGCCCAGAAACCTGGACCGTCGGGACCCACACAGTCCGATAAGTCATTTCAGTGTCAGTAGAAAAGGTATCCACACTGTGTTAAAATAATTTAGATACTATAGTAAGTTTCATTCCATCAGCTCAAATTAGCACTCTTGTTGACTAGCTAGTATGTGCAGGATATGCAAAGAAACAATAAGTTGGCTTTTACTACTACAAGGCTCATGCTAAGCTGCTTCCCATGACAATCCGCCTTAGTTACGTCATTCAAGACATTAGTGGTAAAGGTATCAAATTTCTTGTTCTTATTTATTACACAATTGTAAACCAAATATAATAAAAAAGAGAGGATAGTGCTGTTACACAGCCTGAGGATATGGAGGTAGACGCGGAGGGAAAGAATCACAAGACAGATTCCTACCATCTTGCTGATGGATCTGACATTGACCAAATTACAGGGGACTAAATCAGACGCCACTGTTGACATCCAGATACACTGTCTGTCTCAAAATAGACGCGCTGAGCGCACGAATACAGAGACGCCAATAATGCCATATCAGAGACTCGGGTTACATTCATAAGGACCAGTTCTCGCGAACGGGGCACACAACTGCCAGTGTGTGCCACAAAGACATTGAGACACACATATGTAGGATGAGGTCGGCGATAGCAGCACTTTAGAAACACTAGTAATAAAACACTTTATAATTTAATAACTATCCCTTTAACACTATTGTAGTAGTGTTGGAATAAAGTATAATGCTATAAGCTATATTTAATAACTAAGTGCTATGCACTGTGAAAGGTAAAGAGTAGGGATATTGCTTTGGTCACTATGTGACTTATTGTTTGTGTGGTTAACCAGCCAAGACTGGTTAATCGGCTGACTGCCATCAACCAATAGGGTTTCTCCAGTGCATGGTGGAAGGCTGCCTGCAAACCTTTAGTGTTTTGTTAAAAACTATATATTTGAACAAAATGAACTAAAAGAAAGCTAAGGGATGAACAGCCTCCACTGTTCATATTCATTAGTATTTATGTGTGCATATGAATTCCTGCATATGCAAGTAGGGAATTAGCTAGCGATTGATTCATTAATCAATCGCCAGAGGCAAGCCACAATTTCTTGTATCACATTTAGGGCCAATGAAACCGAAATTAAGGATAGCAAAAAAGTGCTATCAGGAAGATGGAAGTGTAATTGCAACATGGCTGTAGTGCTGAACTTTTGTATCATTTTCAATGCCTTGCTTACAGGCAATCGGCAGCCCCATTTCTTGCGCAAAAAGAAATCGTCAGAGCCAGCTGAAATCGAGTCTACAGCGACATCCGAGACTTTGCCAAAGCCAAAGCCCAAGCTTCTCTTTGCAAGAAACAGAGAATTGATTAATATTGTCAAACATAGTAGTCTATTGCCACTAGTTTCTAAACACTTGTCAGGTTGCTATGAAATCTGAATGGGAAGAATGTCGATTTGCAGGATATTTGTAGTCTCATTCTTTTCTTCAGTGTTACTAACATATAGTTACTCCGATAATTGTTTAATATTTAGAATATTATTGACCAGCAACATATTTATTTATAGATTAATGTGTAAATGCATATAATCAAAAATCAATGTCTATAACAGTAAGAAATAGCTGCTCACAGTATGCTCAACCTTTTTATACTTTTTATGGTGTCTGTTTAAAAAGCAGGCAAGGTTGTCAATGTTGAGAATAATGAAATATGAAAATAATTTAAATTGTTTAAAGAACCAATTTCCATTTGTGACTTGCTCAAGCAGTATTGACCATCCTTAGACAACATACTTGTTGTTAGGTTAATTGAACAGGCATACAGGATATTAGACGCTAAAGTGCTTACTGGTATCAGTTCAATTGGAAATACCCAAATCATCTTTATTCAAAGTTGAAAACACGCAATCGACTTTGTATACTGTTTAACACAACTTTTAACCATAGTTTACTCGATATCTCATTAATTAACTGAGCTTGTACAATCTTCCATTGAAATATGTAAAGACTCGCAATTTGTATCAACCTTTGAAGCTTCCGCAACATTTGGTATTTGTATGGCAAACACAATGCTAGCAGCAAGCTCATCCAAGCTATCTGTCTTTGAATTTGATGATAAAGAGCCACCTGCACTTAATTTTTCTTTCAAGACAAAAGCTGACGATGCATTACTATTTTCAATGATAATGGCAGACATGATTTCATTTGAATTATTATTAAGATTGTAAACTGGGCCACCTGTCAGAATCACTCCGGATTGTAAAGCTTCAATTTTAATCAAAATATTGGCTGCAAGGTCAGCAATATCGCTTGCACCATTGGTAGCTGAAATAGAAACAGTACTTTTGCTACTGGTTTTAGAAGCAGTGGCTGATTGAGCTAAACCATTACTATTTGGTTTGTTTGCGCTGATCTCCCCATCCTCAGACTTACTATTATTCTCTTCAGTGCTGGAAATGGTATCATTATTTTCAATGTTAGTGCTGCTACTATTATCTGGGTTGGAGGAGCTAAACATTTCACCTTCGCACTTGTCATCATCTTCTTCCTCTGAAAAAGAAATAGTATCATTCTCAGCGGCAGTCCCAATATTCTCATTTGAGTTGGAAGAGCCAACCATCTCACCTTCGCACTTGTCATCATCTTCTTTCTCTGAAGAAGAAATAGTATCATTCTCAGCGGCAGTCCCAATATTCTCATTTGAGTTGGAAGAGCCAACCATCTCACCTTCGCACTTGTCATTATCTTCTTCAGAGCTTGAGGAACTACTCTTGTTAACGGAAATTCCGATATTCTTGTTTAATTTAGAAGAGTTAGACATGTCATCATTGTCTTCAGTGCTAGAGGAGCTATTCTTTTCAACTGAAGCGCTGCTTTTATCTTTAGCAACGGTGCTGCTTAAAGTGTTGGGATTGGACTTTGCTACCGCCTTGCCACTGCTGGTGACTGTTATTTGCTTAGCGCTGGTGTAAAGTTCTATACCATTTTCATAATCATCATTAAACTCGGGAATTGTTGGGTATCCCTTGTAGTTGGCAATAGTAATTTCCTTGCCAGTATACGAAGTTGACGAGCTGCCCGTAATTTCTACATCTGCGCAGTTCATGTAAAACTCACGGTTACCCGATGCGTTGACCCACGTCCATGCAAATATAGCACGATCACTTGACGGCAAGTCACTGGGGATATCAAATGTATAGGAACTCACCAACACTTCCTCAATAGTGTTGCTTGGCTTTTTGCCTACAAGGCAATAGCGGAGTTCTTGATGGATAACAACAAAGGTCTTGCCGCTGTCGTATGAAACTGAAAACTCACAGTGCCCACCGCTGTGACTGATTCCATCCGGCGCAAATTCGACTTGATAAGAGCTCCCCGCAGTTAATGTGTCAACAGTATTAACCCACTCCTTTGAGGTCTTGCAGAATTCAAGGTATACGCCCGTAGTGGCTGAGCCAATGGGCTGGTTAATGTCATAGTCATATTCACTCATTCCATTGGGCAGGTTGCTTGTTTTGCCGCAAAATTCAGAAAATCGAGCACAGGGCTTGGTTAAGGAATTATGCGCGTTAACAATATCTAGGAGTGCCAGCGCAAACAGAGGAAAAAAGCGAAGTTGTCGAACCATGTTTGTCAATAAAACCACTGGTATAATTAATAAACTATATAAGGAAGTTGTAGTGTACTGTGTCAAACAAATAATTTATAATAACAATGTAGCTGGGCTACAAAAATTTAATATAATACTTTAAATAAATGTAGAATAGATAATATGGATATGATTGATGGCAGCACTTAAACTGTAAATGACCCACCCTGTACAAAAAAAACAATTGCAAAATAAAAAAGTGTACCCCTTTTCTCTATTTTTTTTACAATTGAGATGAGCATTTTATTAACCACATGTAATTGTTTTTTTCAACTATAGAAAATATTAAAAAGCCGAGCATGTGTTCTTTATAATGCCTTTTACAGCAGCACAAATCCAGATCTGTTACTCCCTTTAAAAAGGAATTTGACCCTTTATAGTTTCTCTAATAAATATTTTTAATGTTGTTTGTATCATGCCACAAGGTTTAAATCATGCGCAAATTAGCTTCAAACGGTTATAAACTGTGTGACAAAAGCATAACAGCTAGGTGAAAACGCTAATTATTACAGTCCAACAAATCAATTTTTTTTAGTGGAATCTTTTACACTGAGTGAAGAGAAATAGTACAAACTAGGTGTGGTGTATTTATTGTATACCTGTTCTACATTTTGACGATTTTTGACTAGCAATAAATTTATTTCAAAGAAGTGTATGTAGGAAATAAAAACTAAAAATATCTAACTTAGAGCTATGACCGATAGCTGCTTACACTGTACTCAAACCGTTCGTATGAGTGTTTGCTTATGCTTTCCGATATAGCCAAGGTCGGTGAAGGCGATGTCGCAATGTGTTGAATCTCGTTCAAATTGTCCAAAGTACCCAACTCTCCGGATAGCACACTTGAGATATTTTGATCACCCTCATGTGATAAATTTGTGGTTGAACTAAACAGGTCAAAGGTGTTGGAAGAGGAACCCAATGAAGTGCTAGAGTTGAGCAACACAGCTTTACTAGGTTCAGCAAGTTCGGATATACTCAATTCAGCTATATTTGAGTTTACTGCATCTACACCACTTGATAATTGTATGGCAAACAAAATGCTAGCCGCAAGGTCAGCAATACCGCTTGCACCATTGGTAGCTGAAATAGAAACAGTACTTTTGCTACTGGTTTTAGAAGCAGTGGCTGATTGAGCTAAACCATTACTATTTGGTTTGTTTGCGCTGATCTCCCCATCCTCAGACTTACTATTATTCTCTTCAGTGCTGGAAATGGTATCATTATTTTCAATGTTAGTGCTGCTATTATTATCTGGGTTGGAGGAGCTAAACATCTCACCTTCGCACTTGTCATTATCTTCTTTCTCTGATGAAGAAATAGTATTATTCTCACCGGCAGTCCCAATATTCTCATTTGAGTTGGAAGAGCCAACCATCTCACCTTCGCACTTGTCATCATCTTCTTCCTCTGAAGAAGAAATGGTATTATTCTCAGCGGCAGTCCCAATATTCTCATTTGAGTTGGAAGAGCCAACCATCTCACCTTCGCACTTGTCATCATCTTCTTCCTCTGAAGAAGAAATGGTATTATTCTCAGCGGCAGTCCCAATATTCTCATTTGAGTTGGAAGAGCCAACCATCTCACCTTCGCACTTGTCATCATCTTCTTTCTCTGAAGAAGAAATAGTATCATTCTCAGCGGCAGTCCCAATATTCTCATTTAAGTTGGAAGAGCCAACCATCTCACCTTCGCACTTGTCATTATCTTCTTCAGAGCTTGAGGAACTACTCTTGTTAACGGAAATTCCGATATTCTTGTTTAATTTAGAAGAGTTAGACATGTCATCATTGTCTTCAGTGCTAGAGGAGCTATTCTTTTCAACTGAAGCGCTGCTTTTATCTTTAGCAACGGTGCTGCTTAAAGTGTTGGGATTGGACTTTGCTACCGCCTTGCCACTGCTGGTGACTGTTATTTGCTTAGTGTTGGTGTAAAGTTCTATACCCGTTTCATAATCCATATTAAACTCGGGAATTGTTGGGTATCCCTTGTAGTTGGCAATAGTAATTTCCTTGCCAGTATACGAAGTTGACGAGCTGCCCGTAATTTCTACATCTGCGCAGTTCATGTAAAACTCACGGTTACCCGATGCGTTGACCCACGTCCATGCAAATATAGCACGATCACTTGACGGCAAGTCACTGGGGATATCAAAAGTGTAAGAAAACACCGACACTTCATTAGTAATAGCGCTTGGTTTCTTGCCAACAAAGCAGTAACGAAGTTCTTGATGAATAACAACAAAGGTCTTGCCGCTGTCGTATGAAACTGAAAACTCACAGTGCCCGCCGCTGTGACTCACTGCATGTGATGCAAATGTAACTTGATAAGAGCTCCCCGCAGTTAATGTGTCAACAGTATTAACCCACTCCTTTGAGGTCTTGCAGAATTCAAGGTATACGCCCGTAGTGGCTGAGCCAATGGGCTGGTTAATATTGCCGTCTAACGTACTGACACCACTGGGCAGGTTGCTTGTTTTACCGCAATATTCGGAAAAACGAGGACACGGCTTACTTAAAGAAATATGAGCGTTAACAATACCCGGGAGCGCCAGCGCTGACAAAAAAATATACACAAAATTCCGTAGCATGCTTGTAAAGATAAAATAATGGTTTGACCAATTAAATATAATAAAAAATAGTTTGTAATATGCTTCTGTTAAACAAATAGATTCGAAGAAGGGAGAAAGTAAAATAGAAATATGCTAAAAAAAGTTTCCAATGATTGCATGGATAGGCATCCCCTTCTCTACCTATTAATGTAAAATACAAAAAATGTGGGCCATAAAGTAAAACAATTGTATTTTGTTGGCTTGCTAAAAAATAAAGCACAACTACACCTCATGACTTGTAAAAGTTCACTGGCAGCAATCGCCAAAGCCAACCTCAAAAGCACACATTTATTTACCAGCAGTGCTTATTTTTGGAACAAAGCATAAAAATTGTCACGCTGTTCATAATAAAAAACAAATTGCTTTTATTAATTTTTTGGAGTAAATTTTATCTTTGGAAAAGAAAACAGCACAAAAGCAAAGGCAAAAAGATAAAATACAACACGTAGTCTCCACGCCTTTTCTTTTGCGCAACATGATGAGTACTACATGTACATTGCCATACATTTTTGCAAACAGTAAATTTGAATGTGTGTAACAATGTAATTATTTTTGCGCATTATTGAGTGTAAAGGCAAGTGCTTTGCCTTTTTTATTTAAAAAATAACCTGGCTTTTGTATCAGTTGATTACTATCCATGCAATAAAACTTGGTATGTATATAAATATATAATTGAAAGATTTGCAAATAAAAATAGAGTTGAACTGCAAGCCATACTGCCAGAGTACAACCAAGTCATTTCTCCACAGTGCTAAACATTTATAGAAAACGTTAAAACAAAACAAAAAACAAAACAATTTACGCTCGGCTCATATGTAGCTCGCTAACACCCGTACCAATATTTATTTCTCCAGATGTATCAGCAAGTCCATGTTGACCAAAAATACGTGGTTGGAGGGACTTTTGGCAATTAGGGCGTTGACAATGCTAGACCTCATCATCATTAGCAGCAGAAATAGAAAAAGCCTAAATGATATTCGATTAACTAGATGAAGTGGGCTTTGTTGAAGCACTTAGTGAATTCAGTGCAGGAGGCAAGCTGGTACTATACTCAAACTTTTCATATGACATGTGTTTGTCTTTGAATGACTCGGTATTCTCAGTGTCAGGCTCACACGTCTCAGTGTCTTCAGTATCGGACTCGCACGAATCAAGATCACCCAGCTCAGTCTCCGAGGAAATGTCAGTAGCGGTAGGGGTCTCGCTGGTATGCCCTTTTATGGCACTGCTCAGCGTTGTTAAGGCAGCGTTTTCTAATTTGGTGCCATTTTTGTCGTTAAGAACACTGACATCAAGATCGAAGTTTGCTGCGAGGCTGTGGATGAATTCAACAATATCTTCCGATTTTATAGTTGCAAGGTCCAAACCAGGTGAAAGACTTTTCGGTTCGTTGTTGTTGATTACAGCACCAGCACCCTCGGGTATAATATTATCTTTGATATTACTAGATGCCGAAGATAAGGAATTGGACGAAGAAATTGCAATTTGATCGAGAATTCTGGAATCAGAATTATTGGTGATGGTATTATCGTCGTCGCACTTATCGTCTTCCTCATCACTATTTGTGCTGCTACTCGGCTCTTCATCCTGTTGAACCAGACTGCTGACAAGCTCTTTACCAGGATTAGCTTCATTTTCACTTGTATTATCGTCGTCGCACTTATCGTCCTCCTCATCACTACTTGTGCTGCTACTCGGCTCTCCATCCTGTTGGACCAGACTGCTGACAAGCTCTTTACCAAGATTAGCTTCATTTTCACTTGTATTATCGTCGTCGCACTTATCGTCCTCCTCATCACTACTTGTGTTGCTACTCGGCTCTCCATCCTGTTGGGCCAGACTGCTGACAAGCTCTTCATCAAGCTTAACTCCACTTCCATTTGTATTATCGTCGTCGCACTTATCGTCCTCCTCATCACTACTTGTGCTGCCATTTGAATTGGGGGGTTCAGAAATTGCCTTGGGTACAACGCTGAAGAGATTATTCGGATTCTCATCCAATGGCTCCTCGTCACATTTTTCGTTGTCCTTGGATACGCTGACTGAACTAACATTCAGACTGACTTCTTGTTTTAAAGCCTTAACGCTAACGGAGCTCAATGCCCTGGCCACGATCGTTGAATTAGTATTGGTGCTAGACACGGTGTTTTTGGAAGCGCTGGAAGGAGAAATAGTTATGTTCTTGGCGTTGGTGTAATACTCCAGTCCCGTGGTGTAGTCCATTTCAAATTCTGGAATTGTCGGATAGCTCGGGTAGTTGGCAATTGTGGTCTGTTTGCCAGTGTACGACTCGGATGAGCTGTTTTCAATGATAATGTCGGCGCAGTTCATGAAAAACTCGCGGTTGCCCACAGCAGTCACCCAGGTCCACGCAAAAACGGCAGTGTCACTGGCGGGCAGGTCAGAGGGAAGCTTGAATGTGTACTCGGGATGAACAACATTGTCAAAGTAGATATCCTTGGGCTTGGTGCCCACAAAGCAGTACTGGAGAACCTCGTATATAACAGCAAATGACTTGCCGTTGTCGTAAGAAATAGAAAACTGGCAATGGCCTCCACCATGGCTCACCGCGTAGGGGTTAAACTTGACGGTGACATCTTGGCCTGGAGTCCACTTGACCTTGGTTCCGGGCCAGGGCTTCTCAAACTTGCAGAGGGGCTCCTTAACTCCATCTTCCTTGGAATAAATGGGATAATTTTGCGTGTCGATGAGGTTGATGCCCGTAGGGAGCTTGTCGGGGCAATCCAACCCAGCCTTAGAGAAACGTGGGCATGGGTAGATAATAGAGTTGTATCCATGAACTGTGGGCAGAAAACCTTGAGAGGCAAGCGCAACGAACAGTAGAAAAGTCGATAGTTTCATAGGATTTCACGGTGAAAAGTCCTCTCTTGTATGTGGCGATAGAGAAATAATAAATATGTATTCAGAAAAAACTGTCTCCTAATAACTATATCAAACAGTAATGTAAAGGAATATAATAGACAAAATAAGAGGGAAAATATAGTTCCAACAGACAAATGAGTAAAAAATAAATTGTAGTATTAAAAGAGGGAGGAATAAGAGAAAATTTGTGTGGAAGAATAAAATAAATTTTCACCACTTTTGCGACAGCAAAAAAATGCTTGGCATTTGTTTTGGATATTACGCATTAGCTGCACTTGTTCAATTGAAAAGTGGGGACATTTGCTTTTTTATAAAAGAACTTTACTTTTTAAAAAGTGAACGCTCCACTTTATAAAGGCAAAAAATAATTATAAAAACAAAACGCGTGCTGTCCATTCTAATATTAAGTGCGGCCTTTATAAAATGAAGCAATACGACAAATCAATTTGTCCACCTGCTGACATTTAATAGACCAGCACCTGGTCAACTTATTTTTTATTAGACCGCAATAGTAATTGCGCAAAATAATTCCTTACGTAGCCATGTTATAATCTGCTTATCTGGCAGAAAAAGAAGAGAGGAGAAGAGAGAAGAAGAGAGGAGAGGAGAGGAGAGGAGAGGGGAGGGGGTGGGGGCAAAAGAAAACTGGCTCTATGAGAAATAGTAGCTTTTTGGCTCTCCATACACCCGAAAAAGCCACGTACAGGCACCATGTTGGCTCCACCGATGCAGGACCAAAAAACCAGCACACTAAATGACGTACATACAAGCTTTGTTGTTTATTAATTCCGTGGTCCGCGCATGTAATATTTGTATTTGCCGATTTCTATTTCAACGATTTTTTTATACTTATGCCTCTACGCGCAGCTAAAAGCTTTTCAAATAACTATATGCTACCGGCGTTGAATCCGCTAGTATTTTCCAATGTGTGTTGCTGTGCCGGGAGTGAGCTGGTTTCAAACGAGATCACCAACACGTATAAATAAACCCGCTGTCCGGTGCAAGAAAACCGTTTTGAATGCTGATAACAACTTGCTTTTTTGCTTCACAAATCGCACTAGTGCTGGTCACGTATCTATTTGTAATCCAGGCTTTTTGGTTTTATTTTTTACAATGAAGTTTGTGCTCGCCTCAATTTGCGCCTTGGTTGGAATTAGCATGGCGCACATGGACATGATATCGCCCTGCCCTCGCTACAGTCCCAGGGGAATAAACTGCCCTGCTCTTCCCTCCGGTCAATTGCTTGACTACTCCATGTCAACGCCTCTGGGATACAACGCGCCTCTATGCAAGCACACTGTGCCCTTCCCAACACCATCTGCCACCTGGACCGCAGGCCAGGTTGTTACTGTCAGGATGGCACCTGGCGGTGCCCCGCACAGCGGCGGTCACTGCCAGTTTTCACTGTCATACGATGGCGGCAGAACATTTGTCGTTGTGTATGAGGTGCTGCGGTTGTGCTTTGGACCCGACAACAGCCAGCGAGCATTTACCTTTACGCTTCCTGCTAATCTGCCGTCATCCAACAAGGCGGTGTTTGCGTGGACCTGGGTTAACGCTGTGGGCAATCGCGAGTTTTACATGAACTGTGCCGATGTTGCCATCAGAGGACGGGCCCTGTCATATACAGGACAACAGATGGTCATTGCCAACCATGCAGGCTACCCGACTATTCCCGAGTTCAACGGCAATTTTGCCACGGGAATTAGTCTTTATAGCGCTGCACCTAACATTACTGTTCGCTGAGCTTTGGGTTTCTGTCGGTTTGTCAACAGTGATAGTGAATGCTAGCGCGTTTTTGCACATTTTTTTGTGACAGCATAAAATAGCAATTGATTTAATTCACAGGTATTATTTTGCATATGAATTTATAATCGTCTGTTTAATTTTATGCAGAATAATTGCGCACGCTACACTACAGTAAAGTCCCAACTTGTTTGCAAGCATTTTTTGCTGGCAAAATCGTCTATTGTATCAAATACATAATACAACTTATTGAAAATTTAGATCCCAGTAGGCAAGTAATTGTACAAATAATACAAAAAGGAAGGGTGTATTGAATCGCAGTGCAAATGTAATTGTAAAGGTTTACTTGATAAGGTCGTTCAGCGGATCAAATGCACCATTCAATTAGTTGGGGCTTTTGAGCCGCAACAGGCAAATGTATGTAAAAAATAATAAAGAAAATTAAAGAAAAATGGATGAAAAACAGCTATGCAAACGTAAAGCAAAACCAAAAGCAAAAAAATCAAAATAACAAAAAAGGGCGCGTCTTAAAATATATATTTTTTTACATCTTTCATCTTCACAAATTTACTATTACCGTTATAATAAGAGGTGGGATGTGTAGAGTGCTACGATGTAGTGTTAAAAGGCGGGGTGTCAGTTTATAAAGGTTTGTATTATCAATGGAATCAAAAGCGTAACTAAGGCCGACCTCATGTCTCGTTGCCTTTATTGTGCATTTCACCGATTTTGCACTCCGTTACCGAGAACTGGTTCTTCTACAGACAGACTGATGTCTTGGCGTGTCAATGTTATGATCTTTGCATGTGCGTATCCATGCATGTACATTATGAAACGGGGGACATATCAGGGTGCCAATATTATGTCCCCTGATTTGATCCTACATGGTACCATCTATGTCCTGTTAATTGGCATGTTGAGGTTAAGAATCGTGAAACGAGTTTTCATCAACATCCACTTCCATATCACCGGACTGCTCAACATTACACACTTGTTTTATTTACACACACATATTGCTTACACAAACATATTTGTTGTATACATCTACAGTAAGTAACCAACAATGCCTACAGGTACAAAAAAAACAATCTAACCTGTCAATTACATTTCAACTCAAATAGTATTTTTTAGGATTGTGTATGTGCAAAACCATACAGGTACTCCGATGAAAGTATATTTGGCAAGGTTATCAAACACCTAATCGAAACTCAGCATTTTAAAAGTGTTAAAGACGGTTTATGTTTGCATTTTGAGATTCCTCGTGATGGATTTATAGAAGCTGACTATGCGTATCGCAAAAGAAATTAGAATGCAGCATTAATCAAAGTTTTAAAAACCGCAAATTTGAATTAATAGCCAGAGCAAAGGTCAGCAAAAATATTCTAGAAGACGACCTGTAATTTAATAGTTATAGTCGGCTGTTGATGGGTGTATACCACAATAGGAAAGCAGCTGCATTTAGGGAGCAGAATAGTGGGACTAGCAAAAAGTGGACAACCGCAGGCAACATACGGAGAACAATGGCAGTTGAATATTGCGCCACAATGTATACCTGTAATTGTTCTACTGCAATTCAAATTATTTTTTCAATAAAACTCATTTTGGGTGCCCATTTGAGAATTTGTTGCATCAAACGTCCAGTGAAAAGGTGTTTGAATCTGCTATTTTCCCTCTTTCTTTTTCCGCCTTTACTATTTTTTTAAATAAATCAAATTTGGCACTTTTTACTCTTTCACTCATATCCTTTTTTGCAAGTTGTCCACACCATCGCCAAATAAAAAATACAAAAATAGACCATGAGTAACAATAACCGTGCCATCAGCGTAGTCATCGTAGGCGGATCCTATGCAGGAGCAACCGCAGCCAAGCAGCTCGCAGGACTGGCCAAAGGCAACTACCCTAACCTCAAAGTAACCCTGATTGACAAAAGCACGCACTATTTCCACGCTGTGGGGTTCCCCAAGGCGCTTATCAACGAGGATTACGCCTCAGAGTGCTTCCTCCCCTTTTCCAGTCTTTTTGATCCCAAGTCCAACCATGAGTTTGTGCACAGCAAGCTCAGCGCAATCAAGGACGCTCACCATGTGCAAGTGGAGGGTGGCCGCGAGATCTACTTCGACTATTTGATTTTGGCCACAGGCAGTCAGTCGCCGGGCCCAATCAACCCGGTGGCGACAAACAAGGCCGATGGACTGGAGGAGATCGCGCGGCTGCGCGATGGGATTCTCGAGTCTAACACTGTGATGGTTGTCGGCGGTGGAGCAGTCGGTGTCGAGATTGCCGGGTTTTTGGCAGAGGCGTACCCGGCTAAAAAAGTGACGCTGGTGCATAGTGGGTCTAGACTGTTGCCAATGAACTTTCGCGAGAGCATCGGCACTGGTGCTGTGACTAAGCTGAAGCAGCTCGGGGTTGCAGTTATTCTGAATGAGCGTATTGAGATACCCGAGGACCCCGAGTACGCTGCTCAGGTGAAGGGACAGGTTTTGCGCGGGTCCTCTGGAACCGAGTACCAAACTGACGTGCTGATCAAGGCTATTGGTCTGCGCATCAACTCGGATTTCCTCGCTCCTCTCGAGTTGGCCGCTACAACTAAGCTGCGCGCCGCCGGGCCTGTTCCCTTTATCCGCGTGCTGCCTACGTTGCAGTTGGCTGAGCCATTGTTTCCCAATATTTTTGTTGCCGGCGATGCCAACGATCTGCCAATGTCTGCCAAGTACGCGTTCAAGGCTGAGATGCAGGGCGGTACGGCGGCTGGGAATGTCAAGCGCATGGTCGAGGCCGGCTTTGACCAGGAATTCGCCCATGCTACGGCTGTTAGTGCCAAGGCCGCTGCCGATGTTATTGTGCCGTCGCTCAGTAAGTGGTCGGACATGGTTGATGCCATTATTGTGCCCATTGGATCACAGATGGGTGTCATTCAGGTCACGAAGATCACCTTTGGATGCTCTGGTATTGCAAATTTTATCGTGCGCCAGCTAAAATCGAAGGACTTTATGCTGTGGATGCGCAAGCCCCTGTTCAAGTACAGGGCTGCCCAAGACTAGTTAGAAGTATAATAAATTTTTATTAATAGCAAAATAAAAAAGTCTTCTTTCAGCTCACTTGTCAAACTCGGTGACGCGGCCCTTGTGGTGCACATAGATTTTCTCTGTAATTCCCTGTTGCATAGCGACCCAGCGTGCAGCAGTGAAGAGGTAGTCGCTCAGCCGGTTAACAAACATCATAGTCTCCTTGTCAATGTCCTCCTGTAGCGGCACCAGGGTGCGCTCGGCGCGGCGGCACACTGTACGGGCAATATGCAGGGTAGAGGCGGCCGGTCCGCCCGACGGCAAGATAAACGAACGATGCATGGGCAGTCCCACGGACAACTCATCAATCCACCCCTCCATTCTCGTACAATGGTATCCGTCGGGATCAAACCTCGTGCGGTTAATCTTAGTCTCTGACTTTCTGGTGCCATTCAGCGGCGTCGCCACATTCGACCCGACGTCCTGAAGCAGGCACTGGATGACCTCAAGCTGTGGAATGAGTGTCGAGGCGTTGGTTCCCTCCATATGCGCAATGGCCAGGCCGATGGTTGAGGAGAGCTCATCAGTGGTCCCGAGAGCCTCGAAAACGGCATCATCCTTACCGCGACGCTCGCCTGTGAAAAGCGCAGAAGTGCCCTTGTCGCCTGTGCGCGTGTACACCTTGACTGTTGCTGCGTAGAGCTTGACCTCCTCGGGAGACTTTATCTGAATTTCGCGCTGGCTCATAATAATTTTGTATGCAAATGTTTTTTGTACTTGTGATAAAATAACGTTGAAAGGTAGAGGGACAAAAAAGAATGTACCTGTTTTCACACTCTTTTCCCCCAATCCTCTCATTCTCTCCCAATTGTTCACACGAAAGAAAGCAGAGAATGAGAAAGTTTTCACTTTCTGAATTTGCCAACACCGCACAATCACAATCACAATCACTCACAAACTATTTTTTTTGGCTTGTTTTTTTTTCAAGTCCCCAGATCATCGTTGCTGGTAGTAACGAAACAAGATTATCCTGGAATCAGATCAAAACATGTCTATGACAAAAAAACCTGCCATTCATTCTAAATCTGCTCTTCGAATCTGCAAGTTTCTATATTGTTTGTCAAAACTGATATTGTTCTAGTTTTTTGTGTGGGGAAGTAGTTTTGAAGGCAACAAAAAAAACAGTAGCGATTAATATTGATAAAAAGTAATTTTTTGGATGAAATTGTTTTATTTTTCAAGACCGGTATTTGGAGCAGTCCAGGCTATATTTAATAATAATTCAAATTTTTAGATTCGTTGCTCGTTTCAAAAAATATAAATGAAAATAGTAGGCTTTTTTGTTCACTTAATCAATGCAGAATGCTGTTTGGCATAATTTTTGTCTTCCCCTTTCCCCAACCTTTGTCTGTTCTCTCATTTTTTGCTCTGCTCGCCTGAATCTTTTATATTGTTAAGAAAAGACCCAGACGAACAACTCAAAGCGTATGAGAGGAAAAAAGAACCGCATAAAATGTCTGAAACAGAGGCTGGTTTATCAATCATTTTAATAAAAGTTAATTCCAATGTTCTGGACTCTTAAAACAATTTTTTAATTGATATCTTGAAATAAATAAATTCACCTCATTGCTCATCAATTTCCTCATAGCTAATTTTTTTGTCAGCTCACAGAATTTTTTTATCCAAAGTCGATTATTACGAATACAAAATATGCATTAGTAAAGTGAAAATGTGTTGTTCTGGTGTCCAAAGTAAAATTAATGCAACACATAAAACCTTTTACAAAATAACCCTTCTAAAATGGTTGCGTATAAAAGGCAGCCTTTGTCCCACCATTATTCTCCCACATTTCAAGTTAAAAATACATCACAGAATAATCATCCTCACGATAACTAATTAATCTCATCAACTCAACAATGTTTGTCAAGTACGGAATCTTTGCTGCCCTCGCCGTGGTCGCCCTCGCTCAGGATGCCGCCCCCATCTCCAACTCTCCCATTGCCGCCGAGGCCATTGCCACCCCTATCTCTGTCGATGCCACTGTTGCCGCCATCCAGGATATTATCATCCAGAGCACCAGCGTCGCTGCCCCTGCCCTGAGGGATCACGATGCTGAGGCTGATGCTCTTGACAACTCCGTCGAGGTTCTTGCCAGCTCTGCTGAGGCTATTGTTGCCGCTGTCGATGAGATTATTGCTCAAAGCACCAGCGTTGCCGCTGCTGCCGCTTCTGAGGAGCCTGCGGCTATTGTTGTTGAGGAGCCCGCTGCTGTTGTTGCTGAGGAGCCCGCTGCTGCCATCCCCGAGGGGGCTGCCGTTGCTATCCCCGAGGGTGCCGCTGCTGATATTGCTGGCGAGTCCAGCGCCGCCCCTATCCGTCGCCGTTTCATGAACAAGCGCGGGTACAGTGGTCACCACGGTGGCGCCACTGATAAGCCCACCCATAAGGCGGACCCTGTCTATAAGGCAGAGCCTGTCTATAAGGCAGAGCCTGTCTATAAGGCCGCCCCTGTCTATAAGGCAGAGCCTGTCTATAAGGCCGCCCCTGTCTATAAGGCAGAGCCTGTCTATAAGGCCGCCCCTGTCTATAAGGCAGAGCCTGTATATAAGGCCGCCCCTGTCTATGAGGGTGGAGCTGTCGAGCCCACCGGCTCCAATGTTTACTAAATTCTAAGCTAATGCTCTTTACTCGGAGCGTTTTACACACCCTTCACTTCCATTGCCATACTTTTACCCCTTCTTGGTGAATGGGTGTGTACGCGCGCGTGGTTCTATTCATATAACGACTAACTAATGTTGATGATTTTCTCTATTAAAAAATTATATAATTTAAATTCAACACAACACAACGATAATTAATAGTCAATTTAATTCAATATCGAATTTTCGTGGATTTTTTCCAGCTGCACATGCCACTAATATTCGTTAAATTCCAGCTTTATCCCCCTATTAGCATTGTTAGAGTTGTAATAGCCCGAAGTCAGGGTGTGTGAGTATTTTTTATCTTTAAACAAGATGGTAAAGTGGGAAATTGAGGGGAGGTGGATCGTAGCTGAATGCAAAATAAATGAACAGCATGACGATTTTGTGGCTTCAAGTGAATAGAATGAGAGTTGGTGACATATATGGCTTGGGTCAATTGACTTGTTTTTCCCCCCATGTCTCCCCAAATTTTAATTGAGGCTGTCCTTTTTGGACACTGAAGTTATTTGATTAAGGTATATAGCTTTATAGAATTATTGAAAACCAACACATTAATGTAACAATTTTAATAGGGTACTAGTATTGATAGAAGAAAATAAAATAAATGAGGCATAGACATGCGCCATTTACGTGATATAAACTTGTCACGGCAAATGTAGTGACCATGTTATCATATTTTTTATCTTTTACCACCAAAAAAGTAAACAAACCAGTTAGCGCGCAGGAAGACATGGCGTGATAGGAGAGGCCAACGAAGCAAACAAAAAATAAAAACTTGGCAGTTTACAAATAATCACGAGCCCATGTACTTGTCGAATTTATTCTTTTAAAAATCCAACTGACGTATAGCATTATAAAAAATTCGCAGTGCGGATACTCGTGCTCACCGAAAAATATTTAAAGTCTTCAAATGGTCAAAGCAAAAACATCCAAATATAAAAAAGCATTTTAAAGTGAACAAATTATTTATTTTTACGTAAACTAAAATATTAGTTGGACAAATTCACCCACCACCACATTTATCTTCTATTTTTTATAATACTAATTTGTTGAGACAATTTTTCTTCCAATTTATACTTACATGCACATATAAATATACATATATTTTCTTATTCATTTTAAATTTATTTATTTAACCATTATACATTTATTTCATATAACTATCCACTCAAATAGTATTCATTTGTATGCGCATCCTAGTTAAGCAATTTGTGTTTGCCACCCTTGTAGCCGTGCCCGTTCTAGCACATATTGAGATGCTCAGCCCCTGTCCTCGGTTCAGCGCTCACGGAAAAAACTGCCCTGCTCTTCCATTTGGCCAAGAAGTAGACTACTCCCTGATAATTCCTCTCGGCGAGAGCCAACCTCTATGCAAATACACCACTCCATACTCAACTCCTTCAGCTACATGGACTGCAGGTCAGTCTATCACCGTAATTTTCCAACCCGGAGGTGTTGCTCATAACGGCGGGCATTGTCAGTTTTCCATGTCCTACGATGGTGGCAAGACATTTGTTGTGATTCATGAAGAGTTAAAGTACTGCTTTGTTGGGAGTGCCTTGTCTGGTAACAGTATGTTGATTAGTAGTTATGATATTAAGCTGCCTTCAGACCTGCCGGCCTCGGATAAGGCAGTGTTTGCCTGGACTTGGGTTAATGCGTCGGGTAACCGTGAATTTTATATGAACTGCGCCGACGTGGCTATCAAGAGCAGCTCAACATCGTTTACTGGAAAGGAAATGACTATTGTGAATCATAAAGGGTACGAGACTATTCCTGAATTTGGTGGAAGCTACGACACGGGGCTTGATATCTATAACAAGGCCAAGCAAATTACAGTCACCAGCAGTGGTGTCTCCAAGGGAGCTTCAAATATCAACAATGACCCAGAAAACAGCTCGTACGTTTCAAGTGATGTTAGCACCAGTAAACCAACTAGCGCCATTGTGAATGCAAAAAGTAGCCTAGGTAGCATTACCATTTCTTCAGATGGTATCATTAAGAATGCCGCTATCAAAGCAGGAAACAACATTGTTGGCACCGCAACTGCAACCGCAATCGCGATCACCTCAAAATATTCCTGTAATGAAAAGACTGCATCAGCTTCAAAATTTAGTATGGAGAAAGAAATAATTCCGACTAATGCCGCAACAACCTGCTCCTTGGGCGAGTTTAGGTGCGGAAGTGACACGGCAAGTTTTGACACTTGTGATAACTCCAGGTGGGTTTCGCTCCCTTGTGCGCCTGGAACCGTGTGCCGGATTTCAGCGGATAGCAATACTCCTTGCCAGCTGGCCTGAACAAGTGTCGATTTTTATATATCTTATTTTGCATTATTATTTTTCTGTAAAATTTTTGTTAATGTGGCACAATAATATTATCCAATTCTACAAATATTCACATGTAGACAAGTGTTATAGTATTATTGTGTTTGTGGTGCAAATTGAAATATTAAACAATTAGAAACCTACATTCTAAAGCTAATGAATAGAATCGATTATCTACCGCGCTACCTTGCCCACCACAGGCTCTCTCGCTAAGCTTGTCTTCATGCTCCTATAAAAAATTGTTCTAGGGGTGGCGTAGTTGGAAGTTTTCCAAACCTGGGCCTAATTGACTAGCAGTGGAAGTGTCCGTCAATGTGTCAGTAAATTTTTTAAATACTAGCACATGATCTGCCAGCTAGAGCGTCAATCGTGGCCAGATAGCTAGTGTGCATATCTACCGTCATCATTTATGTTTTAAAATAAATAATACATAACCAATATACTGATGTCTCAGTTTCAATAATGCGTTGGTATCGGATATTAGCAATAATAGAAATAAAAAATATTAACAGTTCATAAAGAATCACGAGCTTTATGTTTCCGCCAATAAAATATTTTCTTGCGTTTTCCAATAAACATTAAAATGTAAAAAAATAGTAAGTTTTATATATATAAAAGAAAATTTTTAAAAAGACATAAGAAAACAAAGACAAGCAAATTCAGATATAAAGAAATAATTTAAAAAGAAAAACGGCTTTTTATTTTAAAAAGAATAAATAAATATTTTTTGCTATTGTATGTGTGTGTGTAGGAGGTTTGACAAATTCATTTACCTCAAACCATTTTCTGCCTTTTTTTCCAAATATTTTTTCTCCCGTATTACTGTTATAATAAAATCTACATATACATTTTTTATTTATAGTTTGAACTATACGCGTCATATATTTTATATAATTTTTATTTACATTTATATATACAACCATAGACTTGCTTAGTATTTGAAATTATGCGTATTATAGTAAACATACTTTTGGCCGCCACCCTCATTGCAGCACCAGCCCATGCACACATTCAAATGATTAGTCCCTGTCCGCGTTACAACGCTAATGGAAAAAACTGTCCAGCATTACCCGCAGGCCAAATAATAGACTACTCTATGACATCCCCCTTAGGCGAAACCCAACCTCTATGCAAATACACCGTTCCGTTTGCAACTCCTTCAGCTACCTGGACTGCAGGCCAGTTGGTCAAAATATCATTTCAGCCCGGAGGTGCCGCTCATAGCGGCGGGCATTGTCAGTTTTCCATGTCCTACGATGGTGGCAAGACATTTGTTGTGATTCATGAAGAGTTAAAGTACTGCTTTGTTGGGAGTGCCTCGTCTGGTAACAGTATGTTGATTAGTAGTTATGATATTAAGCTGCCTTCAGACCTGCCGGCCTCGGATAAGGCAGTGTTTGCTTGGACTTGGGTTAATGCGTCGGGTAACCGTGAATTTTACATGAACTGCGCCGACGTGGCTATCAAGAGCAGCTCAACATCGTTTACTGGAAAGGAAATGACTATTGTGAATCATAAAGGGTACAAGACTATTCCTGAATTTGGTGGAAGCTACGACACGGGGCTTGATATCTATAACAAGGCCAAGCAAATTACAGTCACCAGCAGTGGTGTCTCCAAGGGAGCTTCAAATATCAACAATGACCCAGAAAACAGCTCGATTGTTTCAAGTGCTTTTAGCAGCACCCAACCAACTAGCAGCACTGAAGCAGTTAGCAGTAGCAGTATTATTATTTCAGCCGATCGGATTGTTAACCTTGTTGCTGCCAAGGCAGTCAGCAGCTCGGGTTCACTCGCATCAGAAACCCTAACCACCAGAAGAAGGCCCTGCAAGGGTAAAAATGCTTTACCTTCAGCCTCACCATCCGCTTCACCTTCAGCTTCACCTTCAGATAAGGTGTTTGTTTTAGAAAACGTGGTTATTCCGGCTAATGAATTGGCGCAGTGCTCTTTGGGTGAGTTTAGGTGCGGAAGTGACACGGCAAGTTTTGACACTTGTGATAACTCCGGATGGGTTTCGCGCCCTTGTGCGCCTGGAACCGTGTGCCGGATTTCAGCGGACAGTTCTAGTCCTTGCCAGCTGGCCTGAGCAAGTGACAACTTTTTTCTTCTTCATTTTTACAAATTGCTATTTATACAATATCATTATGATTCAAGTATTTAAAGGTATTAAAGTGCTGAAATATCATTATCCTTGTAATGCAAAATTGGGTTTTAATTTATTTTGGCCGTTTATTATTTGGGATATTGTTCGGCAATTGCACTATACTTTGGGAAGTAAGGGACCACAACAAGCACAATGAGGATTTAAAAAACAAGTAAATAACGAGCAGGCAAACAAGCCAGACAATATATTGTTATTCATAGTATCTATTGTTTAGGACAAAGCGTAAAAAATTAGTCGTAAACTGTGTCTGGAAGAGAGAGAAAGAGAGAGAGAGAGAGAGAGAGAGAGAAAGAGAGGAGGAGGGCACACATATGTTATTGTTTATGAGAAAAGAAGAAAGCATTTATTTATTTAAAATAATTGATTATAAAAATTAGTAATAACATGGTATTTATTATTTTCTACGTTGATAATAAAGTAATTAACAATTGTTTTGAAATATTTTTTTTGTGAAACTGCCGTTGAACAATGAAATAAAGGTCTGTCGTTGACTTTCTCATTTATTTTTGGATTTTTTATACATTTTTTATCGCATGTTTTTGCGCGTATTACTTGATTAGGAAATTAATAAATAAAAAATAAAGGTTATTTTATTTTTAAAAAGCACATTCGTTGGAGGCGGAGATTTGGTTGGTTTTATTTTCCATCCCCTCCCTCGAAGGGAGCAAAGAAAAAGAATGAAGAAAAGAGGAAAGACATGCAAGTGATGTCGATCACCGCGACTTTCTCGCTTATTTCCCCTTCCAGCTGGCCAGCCAGCCAGCCAGCCAGCCAGCCAGCCAGTTATTATTTTATTTAGCTGTACAAATAATGATGCTGCAGCTCACATACATAAAAGAAAGGAGGATTCGCGCTTCATGCGTTGCACGCACTCGAAAAAGAGTGAGAGAGTGAGAGAGCGAGAGAGCAAGGGAGCAAGGAAGAGGGAGTTGATGTGGTGTTGTAATTTTTTTCTTATGGCTGGGTGGGAAACAAAAAATTGGAAAGCATGATCCAAAAGCGGGTTAGTCGTTGTTTTGGTATTTCCTTCTTTCTTCCTCTTTCTGTTTACTTTTTTTTCCATCATTTTTTCAATCTCTTTCAGTTTTCCATTTTCTTTTGCTTTTTCTCGTCTCGTTTACTCAATCAACCACTCACTCAGTCGTCTTGCTTGGCTAACTTTTCATTCTTTTTTTGTTATTTTTTGTTATCTCTTTACTACTGTACTTTTCCGACACCCTAAATTTTCTTCTCTAAAATCCCTTTTTATTTTTATTTACACATTTTTGCATCTATCCACCCTTTATTCCCCCCATATAAGCCAACAATAACAACAAAGAAGATATGAACGCTTTACCAAAACAAGCAAGGTCACCAGCAGGATTAATACTGCCTGCAACAACAGCAGCTGGGCGGTCGTCGGTGGTTGACCGGGTCAAGTGGATTGAGAAAACCCATGGGGTAAATGATATTGTGCCGCAGGCGCCGCGTGCACGGCTGCGTCTGCCTAAGCATTTTGGGGAGAAACAGGGAGGAGCAGCAGCCACTGGCAGTGGTGGGCAGGCGGAGAAGCAGCTGGTAGCGGTGGCAGTGGCAGTGCCGGTGAAGGCTAAAGAAGCGAAGGCAAAGGCAAAGGCAGAGCCAGAGCCAGAGCCAGAGCCAGAGTCGGAGGCGGAAGAGTATCATGGCATGGAGCATGATGAGGAGCATGCTGCGGATCATGGTGTCGAGCAGGCTCCGGAAGCATCAGAGTCGGAGTACGAATCACCAGATCACGCCGCAGCAGCACCAGCAGAGGCAAGGGCAGAAGCACCCGCCGAACCCAAATCTCAAGCCGAGTACCACCCGCACTCCCCACCTCCCACCGACCACACACCCGACCCTCACCTCCACGCGCTTCCATCGCCAGTTCCGAGCGAAATCAGCACAATCGCTCCACTCTCCCCTGCACCCTCCTTCTTCCCAGCAGAATTCCCACTCAGCCACGATCCACCCAATGCGCAGTTCCCACCGGAGGAGCAGGGGGGGAGGGGTGTTAAACTTGGTCTCTTGCGGAGTCCGCATAGGTCAAGAGCTAATTCTGAAGAGTCCATTGTCAGTTTGCAAGACGATGACGATGGGCTTCTGTATATGAGTCGGAGGTCGAGTGTCAGCGATATGGAGGGGTTTGATACGGGGCCGGTGCACGTGCAGATTAGTGGGATTGGGGTCAGCGGGGGTTCTGGCGGCGCTGGCGGCTCTGCTGCTGCTGCCGCTGCCGCCGCCGCCGCCGCTGCAGATAAAGGCAGCAAAGTGCGGTTGTTTCCGCGGTCAGTCAAGCCAGCGGCGGCAGCAAAGGCACCAGCACCAGTGCAGGCACTAACGCAGGCGCCAACGCAGGCGGCGCAGCCAGCCAAGTACGCTCGCAGCACAGACAGGCCGAGCAACAAAGACTCGGACACCGAAACGGCAAAGCTCAAGAGCCTTGGCGGGATCCGCGGGCGATCACAGCCCACAGCGCGCCGGTACAACCGCACCCAGCCCATGTCGTCCTCAGGATCCACCCACAGCGCGCAAGACACATGTGAGCGGCCACAGAGCCCTGCCCTGGTGCAGATTCAGGGAAGCCAAGGGCATCGCGCGGTGAGCAGCTCAAGTCACACGGAGGACGGCAGCGAGGATGACGGGTCGCTGCTTAGGAGACTGAATAAAATGTCCACCGTGAGGCCAAATGTCCAGGATTTGGTGAGCAACAAGCCGGCCCCGAAATTTGTCAAACGGTCACCGCACTTTAATACCACATTGCTGACCAATGCCACTGCGGGCCCCGTGGGGACAAGCACCGGCGGCAGCACGAAGCGTGGCGCCAAGACGCAGAAACGGTACATTTGAGATGGATAGTAAATAAATAAATACGCGCTTTTCTTTCAAAGGTAGTTTGTCAGCAGCTGGCCGCGCAACACGTCGTCAAGCTCATTGACCGCCACCTGTGCGTGCATCTGCGTCAGCTCGTCGCCGTCGCCGTCGCCGTCGCATATGCGGCGGAGGCAGCGGTAGATGCGGCGCAAGCAGCCGTGGTCGACCAGCTCCAGCACTTCGCCAGCGTAGCCGCGCAGCAGCAGCAGCCAAAACACCACGGCAGCGCGCCGCAGCACGCCCGGCGCCCCAGCCAGCAGCAGCAGGTCCTCCAGCGTCACGCTGATCTCGACCACCCATCGGTGCAGCGCCAGCGGGCAGGTCTCGGCGACAGCCGATAGGATCGCCAACGCCGAGTGTGCGCGCACATCGCGTTCGTCGCTTGGCCCGTGCGGCGCCTGCAGTGCGGCCAGCAGCGGCGGGACCAGCGCGTCGGCGTACTGCGGGATGGTCTGGCCAGCGCGCTGCACGGTCTGCACCAGCGCCTCGCCAACACGCAGCGTCTCGTCTAACCCAGCAGCCGAGGGCTCCGCCGCGTACATGTCGACCAGCCGCGGGATGAACTGCGCGGCGTGCGCGTCCGCCAGCGCCGCCAGCCCGCGCACGGCGTTGAGGTGCACGTAGCTGTCGGCCGCACGCACAGCGTCGACGAAGACGCCGACCGTGGCGTCCAGCTGATCGCCGCGGATCACCGGCGATCTGGCCAGCACCATGTTGCGCAGCTCGATGATGCCGTGCGCGCGCACCGGCACCAGCTCCGAGCTGGCGTCGCGCAGCGCCGCGTGGAGCCGCTCCATCTCGGGCGGGCCCGGAACTGGCGCCGAGCCGCCCGCCCGCTCCGGGCCTCTGCCGCTGCGGCCGTTGAGCGCAAGCACCATGGCCACCTGGCGAGCCACCTGCTGCGCCAGCGCCCGCAGCGCGCTGGGCCGCTGCCCGAGCTGCGCTAGCTGCGCCTGGATTGCGCGCAGGTGCCGCAGCGACGCTGCGTCCCACACGATTTCCGGCAGCGCAGTGTCGCCTGGCGGCGCCAGCCCGGCCGCCAGCGCGGGCGCCATGGCCGCAAACGCTGCCTGCTCGCTGGCCGCCATCACGTGGCCGAGCAGCATCAGCGCCAGCGCCGCCAGCTGCGCGCCGGCCTGGCCGTCGCCGTCGCCGTCGTCATCGCCGGCGTCTGCGTCTGCGTCGACGGACAGCGCCTGCATCAGCCGGCCGATCGCCGGCGCGTCGTGCTGCTGTGCCTGCGCTGCGCTCGTGTCGGCGACGCGGGCGGCGTAGCGCTCGAGCGTGTCGAAGATGAACGCGAGCACGTCGGTGTGCTTGGCGAGCAGCGCGGGGCCGAAGCGGTCGACGGCGGCGAGGACAAACTGCGACACAAGCCACCACTTGCGCACCAGCGCAGGCTGCCGCTGCTGCCGCGGCTGGTCGAGCATCTCCTGCAGCGCCTGCTGCTCGCGCAGCAGAGTGACGAAGACGTCGCCCAGCAGGCTGCGCAGCTGCAGCGCACCCAGGACGCCCAGCAGCGTGGCCACTGGCACATGGCCGGCCGCTGCGTCGCCGTCGGCATTGGAGTCCCAGACCAAGTCGACTGCATCGGCCTGCTTTGCGCGCGAGGCGAACACTGGGTACTCCAGCCGCGCGGTATTGCCGCCGAGCTCGCTGTCGTCGCCGTCGTCCGCCTCGCTGCCGCGCGCATACTGCACTGCGCGCAGAACCATGGTTATGGCCGCCGGCACAGGCAGCCTCTGCAGTGTGGTCACAAGGACGCTGTGCAGCGCCTCGCCCGAGCTATCATCGTGGGTGGGTGCTGCCGATGGCTCTGTCTCCGCCAGGGCCTCTGCCTCTCCTGCCTTTGCCTTTGCCTTTGCCCAGTGCAGCAGCGGCGTGAAGACGGGCAGCACCAGCGCAGAAAGCATTTCCGCCGACGGAACGCCCTCGCGCACAAGCTGGCCGATGGTGCGCAGGGCGCGCTGCAGATCGTCCGCCGAGGACACGACCGTCACGGGCCGCTCAGCCGCAGCCTTGGGCTCGGCTGTGGCGCCGTCCTCAGCCACCGGGGTCACTTGGACCGCCTGGATCACTTGGATCAGCGGCCTGCCCGGCGCCGTCGTGTGCAGTGCGCGCGCAACCGGGTCATCGGCCTCGCCTGTCTCTTCGCAGCTGGCCACGCGTGTTCGCTGGCGCGCGTCGAACCAGCGCATCAACGGCAGCAGCACCGGCCGTGCAACAAGCTCATTGAATCTGCCTGGGGCTTTTTCGGCCAGGCGGCGCAGCGCGTAGACCGCAGCCTGGCGCACGCGGTCAGAGACCGCCGCCTCTGTCGCCTCCTCTGCGCCCGCCTGCCTGCGCTCCATCCGCTGGGCCATCTGCATGATCTGCGGCACGACGCGTGCCAGGTACTCGTCGGCAGGCATTTCGGCGGGCGCAGTCAGCAGCAGCGTGGCGATGCGGTCGAGCTTCTCGGCCGTGAGCTCAGTGTCGTTGCCAACGAGAAAGTCTACAGCCACGTATGCGCCCATTGGCCGAAGCAGGATGCGCGCGAGGAACCGGCCGCAGAGCGTGCGGAACCATGCTGCCTTTTTGTTGGTCCCAGAGTTGAGCAACGTTGTGAGCGTCTCCATCGCCAGGTACGCGTCCATTTCATCGTAGATGCGCGTGAACGCGCGCCGCAGGTACACGCGGGGCTCGGCACGCACCTCGATAGCCTCCAAGTACGCGGGCGGTGGTGGCGGCTGCACGTGCAGCGGCGGGATCGGCGCATATGCCGTCTGCAGCAGCGCCGCCAGCAGATCGCAGGCGCACTTGGCCACGCACATCTGTGCGACGTCACCCCGTGCCTCTGCTTTAGCTGCACCGATAATGTCGGCCAGCCTGCGGGCGATCTCCGGCAGCCCCAGTGCGCGCGCGTCCTCCTCAGCCCACGAGTCTAGCAGCCGCTGGCGTTGGACCGTCTGCGAGAGCACCGTGGCGACATCCGACCGTGTGCGCTGCGCCAGCGGCACGCCGACTCCAGGCAGCAGCCGAGGCTGCACGCCAAAAACCATCACCACGTCCAGCGACTGCGCGACCACCTGCCGATCCTTGAGCCCCAGTGCGTCCACGTGGATGCCGCCCGAGACCATCGGCTCAGCTGTGCGCAGCTCGTCCTGGAGCCCGCGCAGATGGTCGAGAAACTCCGAGATTGGCGGCGGCCGAGAGTTAGAGAGCACATGTGCGTCATTTGTGGTGCCGCCCTTGCTGAGCTGCTTGGCCGTGCGCTTGAGCTCCGTGAGCGTCTGGGCGAGCAGCGAGGAGAGCTTGACGAGCGACGGAAACTGCCGTGACACGTTGATTGGCTTTATCTCTGCGTCTATGTCATTTGGTGTGTCATTCAGTGTGTTATTTATTGTGTTGCTCACTATGTCGTTCGCTGCGTTGCTTGCTGTATCGTTCGCTGTGTCGTTCGCTGTGTCGTTCGCTGTGTCGGGGTCGTGTGAGGCCATGGCTGGAGCTGGAGCTGAAAAAAAGCTGAATTGGATAACAAGGAATAAAATTAAATACAAATAAATTTCTGGCGGAAAGAGAAGAGAAAAGAAAAGAAAAGAAATGGCTTGAGTAGACTCGGAAAAAAGATCAACCCACGCATTGATCCATGTATGCGCCCATCTTTTGTTTCATTTTTTTTATCTGCGTTCGAATTCTGATCAACACTGCACTGTAATGCCCCCCAGCCTGGGTGGGGGGGGGGGTAACCTTAGAGATTGTGTTTACACACTTGCCCTAACATTTCGTTTCTTCGATAAACCTTTTTCTATCGTTTTCTAATTTCCAATTTCAATTCCATTGTTTTTTACTAGTCATTCATGGACGCTTTATCAGCGGTTTCTGCGGCCCGTCTGTCCCACCTGCCTGTAACCGCAGCCGAGTTTCTCACCGACAGCCTCCTCCTCACCGGCTCTGGCACCGCGCTCACCATCTACAACACGCACACACACACAGTCCAATCCAAGCTCATTCGGGCGCTTCCCAGCTTCCAGCGCATCCACGGAATTATTGTCCAGAAGAGAGGATCCCCGCACACAACACATCCCACTGTGCTCGTGTTCGGATCCAAATCATGGTCTGTTATTACAGTGGGCACAGCAGATGGTTCGGCGGCGATTGTGCAGTCGCAGCATACGATGCATGATTGGATCAAGGCCGCGCACTGGGTGTTGGATGAGGCGAGCGGCAGGTGGCTGGTGGCTTTGGCGTTTGCACATAATGACGTTGTAGTGTACGATCCGGAATCGGGCGCAGAGGAGTGGCGGGCACAGTGCGAGGAGCACTGCATTTTGTACGCGGCAGCACTTTATGGCCGCACTGTAGCTGAGATGCAAGTGGCTTCAGGAACTGTGTTTAACCAGGTTCTCATCTGGAAGCCTCAGTGGATTACTAGCAGCAGCAGCAGCAGCGGGGCATCGACAGACTCGCCGGTGATCTGGAGACTGCGTGGCCATGAGGGCGTGGTCTTTGGCCTGTGCTTTAGCCACGACAGCCGCCGCATAGCGTCGGTATCGGACGACCGCACGGTGCGGCTCTGGGACCTCGAAAACGGCACAGCCGTGTCCGCGCTGTTCGGCCACCAGGCACGCATATGGACATGCCTCCTGCTGGACCACCTGATTGTCAGCGCCTCGGAGGACGGCACATGCCGGGTCTGGTCCAATCAAGGCATCTTGGTAGATGCGTGGACGCAGGCGAAGAAGAACGTCTGGGCGCTGGCCACCAATCCGTCGCAGACCCTGGTGGCGTCGGGCGCGGCCGATGGCTCAGTGCGCATCTGGCGTGTTTGCGAGGCTGGCGGACGGCTCATTGATGCCGATGGACTTTTTGCAGAGCCGATGCCTGCGCAGGAGGAGTATCTTGCAGGCGCGCGAGCCACCGAGCATATCCGCGGTTTGGCGCTGCTCGGCGGCAGCGGCGGTCTTTTGGCTGTCATGGACTCTGGGTGTGTGCTGCGCAAGGATGCCGGAGCTGGTTGGCGCGTGTGGGCGCGCGTACCCGAGGGATATGCCATGGTTGCTGGCTCGGTCTCGGGCCAATTGGCAGCTGTGGGCCAGCGCGATGGCTGCGTTATGCTGGTCTGCCCGGCATGGGGGGATTCCCCGCGGGTCGCTCGGCTGCACTCCTCTGCCGTGCGCCATTTAACCATTGTTGCCCCGCCTGTGAATGAGCTAGGCGATGATCTTTATGATCTGATCACGGTTGATTCCAACCATCAGGCCGTTTGGTCGCGCGTCAGACTTGGCGGTGGCCAGCCCGCATGGTCTGTTGTGGCGACATTCGGGATGCCTGAGAATGCTGACTTTTCCGCTGCCGCTGTTAGCCTTGCACTGGGCTGGGCCGCCGTTGGGTCGGCCAAGGGCGCGCTGTACATTTACGATGTGCCCACGGATTTGATTGAGTGCCCTGTTGACGAGTATGACGTGGACCGCAATGGCGTTGCGCACCTGGATGTTGCCGTCTGCTGGGCATCCGCTCATGACAAATTCACTGTATCATCGCTGCTCATCCATCAGCTGCCGCCCTCAGCTAATGATAATTGTGATTATGGTGATGACCAGGGTGCCCGCAAGCGTTGCGTTCTGGTAACAGGCGGCCGCGACGGCATGATGCAGCGCTTTGTCCTGGAGATTGCACACACAGTGCGTACTTCCGGAGACTCAAAGCACGAGCGCACCGGCCCATTGGCTAACCAGCCTGACAACGACCAGAACCGCCGCACTGCTGTCGTGAGTCGTATTTCTAGCCAACGGCTGACAGCCGGGTGGGTCGAGCAGCTGGTCCTGTTCGGCGCCAACGAGATACATGCAGTGACGTTCTACCGCAAACACATGGATCTAATTGACCCCAATGGCCTCAAGCTATTGTCCATAGCGTGCGCCGGCGGCAACAAGCAATGGCACTTGACGCGCACTTCAGAAAACCATATCCGCTGTGCATTCCTCAAAAAATTGCAGCTGCTCACATACAAGCTGCTGCCGCCCCCTAACCACACCCTTGCGGATTGCAGCAGCTGCTATTTGACCCCAGGCATTTCGTCTCTGGATATCCGCAGCATCACAGCCATGGGTAATCTCATAGCATTGGGCGGCGAGGACTGCGTTGTGCGTGTCTATGAGTACGCCAATAATGCACTGCACTTGAGGGCGCAGGCGAGGAGGCATGGGTCGGCTATAAGATGCGTTACTTTCGTCACCCCTCACTGCTTGCTGTCCGCCGGCGGAAACAGCGAGCTGCGCTGTTGGAGCCTGGACGGCAGCAGCCTGTTGGAGAGCGCTGTGGCGCCCACCGAGTCCTCCGATTCGCTGCGCATCATGCAGCTCACCCTAATACCCCATGGAAACCACTCGGAGTATACACTGGTCGCGGCCGCATACTCTGACGCCTCCATTCGGCTGTGGAAGCTTGACCCCCTCAATGGGTTCACTTGTGTGGCTTCGGATAAGCAGCACACCCATGCGCATTGCGTTCTGTCACTTGCTGTGCTTTCATATGGTGACTCCACGGTGTTGCTGAGCGGGGCGACAGACGGACAAGTGATCCTATGGGATGTTTCTGTATACACGCGGCCCACTCCCTCTTTGTCGCGCACGGGTGATTTGGGCCCACCCATATGTGTTCTTCCGGGTATTCACCAATCAGGCGTCAACACCATTGATGTCAAGCACTTGGCGGACTCGCGTGCGCTGTTGGCCAGCGGCGGTGATGACAACAGCCTGACTGTGTGTGAGCTGGACCTTAGTATCACTGGGTTGAATGTGGATGAAAATGTGGATGTGGTTGTGAGAAGAGCAACATATGCTTGCGCGCATGCGTCGTCGGTGCAGGGGGTTGCGTTTATGAGTGATGGAGGCGTGTGCTCGGTGGCGACAGACCAAAGAGTGGCAAAGTGGGCGGTTTCTGTGGATAGAGAGGAGCTGTCTATTGAGTTGGAGGATATGGGCTTTACGCAGGTTGCGGATCCGTCTGCAATGAGCGTTGTGCGGTTGGACAATGTGGATGTGTGTCTGGTTGCTGGGATTGGTATAGAAGCCATAGATATTTGAATTATTTATTAATACATTTCTTTTATTTTCCAATTCATGTTACATATAAACTGTCGTGCTCTATAAAAATGTGGGTCTAAATCGATATATTCAAGTCTTGAAAATGACTTTTTTTGAACTGAAAAAGGGGGCAGCACTGTGTAGGCAGCGCTGTAAACATAATGTTCCTTGATGTCAGCCAGTAATAACAGAAATGTGTATAGTGGCCATGAGGGCGATCTTGATTCTTGAAAAGGGAAGATGGTGGCTTGAAATGTGTGTTGGGCACCACATAAACAACATATTATGAATTATTTTAAAGTAATTGGAATATGATTGTAATTGAAATATAATAAAAAAACTTTAAATGGCTGATAATTTTTATCCGCAGACGATATTGTTATTAGGCAATGAAATGCATCTCGTTCCATTGGCACACGCCCTAATGACGCCCCATTTTCCATACAAGCAAGTGTCGAATGACTTTCTGTCGCTAGTACACCGGAGCATTCCAGTAGCGCATCGGTCCTTAACAGCATCATTGTTGTCTTCATCGCCGTTACTGTCCTTATTGCCATCGTCAACGGGTTTAGTTACTGGGGTTTGATCGGCTGCTGCTGTTGACGATAATGTAGATGACGCAGACAATGTCGGGAATGAGTCCAATGATGAGGAGGAGGGTTCTGAATCTGTAGATAATACGGAATCAATAGATACTTGTTCGGTGGTTGGTAATGTTTCTAAAGAGGATGGGGAGGTTGTCTTAGAAGACGCCTCGGAGAATGCCTCAGAAGATTCCTTGGGGGACACCTTGAAAGACGTCCCAGTTGTTGTTGCTTCAGTCACAATAGACAACTCGGCTGGAGACGATGATGGCTTGACAGATGATTCTGAGGATGATTCTGAGGACAGTTCTGAGGATGGCTCTGAGACCACAGAAAAGGATCCTTCAGAAGTTGATGAAAATTCAGTGGACAATTCGACGGATGAAGTGCTGGTTGGATTTTCGATCAAAGTGGTAAATTCTTCAGATGATGATGGCTGTCCAGCAGATGATCCAGAGATCAATCCAGAGGACAAAGTAGTAGATGCTTCTGAGGTCAATGACAGCTCTGAAGACGATTCAGTTGGCGATTCAGTTGACGATTCGTTTGTTGCTATTTCGGTTTCAAAAGAGGATATGCTTGATGTAGACTCCTGAGTTATGGATGATAAATCAGATGACAATCCAAATGTTAATTCAGAAGATGATGCAGCCACCAACGAAGAATCTTGAGAAACTGTAGAGCTCAACAACATTACCACAGTGTCTATTTTCTTGGCAGTAATAGTGGATGATGGCTGTTGGAGCACAGAGGCACTGTTCATGCTTTCTGTGCTACTGATTTCAATGCTTGCCAGGATGGGTGAGCGCGGAATATCCAGGGTCACAATGTTCAATGTAGTAAACTCTGTGCTTGATTCGACATTGTCAAAAATGGTGGAACTGTCTAACTGGGTAGGAGAAATGCCAGTGTCCAGTGATAATGGCTCAAAACTTGATGTGTAGCTGGATGACGAAACCAAGGCTGTCACTGAGCTTGTGTCAAAAGCCACATCTGAGCTGCGGACCCAGCTAGTTTTTGTGGTGTCTGGCGAGACTACAGTTGCAACAGAGCTGATATCAATTTCCTCGACTGAGCTAAGGCTGGAGCTATGTTCTGACTTGGATTCAGATTCAGATTCAGATACAGATCTGAGTTCAGAGTTGGAATCTGTGCTGGATGATGGTACTAAGGTTTTCACTGAGCTGGTGTCCAAAGTAACAGCTGATTCTGTGTCTGAGCTGATATTCGAGCTAATGTCAGAACTAATATCTGAGCTAATATCCAGACTTGAGTCTAAGATTAAAGCTAATGGGGGTGGCAGACTGAATGCCGAGCTGAGCAACGTAGTGCAAGCAGTGCTAAAATATGTGCTGTAGGATGTGCTAATTCCTGAAATAAACTCGGATCCAAACGTTATTCTTGGAATTAAAATATAGGCTGAAGGTGCTGCTATGCTGGACTCAGAGCTGGGTCCCAAACTGGAACTCGAGCTAGAGGTTAAGGTGGTCTCCAACGTGGGCTTAAGGCTTGGGATTGCAAGTGTAGAAAATGATTGCACTGAGCTTGAATCAGTGGTTGGCTTTTCAGATTGCCACAGCAATGGTTTAGAACTGAACGTGGAGCTTGATTCCTTACTTGATTCCTTGCTTGACTTGGCACTCTGGCTACCGTCAATTCCGCTTGAGGCTATGTTATTGTCAACATCTTTGCCCAATGTTTTTTCATCTGTGGCACTGTTCTCATTGCCAAATTTATCCAACAAAGTTGACAATGTAGTCTCAAGTGACCTACTGCTCCCAAACTCAAGATCGGTTTCATCAGCAGATGCCGTCAATTCAGCAGTGTCTCTTTTGTGCTTTCTGTGTAACAGCGAGGTTGGTCCACTGCCAATTTCCAGCATAGCAATTTTCTGCTGGACAGTCGTCATTGCAGATCCTATACCCGGTGCTGTGAATGTGGGTGAAGGCGTTTTGTCAACCGTGGGTGTTGTCAAGCATCCACTGGGAGAAGAATCGGAGCCCAGATCATCGCAAATGCTCATTGACAACAATGATTTGGTAATCGGAGAAAGAGGTGCAGTTGACTTTTTAGTATTGGGCTCAAATGAAATGCGGAATGGGAGGCGTCCTAAAACTATATATCCAAACGGATGCGGAATGCTGTACACATTGTTTGCCGAATTCGTGGAAGGCAACTCTGGTGTAATTGTTGCTGACACTGTAGTACTGGAAGCGTTTACTGATATTGCCCCTGGCACAAGCTGCCCCATAGACAGTGCACATGCCAGTAGCTGAAAAGCTGGTGAATAACAAAGCTTCATTATAATATTTTTGTGCAAACGATAATGTATAATCCAAATAATGTTTAACGGAAGCAAACTGGGGAATGTTTGTTTTCTCCACAAATATACAGCATTGGCATGTGGAATGCTTGACTAGTTAGCATAAAAAAAATTGGCAAGGTTGTTTTTGAGAGACATTAATAATATGCGCGGCTGTATTATATTGTCAATAGTACGGCAGAGGTAACTACAGTAATGACTTTTATACAGGCATTTGCATTTAATATAAGATGCTGGCTAGAAGCAGTAAATTTCCAAAGGTCGCAGAATATTTAAAATGGCCGCCTTGGTAGACAGTCACGCAATTACCCCATGCAAGTGGGCAAAGCCATGAATAAACTCAGTATTAAAATGCACTATGACGTAAAAAATTCAATTGAAAAATGTTATTTCGCGTTGGAATATAGGATGTCTTATGAACATGTAGATAAACTATAATCGTATAAAATATACTTAATAAATAAGTGCTATGCACTGTGAACGGTGAAGAGTAGAGAGCATATTGCTCTGGTCACTGTGTGACTTATTGTTTGTGTGGCTAAACAGCAAAGACTGGTTAATCAGTTGATCGCCATCAACCAATAAAAGGGCAAAACGATAACATTTATTAGTGCTCTCTTTTCTTATTTCCTAGTGTTTGAATATAGTTTTATGAGTACATTGATCGAATTCACTCGTTAACAGTGTGTTTGGCATCAGTGTCATTGTTATTGCCCCTTCCGATGCCTCTACCAATGCTGGTGCCAATATATCTGCAAGGATAATTTCCTCCTCAGTGCACTGTTATGATCTGCTCCATCAGTGCCTTGCTCATCCAGTCATCATGCTCTTGGTGGCAAAGCCTGTTTGGTAGGCAAGGCATGATCATGTCCCCCACAAAGAGCCAACATTTTTTGTCTGTTGGTTTCCATCCCCATTGCAGTAAGCAGAGATGTTGTGTTAAAAAGTATATGTATATATTCCAAAAATGAACTAAAAGAAGGCTAAGGGATGAACAGCCTCTACTGTTCATATTCATTGGTACTTGGGTATGCGGGAATTCATATGCACACATAAGTAGGTAATTAGCCAGTGATTGATTAATGAATCACTCGCCGGGGACAAGCCGGATTTTCTTGTACCACAAGAGATCCAACTGTGGGTGGGCTGTGCTAGCAGCAATGTCTGCTTTTTTGTTTTCTCTGTCCCTGCATGTCCTTGCACCCATTGTATATTGAGTGGCTCCTTGCAGGTCTGGAACAAAGGCAGCACTAGTCGCCCAAGATACTCTTGGTTAGACTTGGCGACCAGCTTTCTAATGTCCCATTTGTCTACAAGCATCTGAGAAACCCCAATGGTGGCTTGGGAGTTGCAGTTTATCAGTTAAACTTTTATATTTAAAACATAAAAACCCACACCATTAAAAAAACTTGAAAATATAATTATATGAAACCAGTTGGACTGGTATATTACTAGTGTTGTGATTTCGGGAGAGCGCTAGTCAGCTAGTGTTAAAATTATGTTTAGGTTTTTTTTTATAGTTTTTATTACCAAGGGAATCAAAAGTAGAGCTAGGGCCGGCCTCGTCTTATATGTATCTCGTCGCCTTTGTTGTGCGCATTGCCAATTATACACTCTGTTGGCGAGAACTGGTTCTTCTGTGAGCAGACCAGTATCTTGGGAAGTCAATATCATGGTATTCGTGTGTGTGCACTCACGCGTGTGCATTGCAAAATGGGGAGTATGTCTGGGCATCATTATTGTGCCTCATTAATTTACGCCTGCATAACCCAATTAGTACCCTATCGATCGGCATGCAGATGAAAACTTGTTTCACGATTCTCAACCTTGACATCCACTTCTATATCCTCGGGCTGCGCAACAATAGGATAAATGCAAAATATTATTTTTGTGACAGTACTAATTATTAGTTTTCTTAGTACAATAATCCAATCTCATATTATTAGCCAGCCCTGCCACATATGGTTCATAACCACACGTCCCCGGATATGGATAACTTGAAGTTGAGACTGTTGAGACTGTTGATGCATTACTTCCTCTGCGTGAAATTGAAGGAGTAAGTGTGGGTGTGTGCGGTATATTTAAATTTGGCGGGGGCTTTTTACAAGTTTTTATAGTCAACCTTACATGTTCCTTTATATTGTTTTCGGCGAAAGTGAGTGAGTTGTCGAGCTGCTTACTTCCGCCAATATAACTGAGAATAATATTTTTATTGGCTATTTTTTCAAGGTTATCTATTTTTGGAATAATTTTATATTGAATAAAAATTGTAATTCTAACCTTAGGCTGAACTGTAAACTGTTTAACGCCAAAGCTCGCCAGATCTTTACATTTGGATGAATAAACATCTACGATAATATTCCCTTTATTGGATATGTATGCTATGCTGACAATTGTGCCTTGTAGGTATGTTGAAGCGCGACTTATGTTGATGAGCGGGTAATAGAAAAAGTGAATGTATTTAATGGGTATTAGTAAAAATATTGTGAAATTATAAACCGAAGAACGTACTGTTGCGCAGACTGAAGATATGGAAGTGGATGTTGAGGTCGAGAATCGCCAAACAGGTTTCCACCTGCGCGCTGATCGATAGGACGCTAATTGGATAACGCAAGCGTAAATCAGGGAGGCATTACATTGATGCCCAAACATGCTCCCCATTCTGTAATGCACACGCATAAGCGTACACGCACGAAAACCACAACATTGACTTGCCAAGATACCGGTCTACTCGCAGAAGATCCAGTTCTCACCAACGGAGCGCACAATGGACAATGTGCACAACAAAGGCGACTGGGAACATATATAAGATGAGGCTGGCCCCTAGTAGTACTTTAGAAACATCAGTAATAAAACCTTTTATAAAATCACCCCTAACTTTTAACACTAGACAACTAGTGCTCCTCACACCCCCTCTTACTATAACAGTACCATATATATATATATATTAATTTTAACAGCCAATGCAAATATTTTTCTTTTTTATGGGCAATAATTCAGAAAAAAAAGTGTATGTACAATTTATTTTATTTTCAATACATTCTTAATAAAAAAGCAGCTTGTGTTTACTTACAGGTTTACTATTGACTGTGTCACGTAAAGCCTATTTATATACTCTTAATTTCATACACACACATCCACTAGGCTTTGTATTTATTTATAAATGCCTAAAAAACACATGATACTTTGTAAAAAGATGTATCAAGTCAATAATATAAAAAGGGAGTATATTCCTCCATGAGGAGAACAAATTATTGGTTAATGGTGATCAACTGATTAACCAGTCTTGGCTGTTTAGCAATACAAACAATAAGTCACACAGTGACCAAAGAAATATGCTTTCTATTCTTTACTTTTCACAGGGCATAGCACTTATTTATTAAATATACTTTATATCATTATAGTTTATCTACACGTTCATAGAACGTTTTTCCTATATTCCAACACAAATGATGAAGTACTTCATCTCGTCCCTTTTATACGTTTTCCTACATGGTAATAACAAAACAAATTATATTCCGTGATCTAATAACTAATACAATGCCGATCAGTTATTGGCCACTATCTTGATAGTGGATATAGTCCTGTTTAGGGCCCAAAGCTTATTTTTCTTGTCCAAAATGTAAAAAATAATATTAATCAGAGGTCTCTTCTTTACCCCTTTTAAATAACCCAAATCGAAATTTTGTGGTGCCCAGCACACATTTCAAGCCACTACCTTCCCTTTTCAAGAATCAAGATTGCCCTCATAGCCGCTATACATGTTTCTGTTATTGCTGGCTAACATCAAGGAACATTATGTTTACAGCACTGCCCGCACAGCGCTGCCCCCTTTTTCAGTTCAAAAAAAGTAATTTTCAAGACTTGAATATATCGATTCAGACCCATATTTTTATAGAGCACGACAACTAAACCGCTTGTTAAATTACTTATATATTTGTTCTATTAACATTTTAAAAAAACATTTATTCACTTTATTTCAGACCTAATTATAAAATAAAGCAGCTAGCCATTTGCATGCCCACTTACTTGCATGTTTGATTTTTTGGCTGAGTGTCAAGAAAAAACCAATTTTTTATACTTATGTACATGCGAACAATATCTTGGCACATGAATTTTATTTGTCGATTTTCATAGCAAATAAGAACATAATTATTTATATAATAAAAGCATACAATTTTTTCATGTCGACAGGATATCCATTAAACCTTTTATATAAAATTTTTTGGCCAACCGATGCCCAATGTGATTGATCGAGTTATCATGAGATAAGCAATTGATTGGCATTGTTTAGCAATTATTATTAATAAAATAAAAATAAAAATAAAACCACATGCCCATTCAAAGTTACCAGCCCTTTATAGGCACCCTACACATCACCTTTATCTTTGCTATCAGCAGAATAACTGCGCAATGTGTCTGGTCGTTTTCCATACATTTTAATAATTCCATCCTTCTCGCAAATTATCTCCTTCAACGCGCCGATAGCCTCGTCATTCCTCGCCAACGCTGCATACAGTCTTCCACATCCCTTTTTCAACTCGCCAACCTGCTTTAATTTTGCCTTTAGTTCCTCTCCTTGTATTTTTAGTTCAGAAGTCAATTTGCTGATATTCTCAGCAACCTTTAAATGGATATCAGCCATGTCTTCAGCTTCTTCTAGAGTATCATTCACGTGAAGTCCATTTATTCGGTTAGTTATTGCCTGAGCGATTTCAACACTGGTTGGCTGGGCGTATTGTATGTCATCTTGTTCGATCTCAAAAAATAGGGGCAGTGGTGGGCCGTATTGTGGCTCGAGGCAGATAGGGCATTTGGGCGAGGTTGATAGCCAGGTTTGGGCGCAGATTTGGTGGAAGGCATGGCCGCAGGTGAGCGCCGCAGGGCGCACTTTTATGGATTGTCGCTGGTTGGAGTTAGTGCTAGTAACACGAGCGTTACCAGTGGTTGTAGTGGTAGGTGCTTGTGCAATAAACAAGGATTCGAGGCAAATAACACAAACCATTTTGTATTGCTTTTTTTTACTCAGCCAGAAAAAAAAGTAGTGGAAAAATAATATGAGAATAGAATTGGCAGTATGAGGTAAAAAAAAAGTTGGTAGACTAGGCATGCCTTAAATATCATATTTACAGCAGCTGCTTGGAATTCAAAGAAGATAAAATATTATTTGAGTTTGATCTTTATGCACATTTACACTGTTTATCAATAAAAAAAGTTGGGATAAAATGCTATTATGCTCTGTGTTAATTATATTAAATATGATGAAAGATATATTTAAAACCAAGAACATTATTATAAATCTTTCTAGTTTTGGACCATGTCCTCCACCCGCTTCATGGCCACTGGGGTGTTTAACCAATGAGGATTGAGCTGCAAGGCAGTTGATAGCTGTCTCTTGATGTAAGGAAAATAATAAAAAGCATCCAGCCTTGTTGCGCTTGGGAGTAGCGTTTGGCTTGGGCACAGCATTTGCATCAATTGGCAGTCTACCAGTGCGTTTGAATGCTTGGTGGCGCTCACCAACTTTGCAACAATATGGGAATATCAGAACCAAATTGCATTCCGATGGAATGACGCGGTTCCAGCATCTTAACTTGATGTTGGACTCAATGGCGGCCCTGGCTTCATCCTTGAGCGCTGGCTTTGAATTCTGTGAAATGGTCGCCCCTCGTTTTAGGGTATTTCCGGGGTCATAAATAAACCGTGTGATTTTGAGTGAGCTGTGATACAAAAACTCAATAACAGGATTGTAAGCCAACTATTTCCTACATTAGTCGAGTGCTTTACAAACGCATTTTCAAACTTTAAAAAATACATTGAGTCATTGAGCTAGTGTTGGTAACTACTTTAAATGTAGTTATTTTACATAGCCGTTTTCAAGCTGCACCTCTAATGTATTACAAACTAGTTCAGGAAATGTACAATAATTGTGTCGTGTCTATAGATCCCAAAAGAATAAATGGCATGGCGCGCATTCTAGTTAGTGGGAAAATGAAAGAATCACAATGCCAATTTTCTCTATTTATTTATTAAAACCAAACAAACAAATATTAAGGGAGTTTTGTGCTTCCAAAATATCTAATCGCCAAAAAGTGCTTTAATCGATTAATCGACTTCATTCATTCGTTCATTCAGCAAATTAAATTAAATACAATAATTAAATGTTTCGAATTTGGCTATGTGTGGGGGGAGGGAAGGTTGAGAAATTTTACAGCTAAATTTAACTACTTTGTTTTTTTTAGGTGGGGGATTGTTTCAATATTTTTTCTTTGAAGCATACCTTTTTTTATTCACTGCGTTGAAAACAACAAAGGCAAAAAAGATTAGATTTGCAATTGGGATTGTTTTGTTTTGTTTTGTTTTTCATTATTTGCCACGTAAAAAAAGTGGAGATAATCCTATTTTGTTTTCTTTTTTTTTGTTGGTTGGTATGAGAAGCATTTAAAAAATTAAAAAAAAAGACGAGAAGGGGAGGGATGAAGCCTGAAAAAGCCACACGCACTCTCCTTTTCATTAATTTTTCTTTTTTCTTCTTCCTTTTTTCACTGCCTCTTTTATTTTCTATACCTTAATTCAAAGTCAAATATAAATTCCATTTCAATCTATTTTACACTATTTAATTAAATAATAATGCCTATATTCTCGTTCATCAAAAACCTCGTTGGCGGACAACAACAACCATCCACTACTGAGCATCCAGCAGCAGCAGCAGCAACCACCGCCACGAGCATCGACACACCCAATACACCACCAGTATGCGAACAAAGCAACCACACCGACAACAGCGGTAAAAGCAATGCATTAACTACAGCAAAACCACCACTGCGGCCGCCACCACCCATGAGCACAACGCCGAAGAACCCAAGCAGCAGAAGCAAGCCTCCATCGAGCATAAGTGATCCGAACAGTTCGCCCAAAACCAGACCACCATTGACACCCGTTTCTGGTGAAAGCCTGTTGCGCACCGAGTCTTCGTCATCGGTGTATAGGGATTTTACGGGGCAGGGGCATGCGGACCGCGGGCATTGGAATGACCCACCGACTACGGTCTTTAAACCTACAAATAGCACGGCCAATGGCACAGCTAATGCCACAGCCAATGCTGCCGGCGGCGGTGCGCAGGACGCAGAGGCGGATGCAGATGCTTCTTTGACGGAGGCCGGTGCTTTGGAGAGTCGCGTGGAGATGGAGCTGAGTATCAGACGGATTCTTAGTGAGAGATTGCAGATGGTAGATACGGCGGAGGCGATGAACCGCCGGGTGGTGGAGGACACGGAGAAGCGACTGGGCGTTCTGTGGGAGCGGATGCAGCTTTTGGACGAGCGGCTGATCGCGGAGCTCAATAGGCTGTGTGCGCTGCTGGATACTGATATGCACGCTGAAGCTTTGGGCGTTTACAGGGAGGTGGTGAAGGCGTATGAGTCGGAGCTCAAGTGGCTGGTTGGGATCAAGCGTGTTATTGAATTGAGCAAATGAAAAATAAACTAGTTTCTTGAAGAAGGCTCTGATGGTGGTTGTTGGGATTTTCCTTGGCTTTTGAAGGCGTCGATTTCTTGCAGCCGGTCTTGGTGCGATTGCTGCTGGGCGCGGAGGAGCGGCTTGAGCGTGTATGTGGCGACGGCAACGCCCACTGCGCTGGCGACGAGCGGAGGCCCGAATCTCTGGAAGAAAGACATTATGTGTACAGAGCGCGAAAAAAAATAGACAAGTTGAAGGGGAATTTCGAATTTTGAATTTTGAATTTAGAGTTTAGAATTAAAGAATGGAAGCTGAATTGAAGAATGATAAAAATCTTAAGCGAGGATGGAACACTTCTTTTTATTTTTTCTGCTGGTGAGCGGCGATTGGACAGCAAAGAAAGATAAATATGAAAGTTTGTGATGATGTAGCCCGCTTCTTCATCCCTCTTTTATTTATTGTTTTTTGTTTTTTGTAAGTGGTCCACGACAAAGCCTTGGCTTCTCTTTTTTCTTTCAACCCATTAACTGACTCACCCAGCTCCTTTAAAGTTCCTTTAAATCCGCCTACTCCCAATTCATTATTCTTCCCGATGCGCGTCGCAGTGTTTTTCTACTGTGCAGCATCGCTGCTACTCGGCCACCACGCAACCGCCGCGGCAGCGGTTTTATCAAATCCACCCACCGGCCTCGTCAACACAAACCTCATCCGCACAGTCGACCTACAGGCGCTGCCCTACGTGCATGAGCAGCTTGGCGTCATTGTGCAGAACGACCACCCGACACTGGCCTTTACGCGCTACAAGCTGCGCATCCCACAGGCCAAGTGCGCGCGGCTGGCACAGATTCACGTGCATGAGCGCAAGAGCGGTGCGCCGCTACCGCTGGTCCGCCACCGGCCCCTGGCAGAGGCAGCAGCGGATTCTGACGATCCAGAGGTGTACGAGGTGCGGCTGCGCGGCGCTGGGCTGATGCCAGGGGAGAAGCTCGGGCTGAACATTGATCTGGTGTTTGGCGCCGGCAGCGTGCAGCCGAGCCCTGCGGTGGCCGGGCAGGCGGCGGACCAGGTGTGGGCGTGGGCTGACGCCGCACTGGTCACATCTGACTACGCGACGCGCAAGCAGAAGACCGTGGTCAAGACGCGCGTCGCTCGCGTCGGGCGCGTGGACGGGGCGCTGGCGCTGGCGAAGGGCGGCACGGTGACGTTCGGCCCGTACACGAACGCCACGGCGGCAGACGGTAAGGGTGAGATTGGCGTGCACTTTGTGGACAATGGCGCGCAGATGGAGGCGGTGACCCAGCGGCGTGAGTACTTTGTCAGCCAGTGGGCCGACGACCTGCACGTGCGCGACTATTACACGGTGCGCAACGCCGGGCCGCAGCTCGATCGCTTCGACAAGGTGCGGCAGGTGATGACCAAGCATATGCACGGCCGCGACAATTTCATCAAGGCGCTGTTGGTCAGCGTGCCGGCCGATGCGCGCGAGATGTACTTTGTCGACCAGATCGGCAACGTGTCGACGTCGGCCGTGTCCCAAGCAAAGCTCGGCAGCCGCAAGGTGCTGCAGCTACAGCCGCGGTACCCGCTGCCTGGCGGATGGGTTTACGCGTGGTGGCACGGGTACAGCGTGCCGCTGGCGCAGTATCTGCGGCGCCAGGGCTCGCGCCACCACCTGCGCGTGCCTCTGATCGAGCCGATCACCGCCACTGCGTCGCTGGAGGCCCGGCTGTCGACGAAGGAGCTTGCTGCGCGCAACACGGCTGTGACCAAGTACGAGATGCGCGTGACGCTGCCCGAGGGCGCGTCTGCCGTGCGGCTGGCCGCGTCAGTTGACTTAAGCGCGGAGCTGGTACGCACAAAGTACTACCTGGACTCGGTCGGCCGCCCGGTAGTCGTGGTGCGATGCCACAACGTGGCGCCCGACATGTTCGGCCTTGCGGTTGTGGTGTCCTACGACTACAGCCGCCTGGCTGCGTGGATTAAACCGGCCGTGGTTGCTGCCTGGCTGCTGATTGCCTTTGGCATGGCGTCGGCCCTGAGCCGCGTCGAGAGGGGCCTGGCCAAGAAGAACAAGGCCAAGACAGAGTGAGTTGGCTGCTAATGTTATTAGAGGACTGAAAATCGAAAAATCGAAAAATCGAAAAATCGAAAAATCAAAATCAAAATCAAAATCAAAATCAAAATCAAATGTTTGGCTGTTTGTTTGGGCTCAGGGCCCCAGTCCGAAGCAATACACGTTGTGCGCGTCGGGCGTTGGGCATAGCGGGTCGACCAGCGTCATTTGCGCCAGGTCAGTGCTTGTGTGCGTAGTAGCGGTCGTTTTTGGGTTTAAAGCAGCCGTGGCCGCCGCCACACCGAGGCACGCTGCCACGGCAGCAATAGGAATAATGTGAAATGCAGCAATGGACTTCATACCGACCAAGACTATAATTTATGATAAAATAAAACAAGTATTTGGGCAATATGGGAACAAGAAATCGAAAGACCCAAGTGCATTTTCATGTCCCATCCCTCTTGTACTTATATTGTATAGTTGCGCAGTAAGGTGTAACCAAAAGCTATAAATATAGCGTTGAATGAATGTGTGGAGGGCGCGTGTGAATGAACGCTAATGATGTTTGTTCATTCCATCCTCTGAAACCCTCATCCTGCTACTGAAAAATGGAGGGAAAAAAGACTTGGCAGCAGCCCGTCACCACTAGCTAAAGGTGGATGATGAATGGTGGCCTCCATTGCTGAATCCAAAACACAAATACATCCCATCCACAAAAATCCGCCTATCCGCCATTGCCACTTCTGCTCCCTCCTCACTTCGTCTCTACTATTTCTTTCAAAATCAAGCCATTCTATTATTTATACCAATGGACTTACTTTCCTCGGTGTACGCGTCATTCCCACTCGCGTCGCACGAAGAGTCAGCATCAGTGCGTCAATACTTCTGGGCCACAGTGGTCCTCAGCTGGCTCCTAACTTTTGTTCCGCAAGGCGGGCGCAGCCGCAACTACTCGATCGTCGACCGACTCTGGCCGCTCTACCCGCCGACCTTCCTCATTCAATGGATCTGGCAGCTTCATGAGTACACTGTAGGCAAGCAGCTATCGTCTCACGCGCTGTTTCTCTGCGCCCTGGTATTTGTATGGTCACTGCGTCTATGCTATAATTCAATCAGGCGCGGGGACTACCGCGTTGGCGCAGAGGATTATAGGTGGATCCACGTGCGCCAGTCCTTCGCCTGGATGCATCCGGTCGTGGGCACGGTGGCCTGGGAGGTGTTTAACTTTGGGTTTATTTCTGCTTTCCAGCTGGGCCTGTTGTACTTGATTGTGTGGCCGGCACGCTTCCTGGTGCTTTACGGCGAGGAGCATTCGTGGAGCGCACTGGAGGTTCTGCTGGCAGTGTTGATGTGTGCATTGGTCTTGGGCGAGGCGCTGGCGGACCAGCAGCAGTTTGATTTCCAGCAGAGAAAGAAAAAACAACACGGAGGCAGCAGCAGCAGCCAGCAGAAGGAAGGTGGCTTTGTGCACAAGGGGCTGTGGCGGTTCTCGAGGCATCCGAATGTGTTTTGCGAGCAGGCATTTTGGGCTACGCTTGCGGTTTACTGTGCGGTGGCTACAGGAGTCGATTTGGGCGACTGCGATAATGCGCATTATTTGCTCGGCCCCTTGGTGCTCATTGTTTTGATGTGGGCGTCGGTTGGGTTGACGGAGCGCATTACACTAGCTAAGTACCCGCTTTATCGCGCGTATCAGCTCAAAACAAGCCGCTTAGTTCCTTGGGTACCGGCCACAAACGCACACGTCATCAGCACCGCTGCCGCCGCTGCTGCTCCAACTGCCAAGAAAACGCGCTAAAAAAATATGTTAGCATCATATTATTATTACCAACTATTATTTTACCGTTGATGTCCATATTGTTGTCATTAATCAAGAGAAAAAATCTATACTAAAATAGCTGTGGGCTCAAGCTTCGTCCAGCTCTCTCAGCAACGACGGGTCATTGACCGTGTGGTAATGCGCACCAGCGCCAACACCAGCACTGACATTAGCTGCCGGCTGGACAACATTGGCCTTATCTCCATAGTACTGCTGCTGCTGGAGGTGCCCACCGCCGCCTCCGCCCAGTCTGTTGTTCGATGCTGACGGGTTAAACTCTGGGAACTCGGAGTAATCGTCAACCTTAGAGGGATACTGTGTCTTCTGCCTGTGCCTTCTCCAGAACATAAACCCGACAATACTGCCAATGACCAAGACCAGAACGGCGACGACAATTCCAGCAATGGCTCCTGAAGCCAGCTTACCACTGCTGCTGCTGCTGCTGCTGCCATTGGTCGATGGCTTTGTTGTGCCGCCTGTTGGCCTGCTGCTGTCATCAACTGATGTCTCATCTTTGCCCGATGGCAAGTGCGTGGTGTCGCTCTGCGACGGAGCCAGTGTATCGTTGGTCGGAGTTGCAGTTGGCGTTGGTGTGTCCGTAGGCTTGTCAGTGACTGGGTTTGGAACCGAATCCGAGACTGGGTCGGATACCGGTGGCAGGTCCGAGGTTATGGTCAACGAGGATGTCACGGTTACGTCGCCGCCATCTTCTGTCGAGGGTGTCGTTGGCGTCGTGGATGTTGGTGTTGTGGGCATCGTTGGTGTGGTGGGCGTTGTTGGTGTTGTGGACGTCGTGGGAGTGGTCGGTGTAGTTGGTGATGTCGTTGGCGTCGTGGGGGTCGTTGACGTAGGTGTCTCTGACTCTGTGGTCGACGTCGTATCTGGAATTGTCAAGGATGTCTCCGGTGTCGTGTTCGGCCCTGTCTCCGAAAGACTGCTGTCGGAAGGTCCTGGAGCCTGCGCCAATGCAAGCTGTGGAGCTATGGCCAGTATGGCCACGCTTAGAATAACCGCAACGCGAAGTGTTCTCATAAGAATTAAAGAAATTTAGTTTTTTTTTAGTAAATAAAAGAAAGTTGATTGACGAAATGAGTAAGACAGAAAAAATAATAAAAACTAAAATAACTGAAAGAAAGAAAGAGAAAGATGAAAATCTGATTATTGCGCTTGCTAGTAGCAATGAAATAAAATAAAATAAAATAAAAATAAAGAATGGAAAATGGAAAATAAAAGTCGTCAGACGAAGCGTGCATATTTTCTGTTGATTATTTTTTTTTGGGCATGCATATTTGCTGCTTTGAAACTGACTGACTGACAGACTTGGCTGGCTGGTTGCAGCATCGCTCACATTATTTTTCTATTCATTCATACATTTCTTTCATTCCCTTTTTGAGGGACACTTCTCTATTTTTTTTTAGATTTAAAAGTAAATGGCTTTTTTTTTATCCCCTCCCCTCCCCTTTTTTAGTAGTTGTTTTTGTTTTTGTTTTTTATTTCCCTGCTTTTTTCTTGTTAATAGTTGTTGGTGCTTCCTTTGTTGTTGGCTTTCCAACAATATTATTACTCTTTGATTTCATTTTGTTACGCAATGAATCGCTTTTTTACTCGTTATTTGATGAAGGGAGTCTGTTTTTTTTAATTTACTAGTGTGCCATTGTATCCGCAAGTCCTGACAAATACATTCATGCACACACTAAACATTTTTTCACTGAGAAAAAATGTCTGCTGAGAAAAATATGTGAAAATTAAAATAGAAATGCTATTTTTAACATATCGTCCACGTCCGATGCATGATCACCAGCATCAGCATCGGCATCAGCATAAGCATCAGCATCAGCCTCAACATGTATTTTTTTCATGCAGCAGCTGTCCAAAAATAATACAATTATACTTACTGTTAATCAGTTAATCCGATTACCACGTAACAGCGGAACCGTCACCCAGGCTGAACAAGCAAGAACAAAAAAATGAACCGGGAAATTTGTCACTCTTCACGGCTATAGTAGGAATCAGTAGGTTATTTCAGCGCTTTCTACGCTTTCCCCCTCACTCTCTAAGCGCGAGGCAAAAAAGCCCGTAAAAACTACAGGCTTTCTCGATCCAAAATGCCAGTAAGTATCTATAAAGATCTGTAAAGAGGATTCTGTCGAGTACACTGTAGCTTCTTCGTAGTGTAGTAATCGCCAGAAATGATGAGCAATAAATATTTATTAAAACAAAAGCTGAGGGGAAACCTCCTATTGGGCCTTCCTGTGCTGCCATTTTGTAGGCAGAGCTATAAAGCCCTGGCCGCTGCTGCATTAATGCCTGCCTGCTCGGCATTGACTTAGCTCGCAAGCTCTCGGCTCAGCTGAGCTGAGCTTATTTGGTGAGAGTCACCGCACATAGTCCCAACTGAAATATATTTAAAAGCCCACATTGTAAAGGCGCTGCTCGCATGCAGCACCACAGAATTGGAGTTGTATGCGCTTCGTGGTCTCCTCACGCCTACGCATGCGCGTGCAGCATCTCCAATCCCTCCAATAGCACTCTGTGCTGGCCAAACGAACGCACTTTTAATTCACAATATCGGCTTCTCATTTCATTTATAAATTCATTTACATTCTTCATAATAAAAAACCAATGCATCTTTGTCGCATCTCACTTGTTTCAATTGCAGCGCTTTCACATGCCACCCAGGCGCAGTCCACACCGAGTGCTGTGCGTGGCGTGGACCCACAATTGGCAGCCAAGTACGTGTCGAACAGCAAAGGAACCTTTGTCTGCCTCGATGGCAGCGCAGAGATTCCCTTCGGGCGAGTCAACGACGACTACTGCGACTGCCCTGACGGATCCGATGAACCCGGCACGTCGGCGTGCAACAACGGGTCATTCTACTGCCAGAACCACGGCCATATCCCAGCGCGCATCCCGTCCTTGCGAGTCAACGACGGCGTCTGCGACCCACAGTGCTGCGACGGCTCGGACGAGTGGGAAACGGGACTATGCGCTGACGTATGCGAGGATGTCGGGCGGCAGCACAGACAGAAAATGGATGCCCAGCGCGGTGCCGAGACCAGGGGCGCTCGGAGGAGGGCCGAGCTCGCCGAGGAGGCGCAGGGGATGCGGCTTGGGAAGGAGCGCGAGTGGGCCGAGAAAACAGAGGCGCTGAAGCGCGTCGAGGCTGAGCTTTCTGCGGCAGAGACAGAGAAGCTGGCGCTGGAGGAGAGCCAGCGCGTGGTAGCGGAGAGCCGGCGAGAGAGCCAGCGCCAGGCGCTGTACGACGAGCATTTGCCTGAATTGGTTGCTCTGCGCCGCCACGTGTCGGCCGAGCTGCACCGCTGGCGCGCCCACCGCGACTCACTCGTTCTGCTTCTGAGATCGGTGCGCGCCAGCCACAACCCTGAGTTCAACGACCAGGCTGTGGCCCAGGCCATTTCAGCCTACGCTGAGTTTGTCGACACGCACTCGGATGCCGAGAGCGCCGCGCTGGCGCATGCCAATGAGGACGCGGCCGATCGCCACGAGCGTGAGCGTTTGATCGACGAGGGCGGCAGTAAGCAAGATGACGTGGACTACGAGGCGTGTCGCAAGGCGCTGGACTCGCTAGAGAGCGAGCGCAGGGCTGTCGAGGATGACGTGTCCACGCTTGTTGCCTTGCTGGAGGAGCTGCGAGCCGGGTACAACAAAAACTACCATGATCTGGCCGTCAAGGCTGCTGTCGGCGGGCTTGGTGAGCTTGAGCTTGTGCGTGAGAAGGACCTGGCCGAGCTGGCCACGCTGGCTGAAAACGTCGGCATCGACGGCGTGCGCATGCGTGCTGCCGAGGCGCAGTCCAAGATTGCCGCGGTCTTGTCCGACTCTGAAGGCAACGGCGATGGCGACGGCGACGGCGACGGCGAGTCGGCTCAGGAGGCTGACGGCGAGTCGCTCGACCAGCAGGTGGCCGACGCGCGGACGCTGTTCTGGGACCTGCAGAGCGAGAAGAACACGCTAAGCAGCGCAGTCAGCAACCTGCGCGAGCTGCTCGACAAGGACCTCGGCCCCGGCGATATCTACCTGCCACTTAACGACAAGTGCTTCTCACTGGATGCCGGCGAGTACACGTACGAGGTGTGCCTGCTGGACCGTGCCACGCAGATCAGCAACAAGGACAAGTCGCGCCAGAGTCTGGGGTCGTTTTCAGGCTTTGGTGAGTTGTCGGCGACTGGTGAGGACTATGCTGTGCACAAGTACTTGCAGGGCACAAAGTGCTGGAACGGCCCGCACCGCTCGCTGACTGCGTCGTTCACGTGCGCCGAGGAGATTGCTGTGCTCGCTGTCACCGAGCCCGAAAAGTGCGAGTACCACGCGCGGATGACCGGCCCATTCGCGTGCCCCGTCGACGATCAGGACACTGGATTAGAGCAGGCGCAGGAGCAAAAGGCCAAAGGCATTCCGCCCATGACCGATGCTGCCGAAGGCCAAACAACAGGCGCTGCAGCGCGCCACGACGAGCTGTAAGCCCCCAAAGGCTGCCGATTTAATCCGCTGATCTGATCGACCGCTGATCCTTCGACACAATAAAAAAAATATTGGTAGCCGATTTTTTTTTCCTCATTTCTTGCGAGCTCACTCTCACTCTCTCGCTCTCGCTCTCGATCAAGCCAACTTTGTCCTTGTTTTTTCCTGACTTTTGGCATTACTATTTCTCTATTTTATTTACCTTTCTTTCACATTTCTCTCTTTTTGAAATTATTTTCTCTGTTGAAATGGCCAAACAGAGCGGCAATGCAAAAGGCGAGAACAAGTCGGCGCTGAAGAAGCTGCGCTCGGCGCTCTCCTCCGCCGGCCTGACCGGCCCCAAATCACAAATAACCAAGCGCGACAAAAAGCGCGGTGTTCACAAGGCCAACAACATAAAGACCTCCGAGCGGCGGCACAAGCTGCGGGCAATCCAGACGGCACTCAACCCCTTTGAGATGAAGGTCAACCGCAAGAAGCTCGATGTCCTTGGTCTAAAGCGCAAAGACGACACTGTCAATGTTGCTGTAGCGCGGCAGCGCGCTGTGGAGAAGCGTAAGACTACCATTGGCGAGGAGCGCCGCAATCGCAGCCGACTCGGCGGCATGGTCGATCGGCGTATCGGAGAGAACGACCCGACGATGGATCCTGAGGAGAAGATGCTGCAGCGGTTTACAGCCGAGAGGCAGAAGCGCGCGCGCAACTCGACCATGTTCAACCTCGATGACAACAGCGACATCGAGGGCGAGATCACGTCGCTGACCCACTTCGGCCAGTCGATCAATGACATGAAAGACTTTGACTTTAACGGCAGTGGCGACGAGTTCGAGGAGGGCAACGGTGCGATCAGCAAGCAGGACGTGGCAGCGGTGCATTTCGGCGGCTTCGAGCCCCAGGCCGCCGACGGGTCCTCTGAGCGCAAAAAGACAAAGGCCGAGGTCATGCAGGAGATCATCACCAAGAGCAAGATGCACAAGCACGAGCGCCAGATGGCCAAGGAGCAGGACGAGGATATCCGCCGCGAGCTCGACGATGACTTTGAGAGCGTGCGCGCGCTGCTTTTCGCCGACAACGACAACACGGCAGACAAGCCCATGATGAAGGCTGCCGCCGGTGGCCGCCAGGAGGGTGTCGACCGGTCGTACGACACTGTTATGCGTGAGCTCGTGTTTGAGAAGCGCGCGCGCCCTCAGGACCGCCTGAAGACCGAGGAGGAGGCTGCTCGCGAGGAGAAGGACCGCTTGGAGCGCGCCGAGCGTCACCGCAAGCGCCGCATGGACGGCCTGGACTCGGACACTGAGGTCGATAGCGACGACGACGACGACAACGAGCTGAAGGGGTACAAGACCGCCAATAAGCGCCGCGCTGTTGCTGATGATCTTGGTGATGACTTTGCCCCCGCCGGCAGCGACGATGACGACGTTGACCACACTCTTTCTGCCAAGGGACTTTCCCTGGGAGCGGGTCTGGCGGCAGATCAGTCGTCTGATGAGGACGAGGAGGAGGACGATGATGACAACAGCGATGAGGAAGAGGACGATGGCGACAGCGATCAGGAAGAGGACGCTGGCAGCAGCGATGATGAAGAGGACAACGACAGCGAATTGTCAGGAGGCGAGGCCGAGCGCGAGGAGTTCAAGCAAAAGATCAGCAAGGCCACCGCCGTCAAAAAGCCCACTGCCAACAGCAATGAGATTCCTTTCACCTTTTCTGCGCCTGCCGACTACGAGGCGTGGCTTGAGATCGTCTCTGAGTACTCGCTCGAGCAGCAGCTGGTTGTTATCCGCCGCCTGCGCACGCTGTACCACATCCGCCTGTCGCCCCAGAACAAGGAGAAGCTGAGCAACCTGTGCATAATCTTGGCCGAGCACTTGGCTGTGTTGGCTGAGCAGGATCCGCCCGTCCCCGCCGCTGTGGTCGACGAGATCGTCAAGCACATCGGCGAGCTTGCGGCCATCGACGCCGAGCGCTTCGGCGAGTTCTGCCGCCAGGCCGTGGTCGACTGCCACCGGCGCGTAACCCAGGCCATCCGCGCCAGCGCCAGCGACATGGCCGCCCAGAGCGCCATGCAGCGCCACGGCCCCAGCGCGTCGGACCACGGCGTGCGCGCGTCGGACATCGCGCTGATGCGCGTCTTCGTGTCGGTGTTCTCGTCGTCCGATCGTTACCATACGGTCATCACGCCCATGCTCGTTTCGATCTGCCAATACCTCAGCCAGTATACCTTCACCACGATGAAGGACATTGCTGGCGGTCTGGTGCTAACTGGGCTGCTGCACGAGACCCAGCGGCTGTCGCGCCGCTTGGTCCCCGAGGCGCTGAACTTTCTGTTTGCCACCCTGGCGGCCTCGGTGTGCTCCACCGACGATGCTAGCGACTGGGACGGCCAATTCCCTCTGTCGCGCCGCCAGCGCCAGGCTTACCAGATCCTGCGCATCACCGTCGCTGAAAAGTGCCACTCAAGGTCTGTCGAGCCCATCCGCTGGTCGTGGCTGGTATCCAGCGAAAACAGCGGCGCGCGCTCGCTGACTGCCGACCCCAAGTACAGCGTCCTGCGTGCATGCCTTTTGCTCAGCCGCCGGTTTATCGGCTGCTACTTTTCGCAGTCGGCCTTTATTGAGTGCTTTATGCCGCTCAAGTGCCTTCTGGCCAAGATCAGCGAGAGACTGCCCAAGTTCAAGCTGCAGCAGGCGCCCGCCGAGATTTCTCTGCTACTAGATGACCTGCGCAAATACCTGGACGAGCAGCTGGAGCAGGCGGAGGCATCCCGTGCGCCGCTCAAGATGCAGTACCACAAGCCGCTGGCCATTGATACTGCCGCACCCAAGTTCGAGTCCAGCTACAGCCTCGACGTGCACTACGACCCCGACCGCAGCCGCAACGAGACCACCAAGCTGCGCCGCCAGGTCAACCGCGAGAAGCGTGGTGCCGTGCGCGAGCTTCGTCGTGATGCCCAGTTTATTGCTGGCGAGCGGCTGCGCGAGCAGCGCGAGAAGGACAAGAGCTACTCCGACAAGATGAAGAAGGCGTGGGGTGTTCTGGAGAACGACCAGAGCCAGCTGAAGAAGCTGGACCGCATGCGCATCAGAGAGCAAAAGGGAAAGATCGAATAAGAGGGTAAAATTTTTCTATATTTCTAACTTTTATATTTTCAATCGAGACGACGATAATACGAAAAACGTAGTTATTATTGGGGGGGGGGGTTGGACAATCCCATCTGCTGTCATTGGTTTTGTTTAGTTGGGATTGAACTGTCAGGCATAAATAGGCTGCCTTGATGTAAAGAAAAGGATTGAAATTATCCAGTTTTTTTATGCTTGGGAAGGGCCTGGATTTGGGCGCGGCATTTGGATCCTTTGGCGGTCTACAAAAAAATTTATTATTCAAATTATTTACTTTTGCCAATATGACTGAAGACGGGTTGGACCGCAAAACAAAAGAAAAGGGTGTTTTATTCCAAAACCACCAAAAAAGAAATCTCACATTTCAAAAAATTCTTAATTAGGATCATTAGTAATATGCAAGTAAAATACATTGCTAATTTAATCCGACATGCGTGGCATGCCTTTGAACACCTGGGTGTGTTAACTTCACAAAAAAGTCAGATGGCAGCAAAATCAAAAGACACATAGCGTGTGTGTATGTGTAGAGGGTATTGTTTAAAATACAATTTTAGAGCCGACTGCGATTATATTTAAGTTTCACAAAAAAATGTGTTCACATATTAGCCAACTAAAATGACACGCTCCTTCAAGCTCAAAGTCAACCATTATTAAAACTCGTATAAAAGCTGTGCTACGTTCCACCCATTGTAATTTATATTTTTTAATTCTCATCTGTTGCACGAACTGAAGATATGGAAGTGGATGTTGAGGTTGTGAATCGCGAAACAAGTTTCCATCTGTATGCCGATTGACAGGGTACTAATTGGATTATGCAGGCGTAAATTAGGGAGCCATTATAATGATGCCCAAACATGCTCCCCATTTTTCAATGCACACACATGAGTGCACACACACGAAAACCACAACACTGACCTGTTAAGATACCGGTCTGTTTACAGAAGAACCAGTTCTCACGAACGGGGTGCACAATTGGCAATGTGTACAACAAAGGCGACGAGATACATATATAAGATGAGGCCGGCGCTAGTAGTACTTTAGAAACATTAGCAATAAAACCTTTTATAAATTTATATCCCTACATTTTTAACACTACTACCATAGTGCTCCATACACCCCCTCCTACATAGCACACCCATCAGCTATATTACCACGACAACTACCACCAACACCTCATTAAATTGCATATATATATATATGTTTTTTAGTATGTATGCTCGTATTCCACAGCCTACTGATGTTTCTGGACTGGAAAAACTTAAACTTTCTAACAACAAGGACATTTATACTATTGAGAGAAATCGGTGTGTAATTTGTTTGAAAAAGTAGAACAATTAACTTCAGATTATGGCCGAATTAAATAAATGTGTATCGCAAAAAACATTTTACCGTACACATATACATTAATTAACAGATATCATCACGGTATTTGTTTCAAAATCAGTCGGGTATGTTAACGGACGAATGGCAATTAAATTCGAGAATGAAAAAAGGGTTTGGTAATATTTGAAATACCCGAGACCTCTAAATAGTGGCACACACAATTAAACAGCTATTAAGCTATTATGTCGAGTAGAAATGGTAAATTAATAGCGCTGGTATTTATGCATCTTGTTCACAATGTATCTTAACTTTTTAAACATGGAACCCGGTTTTAACAGTTTGTTGGCAATGCAATGGTTAAGGTGTGGGTATATTAAATCAATTGGGAATGACTGTTCTAAAAATACAATGTGGAACTGAAAAGGGGCAGTGTTGTGTGGGCGGCGCTGTGAAGGTCTTGTTGACATTTGATGTGAACCAGCAATATCTGGAATGGACATTGCGGCCGTAAAGACAATCTTGATGATCTTGGTGCTTGAAGATAGGAATAGTGGCCTGGAATGTAGCTTGGGCACCACAGGCAACTGTGATACAAGGAATTGCAGCTTATCTCCGGCGATTGATTAATGAATCAATCGCTAGTTAATTTCCTACTTGGATATGCGGAAATTCATACGCACACATAAATACCAATGAATATGAACAGTGGAGGCTGTTAATCCCTTAGCTTTCTTTTAGTTCATTTTGTTCTATTTTTTTTAACGTAACAGGCAACAATAAACTAAATATATTTAATGGTAATATTCAAAGTTAACTAAAAAAAACTCAAGAAGCTTTCTTTTGAGCATCCACATCTTGTAATTTTATAGGCAGCTAAAATAAATAAATTACATATTGGCATAAATGTCGTCAAGATTCCGACCAATTAACTTGGCTGAGCATATGCGACGAAAATCATCACAACTGCCACAATAAACTTGAGACGTTGTGTGAACATGCAATTCAAATTATTAATTAATACATCATACAAAAATTAGAGAGATTGTTTGTAAAATAAATAAATTACATGTGTACTTTGTTTATGTTGGTTAAAACAAAAAAGTTAGCTTTGATACTAATTACGCCCTGTGTGGGGGTCGAACCCACGACATTTCGGTTAAAAGCCGAACGCTCTAAACCAACTGAGCTAACAAGGCAATTCAATCTGAACTAGTCATTCTCGCTAAAAAATGTTGGATAGTAGGGAGGTTGGTCGTACGCCAGTTCTTTTAAACAATAAAGGTTGGAATAATGCTTGGCCTACTGGGCAACCGCAAAAGACAAAAAGTCGAAAAAGATGTGTGTGAAATACAATTGGAAATACCTTTGCGTGCTATGGATAGAACTAGTTTAAAAACATTGATTTATTTTATTTATAGTTTTGTTATAAAGAAAATACATTTGTCAAGTGTTAAGTGGTATAGAGTGTAAATTTGATGCTCTTAGTGGGCATAGTGAGGTCAATAACGCTTATAGCATGGTGTGATTGTGTAGTCGACGAATTCGAGACAACGCTTTCAGAATCACAAAATGCCGGCGAGCGCGAGCACTCGGGAAACACAATACCAATTGCAAGCTCATTGGATATTGTTTTGGGCAACGGTTTAAAAAAGATGCTAGTTTTGAACCAGCCTATGCAGTCAATAAGCCCCGACATAATCCAGTACTGGCGGAGCATCACAGCCAGGGTGTTTAATATAAACATGATTATAATTTCGCCGACAATAATGCCCACATTTTGGCCGACCTGGGGGTACGCTCCACTAGTTATGTGCCGGAAAAGCATAGCACAATTATGCGATGGCAGCACTGTCATCCAGCGCAGTCCAGTGGGTAACAAGTCTATTGACACAGTGCCTGCAGCTGAACTTGGAACGATTAGACACACGAGCGATATAGGCACGAGGTCGGGAGGCAGCAGCGTAATCCAAAAGAATAGCCACTGAGAGCTGGCCAAAATAGCCAAACTAAACGTAGCAAAAAGCGCAAAAAACCGGCCTGCGTTTATCGGCAACCCCAAGTGATGTGTGTTGTAATATGGCCCGCGAAATGCAACAACAGCCAATGTGCAGAAAAGTCCGAGCAGTGAACTCCACGCAAACATGAACACGTGGAATGTCACAGCCAAATGTCGGAGATTGACCTTGTTGATGAAGTCGACGGAACAGAGCTTGAGCAAGGTATGGATGGCAATGGAGCAGGCAATAGACACAAATATGGCAAAAGTCGGCGCAATTGGTGCAATTCCAAAGGACATTGGCGATGCTTCTTTTGACGTATACCATATGGGGGTCACCAGTGCAATGGGATCGGCCAAGTTGACGTCAATATTCCGTTTTAACAATGAAGCAAGTTGCTGGGTGGCAAACTCATTGGCAACATGATGTGCCATGGCACCAAGTGCCGGCTGCACATATCTGCTGATGGGAATTGGGTTCCTGCCCGTAGACACCACTACGAACAAAGCGGCGCTCGGATCATAAGCTAGGGTGCGGTTTAACTGCGTCGTTTTACCAAGTGCTTGCTCGAGCCTGCGCTGTAGCCCTGAGCTAACAACAATGGCGCCCCACTCATGCTTGCGCACAAGCTCTGTGCATCTGTCCAGCGAGTTTAGCTGGCCACGGTGCTCCTCCCACTGCACCTGGTCGGCAGCTGTCGGTTGCAATTGCTGAAGGGCGTTTTGGCGCAATATTATATCTACAATTTGCTGGCCCATGGCACCGTTGTCAAGATTTATTATTTTTAAACGAATGTTGTGCGAGTGCCGCAGCATCATGTACATGCTGCCCAGATACGCGGATAGCGCAAACCACAAAAGCATGCTGTATATGATGAGCAGCCGAACGTTGTAAAGTAGGCGCTCTACGACTACGGGCCGGAGTTTGGTGTCTGTGATGCTAATGCGCCCGTCGTCCAGACCTGGCACATGTCTCCATGGTTTTAGTCGATAATGTACAAAATTCATAATGCGAAAATAAGTATAGGTAAAATTATGTAGCGGCGGCGTGGATACAAAAATAACAATAAGAAAATGCTGCCATTTATGTGTTATTTGCTAGTATCCGCGTTATGTGCGTCTGATTTATAATATTGTAGTTGCTATTTTTTCGTGTTGGCTAAAATATTGAAATTTTATTTGCGTATAAAAGCGCATGTCTCCGGGCCACAGCTGCTTTTATGCAACATTTTCTAGGTCCACCGCCTTCCTGTAAATATACAATGCATATTTCCTGCGGAATTCCTCTATTAAATAATGCCACGAGTAAAGGAGATTTTGTTATCGTTATATCGTATGGCTATGAGGCGCAGATTCCCCTCTCAACACAGACATAAAACGGCTAATAATAGAAGGCAAAGGTGCATCCAGGAGCAGATTTTCTATCTGCGGGTTATCCATATACCCTTTTTTCTTTTGCGGATATCCATGCACACACATCAATCACATTTATAATATCCTTAAACTCACGTGCAGGGTGATTAATATTTGCCCATACTTGACTAAACATGCTGCTTGCGATGAAACTAGTGAAGTAGTTTCTGGCGGTTTTTACATTTTGGGCGCTAGAATAAAAATTGAACGTCGCATTAACTGGAACAAACGACATTTAAAAAGTCAATGCCAGAATGAGGAATTAATAAACAGAACAAAATATTGTAACACGCGCCTGCCACATCATAAACTTATATTATTTTATTTCAATCATACTACTTTCATCCAACATCTACGCCTCTCAACAGACTTGGTCACTCGCTCGCTTTCTCACACAAACACAGACACAGACACAAACCACACAGCGCCCTTTTTTTCTTATTATTATTTACTACTGCTGGGTACCCAATTAAGCAATCGCGCTTTTCTGCATCGTCAGCAAGACTTGCAATCCTATTTATTATATTCTTCATAATAGCCAAACTCAAACCCAAACCGCAACCCGACTGACAGGCAGCAGCAGCAGGATCATTCCTTGTACTTACTTTATACTTACATACAACGAAATAATTAATGGCGGACTTGTTGCAGCACTTATCGAGTGGGACTGATGGCTTGGGATCGTCGGCTGGAAATGCATCATCACCCTTACCTCCAATGCCGCAGCTGTTCCAGCTCGATACGATCGATATTGTGGACGGGTGGCAGCAGGAGCTCGTTGAGTGCTATCATGCGCTGGCCGCGATGACCGCGGGTAAATCGCAGATGGAGGTGCACGATGCGCTGCAGCACAAGGCGTCCGAAAGCATGCGGGGCCACGGTGAGCTGGTCAACGGCCTGGTGTACGGAATTCTGACCGAGCCGGCAGACGGAGCAATGGTAAGAGGAAATTAATTGTTTTGTTTTGTTTTGCTTGGCGAACACAGGTGTGTGGCAACTACCGGCTCTGGTCCGTCCTGTTTTTGCCTGGCCTGGCCTGGCCCGATCTGATCTGATCTGATCTGGTCTTGTCTCGTCTTTGCTCTGTCAAGCCACGTTTTCTTTTCCCTGACTTGGCACATGCTGTACAGTTGAAGCACTTGCGTATTAAAACCAATCCTCCATCTCATTGTGCGGTTTTCTGCTTGCATTGTCTAGTTCTTTCGCCAGTTGAGTATAGTGTCGCGCGACGGATTCGCGCACGCAGTTAGTAGGCTACAGCTCTTAGTGTCGGCGCACAAGTTCTCGAGGCTGCGGACCGACGTCAAGCAGCAGCTCTTCTGGATGATCGGCGAGCTGGCGCGGGCCAAAGCCGGAGGCACTGATCAGGTAGTCATGCAGTTGACGCGGCAGCTGCGCGGCGGGGACGTGTCGCAGCCCAACGTCAATCTCTGCCGCCAGGTGCTAAAGCTGCTAGAGACGCACTATGAGTGGCTTATGGGGTCACCCACACTGATTGCCACGGCGGCGTACGCGTTCGGGCGGCTGGTGCTGGACCATGGGCGCATGGCTGAGCTGCGCGCACAGGAGAGTGCCTTTGTTGTGCGGTTGCTGCGCGAGCGCTTTGTTGACTGCGCGATGGTCGGCAGGGATCTGGTACGGATGCTGCAGGACGTCGCCAAGATCCCAGCGTTCCGCGACCTGTGGCAGGATCTGCTGAGCGAGCCGCATCGCATCAGCGCGCACTTCTCGGGTGTCGACCAACTGCTGCGTGTGCCGACGCCTCGGATGTTCTTGGCGAACCGGCTGACGTTCGACATGGAGGCGCGGCTGCTGTTCATTCTCGAGCACGTGCCGACGTCTTCGTACGCGCGCAACCTAACGTGGTTCGTTCACAGGTACCTGGGCACGCCCGAGTCCGAGACGCTGTTCTCGGACATTGTGCGCTACGTGTGCGGCGTCTGCCACCCGTCCAATGCCGTGCTGGCGTCCAATATCGTGCAGCGCTATGTGTTCCTCGGCGGGCTCTTCCGGTATATCCGCTCGCAGGTAGTCGCGGCCAACGTCAAGCTGGCGCTGTTCTTCGACTGGCTGTTCTACGACGCGCGCGTCGACAATATCATGAACATTGAGCCGGGTGTGCTCATCCTGGCGCGGTCCGTCGACAAGTACGCGTACCTGACAGCGTCGTTCGTCGAGTTTTTGTCGTTTGTCGCCGACGCGTACTGCCCGCCTCTGGCATATGACGTGCGCGCAGGCATTGCGGCCGCCATGCGCGATGCCGTCGAGAAGGGCGTGGTGTCCTCACTGGCGCCTGTGTACGAGCACCCGCGCGTCGACCAGCTGACGCGACGATATATGTATCAGCTGTTTCCGCAGCTTGTGCCGCCGCCGCCGCTATCTGCCGCCGCCGCACTGCAGACTGCCGACCCAGACGACGATGAAAATGGCGACGCAGGTGGGAAAGGCGAGGTTGGCAGTGCGGACAGTGCCGCGAACGGACAGCCTCAATTCGGCGGCGAGGCCGACTCGACCAAAAGGTCGGTTGCCCCGGACGTCGCCAAATTCGTCTCGATCGTGCCGCCAAAGGACATTGCCAAGATCATTGCTGCACTCAACTCGGTCCACAGAGCATCTCCAACGCCGACGCCGACGCCGACACCAACACCGGCACTAACGTCGGCAGGGGCTGATGCCCAGCAGCTCGGCAGCATAGTGGATCCCAAGTCGCTCGACCCGGTGTCGCGCATGTTTCACGATGAGGCAGCCGCCAGCAACAGCGACGAGCAGCCAGCGAACATTTCCAGGGCTGAAGAGGACATTGACGATTCAGACGAGGACGCAGCCCTGCTCATCAACGGCGCAGCCGAAGACGACGAGCTAGACGTCTCTGTGGCCCTGAAGGACCCATCATTGTGGCTGTTTGGCTCGACATTGTCGGACTTTTTGGACAAGATGAAAGACGCAGCCGACGCACCCGAGGATGCCAGCCTGCCGCAGTTGGGTGAGGCAGCCAAGGACATTGTCAACATGTTTGCGCAGTCCGAAGCATCGGTGCAGGCCGTGGCCACGGTACTCTCGCACGCGCTGGGGCAGCTGGGCTTTGAGGACGTCGAGACCAACGCCGAGCTCGAGGCCTGCGGTGAGGGCGACAGCGCCGAGCACGACGTCATGCACTATGTGTTTGCCGCCATTGCTGGCTACATGCCTGCGGACGCCAGCGTCGGCACTGGCAGCGGTGCATCGGTGCAGCCGGCCGCCGGGTGGGCGCGGTGCGTCGACCTGCTGGCGCGTCTGACACGGCGGGCCATCGACGTTGGGTTCCGGTGGTTGCTGTACAGCATTATGGACGCACGCAGGCCGCATTTCTACTGGCTCTACGTGGCGCAGTACAACGCAGTAGCAGCGCAGCCTCCTCCTCTACGTGCAGCGTTATCACGGGATATGCGCACACTGCAGGAGCAGTTTCCAGCGCTTTTCTACACAGCTCTGCCTTTGGTGTATGAAGCCTTTCCGGGCGCGGTCACGGGCAACCGCGGTATTGTGCGGGCGGTTGTGGCGATGATCGACCAGCCGCAGGTGCATCGGCTATCGGTGCTCCTCACGCAGTCCAAGCTGCGGCTATTTGGCGCGCGCGCTGCACAAGTTGTCGGCGACACAATGGATAGTGCAGATGCCTTTGAGCAAGTGTGCCTGTGGCAGCTGCTGGCTGCCGAAGTGTCCGGCGACAGCGCAACCATTGATATGCTGGCTAGGGGGCTGCTGCTTGCGAGACAGCTGGATCCGACTGCGAACAGCGAAGCGGCAAGCGGACTGATGGCTGTTCTGCGTAGCGTGCGCCCGCGCCTGCCAACGTTTGGCGTTCTTCTCAAGTACGTTGGCGAAGTGGCCGATGATGATGACGCAGCAGCGGCAAGGCTGAACTTCTGCTGCTGTGTGCTAACCACATGGATGCGCGCAGACAGGGCGGCGCTATTTGGTTTGCTTCCTCGGCTGCCGCGCGTGGATCGCGAGAGAATCGTAGCGTGGTGGAAGACGCACTTTGGTTTTGAGAAGTATGCCGCAGAGATCGATGAGGCATGCGAGGCAAAGGTCACAGCAGCCGAAGCAGTGGTTTTGGCGCCGGCTTCTGCACCAATGCCGGCGTCAGCAGTGTTGGAACTGACGGCCGATGAGGCGCACTTCGACCGCTATCTTTACGACGATGACAACGGCAATGACGGCCGCAGCAAGGGTAGGCTGTTGGCGGACGCGAGTTCAGTACAGGACCAGGAGGACGACGAGGTTATTGCTGGCGTGCTGGGCATCGGCTCCAGCGAGTCATCGGTATCTGGTGATACCCCTGCTGCTGAGGAGCAGGATGCACCCGTTGCCGCGTATGGCCCAGTAACCGAAGATGTGTCGGTTGCCGAGAGTGGGCGCGGCACGAAACGCCAGCGATCACCGACTTTGATGCACTCGTTGCCACCATCGAAGGTTGAGAAGACAGCTGACAAGCTTGTTTCAAAGGCTTCAAAAGCTTCAAAGGTTGAGGCGGCCGATGCTCGGCGCGTCACACGGTCGCTGAGGAGCAACACAAAGCAGACAACAGCTGCTCCTGTTGCACCTGCTGCGAAGCGCGGTAGGCGTGCAAAGGCAAACAAGCGGCCGAGGCGCAACGTCATAACATCTGACGATGACGACGACGACGACAACAACGAGAACGAGGACAACGACAACGACGATAAGGCCGATGCCAAAGAAAATGATGCTGCTAACAGAAATGACAGTGAGGAGGAGGATGAGTCGGCGACTGGCGACAATGGGTTTTCAACCGACTCGTCGTTGACCTCAAACTCGTCGCCCCTGGTTTCCAGCTCGGAGGACGACTATTGAATCAAATTGTAGGAATTTCCGTCTTTTTCTTTTAATATATGTATTGCATTTGAATCGAAATACACGACGGCTCGCTATCATTTTTTGGATGTTAAAGCGCAATTGTTTTATATTAAATATTAAAAAAAGGATGACAGGTGTCTAAATTTTCTGTTCTCACTTCTTGACCTCGTCCTCGAGCTCAATGAGCACGTCGTCGCCACCAACAGTGGAGCCGGGTGTGACGAGCACAGCCTTGATGACACCAGCCCTGGGTGCGCGCAAGACGTTCTGCATCTTCATGGCCTCTACAACAGCAACCTCAGCGCCCTCAGCAACAGTGTCTCCAGGCTTCACAGCAACGGACACAATGGTTCCGGGCATGGGCGACAGCACAAGCTTGGACGTGTCGAGCTTCTCCTTCTCCTTCATGAAGTGCAGGAGCTCGCGCTGGCGGGGCGCCAGGACGTCAATTTCGAATTTGGTGCCCATAAACTGGACACGGAAACCGAGGGGCAAGGGATCGAGGAACTGCAGTGTGGTGCTGCCGTTGTTGACATCGACAAATGGCGTGTCGACGGACCAATTGACGGTGATCTCGGAGGTCTTGGCCTCGGAGCCGGCCGTGCTGGAGGTCACCTTGAAAGTGTTGGCGCCCTGCAGCTGGATGCTGGACGCTGGGTTGGCCAGCTCGACCGAGACAGCGACCTCGATCTTGGACACCGAACCGTCCTCCTGCAGCTGGGGCAGCAGCAGCACGTAGTCCTCGCGCACCGTGGTGGCTGACGAGGCCTCGCGCGCCTGGCGGATAAATTGAAGCGCGGCCGAGGCTGTGGCCAGCTCCTGAGCGCTTTGCTCTGTGAGGCGGTGGCCCTTGAAGCCGCTGGGGTAGTGCTCGGCGAGGAAGGCCGTGGTGATGCGGCCGGCGGCAAAGTCAGGGTTGGAAATGACGTCGCGCAACAGCGGGATGTTGTGTGTGACGCCCTTGATCAGGTAGCGGTCCAGGGCGTGCTCCATGGTGGCAATGGCCTGCTCGCGGGTCTGGCCGTGCGTGGACAGCTTGCAGATCATCGGGTCGTAGTACATGGATATCTCGGATCCCTCGGTGATACCGCTATCGCAGCGCACATCGTTGGGCTTCTTCCAGTCGACGGGCTCCTGGTAGCGCGACAGCGTGCCGATGCTCGGCAGGTACTTCTCGGGATCCTCAGCGTAGACGCGCGCCTCAATGGCCCAGCCGTTGATCTTGACCTCGTCCTGCTTCGTTGTGGTCAGCGTCAAGCCGGCGGCCGAGCGGATCATCTCCTCGACGAGATCAAAGCCCGTGATGTACTCAGTAATCGGGTGCTCGACCTGCAGGCGCGTGTTCATCTCGAGGAAGAAGAAGTTGCGGTTCTTGTCAACCAAAAACTCAACTGTGCCGGCGCTGTTGTAGCCGACGTTGCGGGCCAGCGCGACGGCCTGCTCACCCATGCGGCGCCGAGTATCATCGTCAAGATGCGTCGAGGGAGCCTCCTCAATGACCTTTTGGTTGCGGCGCTGGATTGAGCACTCACGCTCGGGCAGCCACAAAACGTTGCCCTTGCCGTCGGCAATGATCTGGATCTCAATATGGCGCGGCTCCTCGATGAAGCGCTCGACCAGGATACGGTTGTCGCCGAAGCTGCTCTGCGCCTCGTCCGACGCCAGCTTGAAGCCCTCGTTGACCTCTTCCATAGTGTGTGCAATGCGCATGCCCTTGCCGCCGCCGCCGGCCGACGCCTTGAGCATCACCGGGTAGCCGATATCCTCGGCAATCTCGACGGCATGCTGCGCGTCGCGTACGACGCCGTCGTATCCAGGAATCGTGTTGACGCCGGCCTTCTTGGCGATGATCTTGGACTGGATCTTGTCGCCCATCGCTGCCATGGCGTACTCCTGGGGGCCGATGAATCCGACACCGGCAGCGTCTAGCTGCTTGACAAAGCTGGAGTTCTCGGATAGGAAGCCGTAGCCGGGGTGCACGGCCTGGGCGCCGCTCTTCTTGATCACGTCCATGATGGCGTCGACGTTGAGGTACGACTGGCTGGTGGCCGCCGGGCCCACGCGGTATGCCTCGTCAGCCTCGCGCACAAAAAGCGCGTTGGCGTCGGCGTCAGAGTAGATTGCCACGGTCTTGATACCCATGCGCTTGGCTGTGCGAATCACACGGCAGGCGATCTCGCCGCGGTTAGCGATCAGGATCTTGTCGAACGTCTTCTCGGTGGTCTTGCACGGGCCAAAGTACTGCCTCTTGGCCAGCTTGGACGCCGACATAGCCGACTTTAGTGCCTTGGACTTGAGCATCCGGGCATTGCCAAGAGAGATAACACGATGCATGGCTGTAGGCTTAAATAAAACAAGTATTTTCTGTGAGTAGCAAAAAAAAGAGTAAGAGATAGGTGATACAAGAAGCGTAAATATAAAAGAAGACTAAAATACTGGAGTGTAATTATTAAAGCAAAAGGAAGATGAAAAAGATGAAAGCAGACTTGGTCAAGTGTCACGGCAGGGACAAAATAACCTTTTGCTTGATTAAATAAAAAAATAACAATGGTGCAGGCGACGGAGAATAGCAGCGGAAAGATAGATGATGATAGCAAGGGGGCGCCTGATGGCATGAGTTCAATTTCAATGCTCTTTGAACATTTTTTTTGCTCTTTTCTCTATGCCTTATTTGATGCACATATTATGCCTATTTCAGCCGGACCATGCGGAAGAAACAGGAGCAAGAGCGAGAGCGAGAGCAGGCCGAGCTGCCAAAAAATAGAAATGAGTGATAAGACGAACACTGGTCTAGCGACAATCTGCGCCGCTGCCATTCGTGGGAACATTAAGCCTGTTCCGCAACGTCCGTTTTCCGTTATCTCGAATCAGCCTTAGCCTTAGCCGCTATCTCGCCTCCTCGATTCACACGTGCCCCTCCACGAATCCCGCTCAGTCCAGCTTTTAATTTTGTACTTATCTGTGCGCCATGTGCGTCCATCCGTCCAGGCAAAGTACAGTGTCGCTGTTGATGAGTGATTCTCGATCAACCTTTGTGATCTTGTGATCAAGCGCTGGACTGCTACATCATCATTGTTGTCCATTTGGCGTGCAGAGCACGTGTAAGTGTCATTTTGATATTATTGGGCGAACTGCAACAGCAAGCAACAAGAAGTAAATTCCGCATTAGTATTTGCATATGCATTTTCGAAGTTGAATTTAAATTTGCGCTTAAGGAAATATGCGCTTAGAATAGTGCACATTCGTCATTAGACTAATTTGTAAATGCAACGCGCAACAATCAGAGTGGAAAAATCGAAATCGAAATTGAAATCTTGAACCAATCAAATACCTCTTTATTATATTATATTTTCCACATCCTTTCATTCCAATCGCCTTTCTCATCTTCAAATTTACATTCACATTATTTACTCTCTCTAAATGGGCTACATCGGGTACGCGCGCACAGCGCTCAATGCGACGGTAACGTTTCTCGCGATATGGGCCGGACTATATCTGCTGCTGACAGGCCGCGGCGAGCGCTTCAACATCGGTGGTTACCTGCTGCGGTTGTCGCCGTACATGTGGGCGCTCTATGGCATATCGTTCTGCATTGGGCTTAGCGTCATCGGCGCCGCGTGGGGAATCTTCATTGCCGGATCGAGCATCCTCGGAGGAGCCGTTCGCACGCCGCGCATAGCGACCAAGAACCTCATCAGCATTATCTTTTGCGAAGTCGTTGCCATCTACGGCGTCATCATGGCTATTGTGTTCTCAGCAAAGATTGCTGCTGTCAGCTCGGAGAAGGGCTTTTCGTCGTCGGATTATTACACCGGGTACTCATTGTTCTGGGGCGGTCTGGCTGTTGGTCTGTCTAATCTTATTTGTGGCTTGGCCGTTGGCATCACTGGGAGTAATGCCGCAGTTGCCGATGCCCACGACCAGCAGTTGTTCGTCAAGATCTTGGTTATTGAGATTTTTGGCAGTGTTATCGGCCTATTCGGCTTGATCGTTGGCTTGTTGGTGACAGGCAAGGCAGAGGACTTTACAGGCATTATTTAATGTTGCTTGCATTATCTTTCTGAAGATGTAGAGTTGAAAGCATATACTAGGAAAAGTAAATAATATTCTAGCCTGCAAATGCTAATAATGAGTGTAAATTGAATACTGCAAGACGAATCAAATAAAAAATAAGACGATGCTGAAAGGTCAAACCATTAACTAGCCAACCCAGTGGTAATGCTAGTGAAGGATAAGGACATCAACATGGAGATAGATGACCCTGTCAGTGCGGAGGAAGGGAGGGAGACTGTCTGTGATGCCAATGGAGCATAATATAGCCTCGTCTCATCTGAGAGCCCACGAGCTACTGTACAAACCCCAAAACCCCATTTATACAGTAGCATTTGAGGAGTTTTACATTGCCTATAATATGGCAATTAGGGAGGACTCAATAGGAGGCCCTTCTAAGGAATTTTGGAATTAGTTTAATATGTGATTAATTGATATGTTAAAATGGTATTCCCAGGTGTGCCAAACAGTACCCCTTGCGGGGCATCAATTATACTAGATATTTTAAATTCTATGGTTTGATAGAATGACAACTGTCCTCTGTCAGCTCCTGCCAGCCGCGCCTCATATCCAGGTCCAGCTCCTTGTCCAGATAGTAGGCGTCCACATGCTTCTTGAGTTTTTCCAACATGCAACCTAGTGGTGCTGGATACACCTGGAGTCTGTTGATTGTTTCAGCTAAGTGATTTTGCGGCTGAGTTTTAAAGATCCAAGTGAAAGTTTTCTTGCATTCAGAGTTTTATGCTCCCGTCACGGGCACATGAAACATGTGGCTCTGCGTCTCAATTGGTCTGACAGCCAGGCGATGGAGCATAGACGCATCTCTGGTTCAGTGTATGCGTTGGAGAAGCACATATTTTTTACAGCAGTGAATGGCAGGGCCACCATACTCCCAAAAGAAACAATATAAGCTCAAAATCAATGCGCAAGGAAATAGAACAATGCCGATTGGAAATTAATCCGTAAATATAATTATTTCTTGTTTCCATATTTCAGCCAACCAAATGCAAGCATGAGAAGCTCAAGGTTTTTTGTTTATATTAAAAAAATTGTTTTTTGTTTTTGGCGCAATCCATCGCAACAAATTTTCACCTTTGCAACTTTCCACCTTTACTTTTACTTTTAATATTTGCTTTTTTTTTTTCCAATTCGCACCATTTCGTTCAATTTGTTTTATTTTCCTCACTTTTCCCTCACTTTTACCATACCTCAGTGCTTATCACACACACACACACACACTCTCTCTCTCTCTCCCCCCTCTCTTTCTATTTCCCTTTCTCTTTCTCTCAATGATGTCTGAGCTAGCTCCTCCGAATAAGACCCCGCCGAATCAAATAGGCGTAAGTACTTCAATATAAACAAATTATTATGATACTGATGAGTTGTTTGTTGTTTATTTTGAATGCATATAAAACTAATTCGGACACTAATTTCAAACATTGTTTTATTTTTTATTAGAACAGCAAGACAGGTGGCACTATCCAAACGCCCTCAAAAAATCAAAAAAAGGAGGAACTGCCGCCCGGGGAATCGGAGCCCCCCGAAGTACGCGATAGGCGCCGTCAGCGGCTGCTGAAATGCCTCGGCGATAACATATGGCACGACTATCCGTTCGATAAGTTTGTCAAATCGTTGGGTGTGAAAGAGCAGTATAATCGGCTCATTAAGGATTGGCCTGATCTCTTCCTCGACATAGCTAGGGGGTCGCCAGTGGCTGATAGCAAAGGCATCGTAGCCAATACAGGTCGCTCGGAAGCCAGACTCAGGGGTTTGCCCTTTACTGACGTTTTCATATCTTACCCGAAGTTGATGGGGTTGACTAAGGAAGCTCGTTTGGTCGAATATTTTATCTTCCTCTTTGAAGCGATGATCGATGTGGTTGGTGTCGCAAATGAAGATATTCCAGCAGGCAGAACTCCAATCCCAGACTGCAGGGTTAGTCTGAAGGACCATCAGAGTGATGCTATACTAGGCACTCCGCACAAGCCAGATATCGCGTTTTATCACAACTACAAGAGACGTGACATTCATTCCGTCCATGCTATACTCGAGGCCAAGATGGATCCAAACCCCATTAGAACCCCAGAGGATACTCGTGGCCAGCTCGCAGATTACGGCCATGTGCTTAATGATCAGCAGGCAACCCGCACGTTTGCGCCTGTCTTCTACCTCCATGGGCACATCCTGACGCTTCACGCATATTATCGTGACAATCTGTATATTATCGAGCTGGGCGAGCTATGCTTTGATACGAATTATTGGACGTCTGATGGAGCTAAAAGAATTCAGGAATGCCTCATGCAGTTCTGGTTCCTGCTGACTCTTGAGTCGAACATTTTCGGGCATTTCTGCGATGTCTCAAAGAAACCTGACTCTTTCTTTTTTTCGCAGAAAGTCAATGTGGAGAGCAAGGGCGATTCGAAGATCGAAGTCTTATACTCAGCTTCCAAGGATGTCAAGGATGTCAAGGATGTCAAGGATGTCAAGGATGTCAAGGATGTCAAGGATGTCAAGGATGTCAAGGATGTCAAGGATGTCAAGGATGTCAAGGATGTCAAGGATGGCGCTGCTCTGTTTTGTATCAAGGAGACAATAGCGCGTTATTCATACATGATTGGGCGCCATGTCCATTTATTCAGGGGGACTTGCAAAGGTCGTGATGCTGTGCTGAAGCTTTCCTGGACCCCAGTCAATCGTTTGCCCGAGGGTGCCGCATACGCCATCCTCAACAAGAGACCAGTCGAATGTATTCCCAAGATCTTTTCGAGTGGCCTGCTCATCAGCGACCTTAATGGATACCGGCTGGAGTTTGTGCTCATGGAGTACTGCGGCCA